ATTTGCAAGCTCAAGGTGCTTCCTCACATGGTCGTGAATGAAGGTGAGGTGCTGGTGGAAATTGTCCGCACGAGGGACAGTGGGTGTGAGATCGACTCGAGTGGGGACATTGGGGTGCTGACCGTACAGTGCGAAGAACGGTGACATGCCTGTGGCGGAGTGGTGCGTGTTGTTGTATGCGAACTCTGCCATGCTCAGCTTCTTGTCCCATGCGGCTGCGTCGTGCATCGTGATGCTGCGAAGAATCTGCTCCAAAGTCTGGTTCACACGCTCGGTCTGTCCGTCTGTCTCTGGATGGTACGCAGACGACATGGCTAAGCGAGTCCCAAACAGTGCGAAAAGCTGCTTCCAGAACTTCGAGGTGAATCTAGGGTCGCGGTCTGAGATGATGGAATCTGGAACCCCGTGCAGTCGGACTACGTTATCTACGAACAGCGTCGCGGCTTCCTCTGCTGTGACCTGGCCGTGCGTGGGGATGAAATGCGCTGCTCGGGAAAACTTGTCCACTACCACGAAGATGGCGTCGTGACCCCTAACTGTGCGCGGTAAAGCCATGATGAAATCCATGGTGACTACCTGCCAAGGGCGGTCGGGCGGTGGAATCGGCTGCAAAAGTCCTGCTTTGCGCTGGCGAGAGGACTTCGTACGCTGACACGTGTCGCACGAGCGAACGTAATCCTCTACGTCTGCTGCAAGCCCTGGCCAATAGTACGTACGACTAAGCGTCTTAGCTGTCTTATCTGCTCCGAAGTGCCCTGCGCTAACTACATCGTGTGCCTCTGAGAGAAGGAGCTGTCGAAGAGGGCGGTAGGCTGGAACCCAAATCCGTGCTGTGCCCTTCCGTATGTAGACACTACCCTGCACCTCTGCTCCTGCGGGCGGCTGTGCTGTGAAGTCAGGATCTACTGTGTAACCGTGCTCGAAGAGTGCTGTGAGAAGTGGATGGCCGGCAGTGACTGTGAGACTAGCGAGCTGGCAACTAGGGCGAGTGAGCGGATCTGCTGGGTTGCGCACGCCCGGTTTGTACTCTATCCTGTAGTGGAAACTCCCCTCCATGAACTCCATCCATCTAGCCTGGCGACGACTCAGCTGCGGCTGCGACTTGAGAAAGCGAAGCGAACAGTGGTCCGTGCGTATAACACTATCTGCCCCCTCTAGGTAGCACCTCCACACCTTATACGCATGGATGATCGCGAGCGCCTCCTTGTCGTGGATCGGATAGTTCAACTCTGCTCCCCTAAGCTTACGCGACTCGTACGCGATCGGCTGCAACCCGCGTCCCTGGTCCTGAAGAAGCACTGCACCTATGGCCTGATCTGAAGCGTCGGTCACTACAACGTATGGGCGAGTGGGATCGGGGTACGACAGTGTCGGTGAAGACGTGAGCGACTGCTTCATCTGCTCGAACGCCTGCTGCTGCGCTGGACCCCAAACGTACTCTACGCCTTTCCGAAGTAGGTCGGTGAGTGGACTAGCGATCGATGCGTAACCCTGAACGAAACGACGGTAATAGTTCGCGAAACCGAGGAAGCTCTGCAACTCCTTGACTGAGGTCGGTGCTACCCAATCCTGTACGGCTGCGATCTTCTTCGGGTCGGTCCTAACGCCACTAGCGGAAACGACGTGACCTAGAAACTCGACCTCGGGGAGGAAGAACTCGCACTTAGACTGCTTCGCGTACAGCTTCTCCCTCCGCAAGACCTCAAAGACCTTCTGCAAGTGCTGCACGTGCTCCTCTTTCGACTTGGAGAAGATCAAGATGTCGTCTAGGTAAACTACGACGAACGAACCTAGGAACTCCGAGAGGACTGTGTTCATGAGCGTCTGAAACGTCGCTGGGGCGTTGGTCAATCGGAACGGTAGAACCCGAAACTCGTACAACCCCTGCTTCGTACGAAACGCCGTCTTGTGCTGATCCTCTGGAACTACGCGAATCTGGTGGTAACCCGAACGAAGGTCGATCTTGGAAAATACTCTAGCGCCCTGCACTGCATCTAGGAGATCCTCTACTCTCGGCACCGGGAATCTGTTTTTGACGGTGGCGGTGTTCAGTGCGCGGTAATCTATGCACATCCATAACCCTCCGTCTTTCTTAGGCGCGAACAGGATCGGTGCTGCCCAAGGCGATCTAGATGGCTGTATGAACCCCTGCGCGAGAAAGTGCCTAACCTGCTGCGTCATCTCCTCTGTCTCTGCTGGACTCAACCTCCACTGCGGCTTCGCTACTGGCTTGCTCCCCGGCTCCAACTCTATTCGATGGTCTACTGCTCGGCTGGGAGGTAACCCTGGGGGCAACTCGTCGGGGAAGACGTCTGCGAACTCTGCTAACAGTGCACTCACCTCAGCAGGAAGAGTCGCCTTCTCACTAACTGCTGCACTCCCTCCTTTCCCCTCCTCAGCTTCCTTTCCCCTCTCTGCTTCAACCTCCTCAAGGAAAACTGCGAAGATCCGTGCCGCACGCTTCACTAACTGTCGCACACGAACAGCATTAATGATAGCTGTGGATGATGTGGCCCCATCGCTCCACTGTGGCAGCTCCCGGAACTCCCCGTCTACCTTGACACTGCAGCTTCCCTGAGCCCAATCGAACTGTGTACTAACCGTCCGTAGCCAGTCTCTCCCGAAGATGAAATCGTAACCGTCCAACGTCGTAGAGTCAAAGTCACGCCTAACAGTGATCGGTCCTAGCACTACGCGCAACTTGCGAATGACTGGTCCTATGTGAAGCGGCGTCCCATCTACCATGCGAGCGTCCTTGAAGTTGACTGCCGTATCTGCTTCGAGATGGAGACGACTAACTAACGAACGAGTGGCTAGCTCCGCTATCGACGAGAATCTTAACAGGAACTCCGCGAAGCTTCCCTAGAAGCACGACTGGACGATCAACAGTGTCTACCCCGTTCTCCGTAGATGACTGCTGCAAGGCCGTCTCCTCTACGTTGGTAGACGTGGCGGGTACGGGAACCTCCACACCAGCTAGCGACCCGCTATCTACTGGCGGTTCCCGTTTCCCTGCTGCTGCTCCTTGAACTGTGGGCAGTCCCGCTTCATGTGACCCGGCTTTTTGCAGTAGTAACAGTTCCCCCTAAAACCCGTCCGCTGTGAACCGTCACTGTTAACTGCACCAATCTCCATGGGCGATGGTCCGTCCCTCGATCGAGCGTCGTTGATCGGTCTGCTGTATCCCCTATCGCGATCGTCACGACCCCGTCGGCTTCGTACTGCGTCGACGCGTTCTGCTGCTGCGACTACTGACTCGAAGGTGGACAACCCATGAATCGCTATGACCTCCGCTATGTCCGGCTTCAACCCCTCGAGGTAGCGATCGCGCATCTCTGCTTCCGTGATGTCGTCTATCTCGTTGCAGATACTCAAGAACCGTCGTGTGTACTCCTGGACGTTCCCTATCTGGCGGAAATGACGCAGACGCTTCCTAGCAGCTTCGGAGGCGTTCACCAAGTCGAACCTACTTTTCAGCGCCGCTTCAAATCCTTCCCATGTGGTCGGAACCGTGGTAACACCCAAAGCTAAACTCCCTAAGCTCGAAGTTGCCGCTACATGTCCCACGCCCTGTTGATGCCCGTCCGTCTGAGCCCTTCTAACAGCAGTCTGCGTAAGTTGGCGCCACCACTCCAAGGTCGGGCCCCTCAACAGCGTCACGGCATACTCAATCCGCTGCTGCGCGTCCGCCTCTTGCACCCCGCTCGCGGCGAAGTAGTTGTTGAGCATGAAGAGCCACGTCCGCACGTTCGCGTCGCGCTGACTTGGGTCGAACGACTCCGGTTTCTGCGGCTTGAGCGCGCTTCGACGTTCCGGTATCGCTTCCGCGCCAGTCGACGTGGTGGGTGCAGGAGTTGGTACGGCATAACCATGGGGGTTAGAAGCCAATTCACGAAGCTGTTGCATTTCAGCTCGTACCTGACGATTTTCCAACGTCAACTCTTGAAGTTGGCGCATGAGTTCGGCAAGCGCGTTGCCCATGTCTTGGGGGAGAGCGTTCATGGTCTCGTCCATGTTGGCTCGACGACTCCAAGTCTGCAAGTCGGCACCGCGGGACGATGACGGCGTAGTCTCGTCGTCGACGGTCGCTCGTTGGAAGTCGCTCCCCGCGAAGGCTCTTGATACCAAGTGTTAGGCCCGACGGCCTAAGTCCGCTAAAGAATTAGCGGGGTCGACTAAGTCGAGGATAAAGCGCGGCGGAAGGCTTTGGCGAAAAGACTATTGGCGAAATAGGCGAAGAAGTTACTGAGTAATTGAAAGAGAGTTGAATGAGAATTGGTTGATATGAGGGAATACAAGCAAGGTTTATATAGCATGCAAGAAGGAAGGTTGGAAAGTAGAATGTGGGACTAGGAATTGTGAAGCTAGAAAAGTAGAGTGCCACGTGGCACTAGAGAATCTGAGAAGATAAGGATAAGGGTGACTTGGAATGTACTGTTCGGAATGAACAGTAAACACCCCTCTAACACAGGGAATGCTCTATCACAGTCTGCAGAACAAAACCCTAAATGTAATGCGCCCCCAATTTCCTGGAATTCAAGTGCCCCACATCCACTTCGCAGAAATGGTCCACTCTCATGCGTTGACGTCAGCGGTTGACACACTTTGACCGAAAACACTGGAAACCTTGTTCATCCTTCAAGGTTAAACAGTTGAAAGAAAAAGCTACCTTTATTTTAATAGTACCCTTCCAACAATTAATTGAATGGATCCAAATGTCCAGAAGCCATAATCTTAAGAGCGTCTACAAGGATAAGAACTGCAGAAAACCTAGCAGTTAGCTCTTCATTCAATGATTTCTCACCTTTTTATCCCCATCCGGCAGGCTCGAGCTGCTGATGTCTTGAGTGCTTAGTTCTGTAACCATTTTGCGATCATCATCACGTTCCTTCCTAGGAACGATATCGGAGACTCCATAATGAACCCCACCACCATCAATCACACCACGTGATCTGTTAGCCTGCTCACGCCAGTCAATATCCATTACAAGAACACCCAGCCTATGCCTTGAGGGGGTAAAATACCTTGGGATTTCTATCAGAGAAATGCATATACCCTCCGTTGTTGACTATACGGATGCACTCATTATCAGCCAACCTGGAACAAAAAACAGAGGAGAGACAATGAGCAGATAAACCAAAGACCACTGTTATGTAAAAAAGGTGTACCTTAAGAACAGTAGCTTGTTACTCACTGATTGCAAAGAGTGGTGCTTTCCTGGTAATCCAAACCAGTTACGTGTACAGTGTTGTATACTTCCGCATCACTATGGCTGTTGGTAACCGCAACGACCACCGGCCCGCGTTGGAACACCAACAAGTGGGAGGAGACGAATCGAATGTGCTGCTGCTTGTACTGCCACAGGGCCACCTGCATGGATGCAGATATGATAAAGGGACAGGGATATCAGATGACATGGCAGGCACAGGTTGCTGTTTTTGATTAAACTGCAAAAGTGAGGCAACAGGGAAGCTTCATGAAAAGTTGTCGAAAAGAGAAGAACGGGGGAACAGAGGGAGGGGGTACAGGGTGAGTGAAGAGGGAGAAAGGGAGAGGAGGGAGGATAACCAGCAACTTCTGGGAGAGGAAGAGTAAGGGAGTGAAGAAGCTGTAGAGAGGGTGGTATGTGTTGGGATATTTTCTTTTCGGAGGCAAATGACACCTTTACATGCTGAAAAGGCGTTGAGGCCCCTCAAGAGAATTTTTGAAAGCCCTTGTTCTTGTTTTTATGTGTTTTTTTTTTTTTTTGGGAGGCGAATGACACCTCTTGCGTGTTAGAAAAGCACCATGACGTTACCTTTTGTTGGAAGCGAATGACAGCAGCCAGGAAGCCGTAGAGAGGGTGGTGCATGTTGAGGAAGGGCCACAGCGACTCGCGGTTCTGCGGGTCGGGCCCTCCTTTGAAGGCCTGACGGGGAGAAAGGAGGGATTGGAGATGAGCAAGACCAAAAGATTACAGTGGGTAGGAAGCGGTACAGACGGGTGCAAGTGAAGAGAGGAAGACCTGAAGGAGAGGAACGGAGGGAAGGGAGAAGAGCACATGAAGCAGCAACACAACACCCGCCCGCCCACCCACCCCACCCATCCGACCATTCACCCTCTTGCCCACCCACCCACCCACCACGCCCACCCAGCGTCCACCTGCTCTGTGCTCGAGTAGACGATTGGGATGCCTCTAGAGGTGAGCAGCAGCCAACTTGCTGTGTGCCACCCCCAATCACCCACCCACCCACCAGCCCACCCACCCACCCACCTGCTCGGTGCCCGAGTAGACTATTGGGATGCCTCTGGAGGTGAGCAGCAGCACCAATGCATTGCGCAGCAACACCCGCCCACCCGCCTACCCACCCCACCCACCCACCCATACACCCACCCACCCACCCACCCACCCACCCACACACACACCCACCCAAGCACTCACCCACCCACCAGCCCACCTATCCACACCAGTCCCACCTGCTCTGTGCCCGAGTAGACAAGCGGGATGCCTCTGGAGGTGAGCAGCAGCCAACTTGCTGTGTGCCACCCCCAATCACCCACCCACCCACCCAACCACCCATCCACCCGCCTACCCAATGCTCACCTGCTCGGTGCCCGAGTAGAGGAGAGGGATGCCTCTGGAGGTGAGCAGCAGCACCAACGCATTGCGCAGCAACAGCTGGTCTGAGCGGGTGAGGGGGAAGAGAGGGAGAGGGGAAGAGAAGAGAAGGAAGGGAGCTGCCTTGTGGGACGACAATTGGGACATGTCTTATGATGCCTCTCGAGGTAAGCAGCAGCACCAGCGCATTCCGCAGCAACAGCTGGTCTGAGCGGGTGAGAGGGACCCAGAAAGCGGGAAAATTCGAGACGATATCTTAGGCGATTTTTTTTCAAAGGCATTTCTGTGCAATCACTTACCTCCGCGCAGCAAGCCCAGCAAGCGGGGTGAGTCATGGTTGTCAAGAAAGGTCCCCTGAAAGTCCGCGTTCCCAGCTGCAGCGCCAGCAGAAGAAATACGGTGCTTGCTTTGCAATCTCTCACCTCCGCGCAGCAAGCCCAGCAGGCGGGGCGAATCGTGGTTGTCGAGGAAGGTTCCCTGAAAGTCCGCGTTCCCAGCTCCCTCAAACACTGCTGCCATGGCCCTCGCAAGCTCAACCATAGACGCTGCTTCCGCAGATGCTGCCCTCACAGCAGCAGCGGGGGGGCCAGAAGCGGCACCGGCTGCATCACCAGCAGCATTAGCAGCATCATCATCATCAGCAGCAGCTGAGGCAGCACCGGTGGCAGCAGTTGCACCAGCATAAGCAGAAGCAGAAGTAGGGAAGGCTGGGAAAGCAGGGGCGGCAGCAGGGGAAGCAGGAGAAGTGTAGCCGGCAGCAGGGCTGTGCGTGAACCCATCAATACCCGTGTTGCCGCCTGTGAACGCCCTCACCATGGCCAGCTGTAGCGCCTGCTGTAGCTCGGCTGTAGCGTGGTTCTGCAAGCAGGGAGAACAGAACAGCACAGAGGGGAAATATGAAACAGGAAGCGTGGAGTTGTATTGAGAGGGGATTACACACACCAGTGATGTGCGTCTGTGTAATCCTGAAACAGGAAGCGTGGAAGGATTACACACACTCACATCACTGGTGCCAGAGTTGTATTCAGAGGGGAAAAGGAGAGCACTGCATGCATGCATGCATGGACTGCACCACCTGATAACAGTAGTGCTTTGAGACGTCTCAAAACACTACTGTTATCACGAGTTGTATTCAGAGGGGAAATGGGGAGCACTGCACGAATGCATGGACTGCACAACCGCCTGCACTGCACTGCACTGCACTGCACACATGGTGGGAGCCTGGGAGGGGCAACACATACAGATGACGGTGTATGCACTGCACTGCACTGCACTACACACTCGCCGTGTGTGCTCTCCCTGCGAGCAGGCGGTGTGGGAGCGGCAGCAAGGGGATGGAGAGCTCTGCAAAGGCTGGCACTCCGAGGTGGGAGGCGAGGTGGAGGAGCCTTTGCTGTAGCGGCAGCGAGATGATGCTAAATGGCCCGGCATGGCATGGCATGGCATGCCATCAGCACTGAGTAAAAGGCTCACCGTGTATGCTCTCCCTGCCAGCAGGCGATGCGGGAGTGGCAGCAAGGGGATGGAGAGCTCTGCAAAGGCTGGCACTCCGAGGAGGGAGGCGAGGGAGCGGACAAACTCGGGTGGCATGTGGTGTGCTGCATCGACTCGTATGGCGTCGAATGAGAACGCGTGCACCAGATAGGCTGATGGGGAGGGCGCGAACAGGGTTGACAAGGGAAGAAGGAAAGAGCGGGGAGGAGTGAAGGCGGGAGGTGAGGGGGCGAACGAACTTGGGGGGCATGGCATGTGGTGTGCTGCATCGACTCGTATGGCGTCGAAACGAGATAGGCTGGCAGGGAAGGGGGGAGAAGGGGGGGGATGGGATGAGGAAAAGCGGTCACCGCTGGATGAGGAGAAGGCGCCTGTGGTGGGCTGCGCAATCGTATAGGTGTGGCTGGTCCGGCGCCATGTGTGTGGGGCATGCGCCATGTGTGTGGGCATGCGCCATGTGTGTGGGCATGCGCCATGTGTGTGGGCATGCGGCTGTGAGGGATCACGCATCACCGTGGGCGTGGATGGCATGCAGGTAAGCATGGGACTTTTGTGTATGCAGGGAATGCACAAGCCGCACTCACTCACTCACTCACTCACTCACCAGTGGACCGCACTAGTGCTGCGGCAACAGCGGGGTTTGATTGGTTGAAGTCTGGGAGGCTAGCTAGCCAGCAGCGCTGCCAGTTGTCGGCGTCGTATTGGCTGAAATCCACCTCGCAGGGCGGATGGAAGGAGGTGCTCTGACGTTTGTGAGCGCGGGGAAAGGGGGAGAACGAGACGGGGACAATGAGCGTGGGATAATGGGAAAGTGAGGGGGTGATGAGAAAAAGTGAGTGGGGGGTAGGGTGGGGGAGCAACGCAGTTAACAAGCTAGCATTCTCCTCGTATCCCATTCCGCCCCATTCTCCATCTCACCTCGTTGAAGGGAGCATAGCTGTCGTTGAGCCATGGTGGTGGCCGAATCCCCTCCTGCCACGTGTCACATGGTCCTCCACCCTGAGGGCACCCCACGTGGTTGAGTACCACTGGTGGTGGCATGGCGGGCAGGGAGAGGATGAGAGGAGGAGAGGACGAGAGGAAGAGGGGAAGAGGGGAAGAGGCAAGCAGAGGAAAGGAGCCTTGGGTTGTGGGGGAAAGAGTATCCTGATTAGAATGGCGAGCATAGCAACTCCGTGCCCTGCCATGACATGCCGTGCTGTCCCATGCCATGCCATGCCATGCCATGCCACACCACGCCACACCACGCCACACCACGCCACGCCACGCCATGCCACGCCATGCTATGCCATGCCAGGAACGCACCATCGATCATGACCAGGAAGCCCATGGCATGAGCCGCATCCACCAGGGCTTTAAGCTCCTCGGGAGTACCGAGGTGGGGGTTGATGGCCGCCTGGCGGAGCGAGGGGCACACAGTGACAGTGGGAAGGGCAGATGGCAAAGAAGCGAAGGGAGAAGGGGACGGGAAAGAGGGTTTACCCAGCCATTGAGCACAGCGGCAGCATTGAAATGGAGTTCAATGCGATTGATTTCACAAACACGCAGTCACAAAAGGGTTGCAAGGTTTGTGCCTTGCAAATCTGCCACAAGGTGTTTTGCCACAAACCATCACATACCTGCAAGTTTCCTCCCTCCCCTTCTGCTCCTGCACGAGGCATGGTGAATCCGCGAGGCCAGTAGCCGTGGTATCCATAGGGGCTGTTGACTGTTACCGGGCCGATCAGCAGCGCGTCAAAGCCCATCCCTCGTATGTCTGGTGGGAGAGGTGTGTTGAAAGAAGGGAAATGGAGCAGGGGGGAAAGGAAGTAATTATTGAGTCAGCACAAATGTCAACCATAGGGGCTGTTGACTGTTACCGGGCCGATCAGCAGTGCGTCAAAGCCCATGCCTCGTATGTCTGGTGGGAGAGGTGTGTTGAAAGGAGAGGAAGTGGGGAGAGGGGAGGAGAAGGGAGAAAGAGAAAAGGGAGAGGGAGAGAATAACGATGGGAGACAGGAGAGGGGGAGACTAGAAGGCGGAGGATAACAGCAGCTCAGCCAGGCTGTATGTCGGTAACTCATTCTCAACCCAGGGCAATTCAAAAGCTTGGACTCATGGCCCTTTGCTTGAATTTGCATCTAGACCTACCAAAGGGCATAACTATGTAGAGTAGAAAACCACTCACTCACAAGGCAAGTGCTGCCTCATCCCTGTGAACGTTCCTCCTGCACCCACATGGCGAAGCGGGATTGGATTAGATAACAGAGGAGATTTGTCACTGCTTGTCTCGAAATCATTGGGAGGAAGAGGTATGTGCTCGATGCTTATTTTGAATAAGCAGTGGCGTTACTTTCTGCAGAGAAAAAACAAGACATAAGATTCGTGCAATTACTAGAAAACAGGTGCAGCGGGGTTGAGATTACCACAGTAGTCAGAGAGCGTGGCACACTGTTGTTGGGATAGAATGGGCTTGGGAGGAGCGAATCTGTCGACAAATACCTGATGGGTGGAAGGGGGGTGTGGGAGAGAAGGGAAGAGAGGGAAGGGAGAAGGAGAGAGGTGGTGCGGGCTTGGGAGGAGCGAATCTGTCGACAAATACCTAGTGGGTGGAAGGGGTGCGAGAGAGGGAAAGGAGAAGGAGAGAGAGGGGGGGAAACGGGGAGAGACGGAGGACGGGGACGAGAGGGGTGAAGTGAAAGAGAACAGGAGACAGGGGGGAGAGAGGGGGAGAAAAGAGAGGAGAGGGCGCCAGATGAGGGAAAGGGAGAGGGGGGATATGGGACGAGAGCGCGAGAGACGGGGGAGAGACGAAGGGAGAGTGGGGGAGAAGAGGAAGAGGAGGGGAGAGGGTGATGCATGCATCTAAGAAGAGGGTGTTAGAGACTTTACTGTCCCAAAACGCATATACAAATTTGTGTACAATAACGTGGTTGCACGACACCATTCACATGATAAAACAGTAACCACCAGTCACACTGTAACACAGTAGCAGCAGTCACACTGTAACACATTAGCACCACTCACATGGTACACCACTCACATGGTACACCACTCACATGGTACACCACTCACATGGTACACCACTCACATGGTACACCACTCACATGGTACACCACTCACATGGTACACCACTCACATGGTACACCACTCGCGACCGCCAGCTGGCAACTGCCTCCCTTAGCGCCAGCGACTCGCCGCTGTAGACCCTCCTTTCAGCGAACGGCTCCGATTCAGATGCTTGTAACGAGAATGCTTGTAACGAGACGGACCAGAGGGTACGCAGCGACGCGCACGCCGCGAGCAGAACTGCCAAAGCAACGACAGAGGAAGCTGCGAGGAAGGAGAGGAGGAAGGCCTGGGAGGACGAGGAGACGCGACGACCGTGATGGAGGCGAGAGGCGGCGAGATGGTGAAGATGGTGATTGGAATGGACGGCCATGATGAACCGACAAGAGTGGCGAGCTTATATTGACGACGACAGGATGATTATTTCCAAAGAATTAAATTCCGCCCTCCAGAAATTACGCTTCAATAATGGCCTTAGAGAATCAGAATTCGACTGATTATCTCTGCGGTCTAATATCGTAAGATCGGGTAAGATCGGGCTTTTCACTGCTGCAGGCTGTGCGTCGATATCATAAACCATCGTAGCCTTCGCTTGTTTCGAGGATTCTCCGAATTTGCATCCAACGTAGATGCTCGCTATGTTGCGTGTGCCTCTCCAGACCATCATGAAGGTATGCTTGTGCGACCATGGCGTCGCAATACGGATGCAAATCTTGGGTGTCTGGTATCCGCGTCCTCGTCGTCGTCGTCGTTCTCGAACTACACGGCGTATGGAAGCTAAGGAGGAACGAACGGGCTGCTGAAAGGCTGCAATAGAACGGGCTCTCGACGGGCTTTTTAAGGATGAGCATTGGTCTCTCCGAAGGGAAGACTGGTCATGGGCGAATGGAGAAACACCACCGGCTCGGGAAATGAAGAAGCACAACGTGCAAGGAAAGCGAAGGAACATCACCACCAGCGCTTATGAAGGTATGGAGGAGAAATCTGGGAATGAGGGTTTCTTGAAGCACAGCCAAAGCGAGTGCGGGTGCTGTCCATTGTGTAGGAGGGTGTAGGTCTAGATATAATATGATGTTATATTTTAGCGGGTACAGTCAGGAACGTCTAGTGTTCAAACTTATTCTTGATTCCGGTAGTAACTAATTTGACGCTCTTCTCTTAAAGGTTGTTTTTGTGATCCGATCATACGTGAACAGAGATTATGTTTCCGCGCAAATGTATGTTCTCAGACCCACACTTACGTGAACAGATAGAAATTAGCCACTTTCAAGTCCTGTTTTGCTAAAACTGCTACTAGAATCTGGCGGCAAAACACGAGACACAACGGTCACTGCCTTCCCTGCAGGCTTCCCGTAAGCCACCCAGCCAACCACGTTGCGAGAAACGCTTTCGCAATCTGCTGTTGCGAAATCGTAGACCAAGCCCAGAATTTCGCTCGTCAGGTTCAAGGTGTAACCACTAGTCCCCCATGCTCGATCGGCAGTACGCTGGGATTCCATTTTTCGACATACCTTTTCCTTCATTGCTCAGCGCGGCACCCCGAAGACTGGACCACCATCGATTTCTTTCTAGTGTGCGGCGAGACCGAGTAGCTGTCAACGCAGCATCGCGGGATCACTTGCGATGGCGTCAGAGGCGGCGCCGGGTCAGCTCGGCGCGCGATGGACTCCTCCAGGAGGTGGCTCTGACGGGAAAGGGGGAGGGAGTAGCGGCGGTAGTGCCAGTGGTGGTCTGCGTGTAAATAACAGCCTGTGCAACGAGAAAGTGCCGTTCATTCCGCAAAACGGACGACGAGGTAGGTCCGTCCGCCATTGCTGGGGTTAGTGGATCTGTCAATAACGCGATTCGAGATCATTGGCTGGATTGAATAAGCCATCGCATCGGACATTTGCAATCGTCGTGGCGTTTATTGGTATTCCGTGCAAGTAAACCCTTCATTTTTCGGGATTGGTCTTCAACCTAATTTCGCCCCCACCCTCTCGTTACAGTCACATGGTACATCTGCGGTCCTACAGTGTACGACTCGTCGCACATCGGCCACGCGCGAACGTACCTCTCCTTCGATATTATCCGCCGCATTCTTGAGGTGACTTTAGTTTTCTTACAGTCTCACGCTTTTCTTGTCCGTGAGGTGGCCATTCCCGCTCATTTCAGCCTGTTTGTGCTTCTCTGCTATCTTCGTGTATCTTGTACCGAACAGGACTATTTCGGGTATGACGTGTTCTATGTGATGAACGTGACTGACGTGGACGATAAGATCATTGTGAGGGCCAGGAGGGATTACCTCATCAAGCAGTACCTCCACGCCACGTCAGATGCCGCCCAGGTGAGCTACCTTGCCACGTCAGATGTCGTTCAGATAGGCTATTTTGACAGTCTTTTCCATCTTTCTCAACTCAACCTCTTTTCGTATCAATCTTTACCTTCCTTTCCCAATCGTCTCGAGAATTGTCTCCTCCATCGTCCTCCCTCCACCCTTTCCTCGCCCCAATCCCCAAGTTTAGGTCTTGGCCGACACGCATTCAGCACTGGGAGCAGCAGTGGAGAAGCAACGCGGTGTGGTTGAGGGGTTGAAGGCGACAGCAGGGGGGGAGGGCAACGAGAAGAAGAAAGAGACGCTGCTGCAGCAGGCCGCACAGGAGGAGCTGAAACTGCAGCAGCTGGAAGGGGCGGCACAGGCTGTCTTGGAGCGGCTGGGCCCGGCGTGCGTGACAGCTGGCGGGCGGCGTGGCGTGTCTCTTCTGCTGGGGCGGCGGGCAGAGGAGGTGGAGGCGAAGGAGGGAGGGGCTGTGGGTGACGAGGCACAAGTTAAAGGTTCAGCAACAGATGGGGCTGCAACAGCAGCGGGTGGGGAAGCAGCAGCAGCAGAAGCAGCAGAGGGTGACAGGATAGCAGCAGAGGCCGCGGCAGATGCACTGGCAGCGTCGTTGGATGCGAAGCTGAAGGCGACTGTGACTGATGTGTCCATCTTCAGACGCCTGGCTGCCAAGTGAGTGAGTGAGGGAGTGAGGGAGTGAGCAAGTGAGTGAATGAGAGCGAGACGATCATGTGTATTCATGTCTCTTTGTCGATCGTTTTGTTTGTTTGAACCATAAGTCTCATCTATATTATGTGTGTGAGTAATGTGGATTGTATTTCTGCTCTATGTCGAAAACCCTTATAACAGGTACGAAGTGGAGTTCTTTGAGGATATGAAGGCGCTGGGAGTGCGGCCACCTCACGTGCTGACTCGTGTCACAGAGTACGTTCTCAGATGACATGTGGTACAGAGTACCTGCTGACACGACATGTGTTACAGAGTACGTGGTGAGATGACACGTGTCACACACAGATCATTTGTTGAGATGAAGTGGTTTTTGGAATACTTATCATTCGTACCAACGAAGATAACTGTCGTGACATGCTTTTTCAGAATCTATTTGTGCCAATCACATCTCCTTCAAACCTCAGGGGCCATTGAAGGATGAAGGAGCGGCAAGCGGCATTCACTCTGGGTGACTTAGTCACCTCTTGCAGCATCCCTCACGTTGCACCAAACCCTAAACCCCATACCCTATCCCTCTTCATACCCCCGCCCTTCCCGCCTGTGCATGGCCTAGTTCTGAGCCGTCTCAAAGTCATCTTCCCGCCGCTCTCCGTCTATCCTCACGTCCTCTTTTCCCTCTCCCATCCCCTCTCTTCACACTCTCCTCTTTCCTCCAGATACATAGACAGACGCCATTGTCAACTGTGTGGACATGCACGATCATGAAGAACGGTTTCCCATATGCCATTCACAACTTTTGGGAAATCCAAAAACTCCCTGCAAACATCCCCTCCTCACCCCCCCCCCCCCCCCCCTTGTACCCCAACCCCCCTTTTTGCCCACAGGTACATAGACGCCATTGTCAACTATGTGGACATGATCATCAAGAACGGCTTCACAACCCCCGTCACACCCCCCACTCCCCAACCCCCACCCTCCCTTCCCCCCTCCAGGTACATAGATGCAATTGTCAACTATGTGGACACGATCATAAAGAATGGCTTTGCGTATGCCGTCAACGGGAGTGTCTACTTTGATACCAAGGCCTTCAAGTGAGTTCACTAGGTGGAGTGGAAGTGACATGTGTGTGCGTATGTGAGATTGATAACCTGTTTTTTTATGTGAGTTGACTCCAAAATCTTTGCATATGCCTGTTATTAAAAGGAGATTCTCCCTCCCCTCTCCTCTCCCCCTAATTTCCCCTTCCTTCCCATCTCCTCTCCCCCTAATCTCCCCCTACCTTCCCCCCTCCATCCGCTACCCCCCACCACTACAGGGAATCGGGCCACATGTACGGGAAGCTCTGCCCATGATCTGTGGGCAGGGCATGCGATTGCCGCTCCCCTCACTCATGCCCAAAACCCCTCTTTCCACCTTCCCGCTTCTCGTTCCTCTTTCCCCCCACTTTCCCCCAAACCCATTACAGGGAGTCGGGTCACATGTACGGGAAGCTGTGCCCCTGGTCTGTGGGCAGCGCTGAGCTGGCAGCGGAGAGCGAATCAGACTTTGCCACGTCAGAGAAGCGCAACCGCAGCGACTTCGCCCTGTGGAAGGCCAGCAAGGCCGGGGAGCCATCCTGGCCGTCGCCTTGGGGCGATGGACGGCCAGGATGGCACATCGAGTGCTCTGCCATGGCTTCAGATATCGTTGGGTTTCCCATGGACATTCACTCAGGCGGCATGTGAGTGGGGAAGGGAATGATGCTTGAGGGGGGGGGGGGGGGTGAGGAGTGGGATAGGGTTGGGGGAGGAGAGAATGCTTGTGGGGGGAAGTGGGTGAAGGCCCAATGGATTGACGGTCAGGATGGCACAGTGAATGCTCTGCATGTCTTGACGTCTCTTCCACCAAACCCTCCCCACTATGTTGCACTATACGCTTTTGAAATTTAACGTATCGCGTATATGCCTTCACGTATAAACGGGAAAACGTGAAACGGGGACAAATACGCGATACGTGAATTCGGGCAGGGCAAAAAAAATTCCAAAAAAAAATAAAGTTCGCGCTTTTTCCGTACGCACGTATTCCGACATTTCGGGTCGCGTTTTTCCAACCTGTGGACGTGCAAAACCGAATCGCCACGTTCACCCCACGAAACTCAACATTGCCCAATCACCCCCAACAACTCGTGACCAACCAGAGCACGTCCCCCACCCCGCAACCAATTCGTGGTAGGTATAATTGACCCCACCACAACACATCTCTCATTCCTGTTCAGTTCAGTGTTGAGCTATGTCTACTCCAGTCCCTTCTAACCACACTCAGCCTTCTGGTCCGTCTACTCAGCATAGTGATCCTTCTGCCTCGACTTCGGAGGCGCAATGGCTGGAGGAGGATAGTACGCATGTCGTCTTCAAGCATTTCAAGGTTCCCATCCGTCCCGACACAGTCGGGACTATCCGCGTTTGCAAGTATTGCTCCAAGGAGTTCAAGGGTGGTGCGTTCCGATGCGCTCAGCATCTCGCGAAATGGAAGGGACAGCGCTCTCGCGACGTCCGCCTGTGCGCTAAGGTTCCGGCCGACGTGCGAGCGGCGGTGGCCGCGCACTACGAGAAGAAGGCGTCCAACCGCGACGAGAAACGGCGGGCCGAGGATGCTGCGCTCAATGCTGTCGTGGGAGGTGCGAAGAGAGGACGCATCACCGACTTCATCGGCGACGAGGCGCAGTGCAAGAAGGGCGAGGCGGACTACGCCGTCAGTTTGTTCTTCGCCGGCTGTCGCATTCCCGAACACCACGCCGACAACCCGTTGTGGCGCAACATGGTCAGGGCCATTAACAACGCACCCCACGGTTACGTTGCGCCGCGACGGAACTACATCGGAGGAGCTGGTCTGAAGCAGTGCCGCACGAGCATCGAGAAGGGGCTTCAGCCAATCGCCGCGAGCTGGAAGAGGGATGGCGTCACCGTCTCCTCCGACTTGATGACCGATCGGTGCGGGAGGCCGCAGGCGAACGTCATGCTGGTCAACGATTCAGGAGCGGTGTTCGTGGAGGCTATCGACTGCAACATGGAGTCCAAGACCGGCGGCTACATCGCGTCGCTCCTCCGCCCCATCATCGAGAAAGTGGGGCCCCAAAACGTGGTCGCACTTTGCATGGACAGCGGATCCAACTACGGTGCCGCCTGCAAGGAGCTGATGGCGGATTGGCCCCACATCGAGTACGTGCCGTGCGCTACGCACGTACTCGACCTCCTGTTGGAGGACGTGGGCAAGATCACGTGGTGCAAGGACATTGTGGATCAGTGCGGGGACATGATCACCTACGTGCGCAACCACCATTTCACCCGCAACTACCTGAGGAGTAAGAAGGTGAAAGGAGGAAAGGGGAAGCAGCTTGTGAAGCCGGCGGGGACGAGGTTCGGCACCAACTACATCGCCCTCTCCAGGCTCGTCGAGCTGCGGTCCACGCTGTCGCAGATGGTGCTGAGCGAGGAGTTCGCCAACTGGTCGGCGGGGGCTAGGAAGACGACGGCGGATACATTCCGCGGGCAAGTCATGGACGACGCCTGGTGGAAGAACGCTGCGTACCTGGCGGAGCTGTTGGCAATTCCATTCAAGGTGATGCGCGCCACGGACAGCAGCGCCAAAGGGATGATGGGGACCATCTACGACCTAATGCTCCAGCTGACCGAGGACGTGAACGACAAGCTGGAAGCGGGGGAGAAGATCTTGCCGCGGGCAGTTGCGACTGACATTGGGAAGATTGTTCGGCGCCGTTGGGACGAGAGCCTTGCGTGCGCTCTTCACGTCGTGGGGCGGATCCTCAACCCGGCAAATCAGGAGGAGGGTATTTTCCGCAACGACATGGAGTGTACCCGCATCTTCAAGGCCTTCATCGCACGTCACTACGACGGTAAGACGTTCACCAACAAGGATGGTGAGGAGAGGCGTGCCTCTCTTGTTTTGCAGGAGGGGCTCACGGCCTTCCTCACCCTTGATGGTTCCTTCGGCCTTCCTGAGGCAATTGCCGACAGGGAGGCCGTGAAGGCAGGCAAGCTGTCGATGGTGGCGTGGTGGGGATGGCACGGGACTGACCACCCCCACCTGGCCAGCCTTGCGTGCCGTGCCCTGACACAGCCGGTGTCGGCGTCGCCGTGTGAGCGCGGGTGGGCATCATTCGAATCGGTGCACACTGCCCGCCGCAACAGGCTAGGCTCGGAGAAGCTCCGAGACCTAGTTTTTGTGACCCACAACTGGCGTGTGGTCCACAAGTACCACAAGATGGGTGAGTCATTGGCGGTGCTTCCGGGCAACATGCCTGAACCCGCTCTGCCGGAGGGATACAACAAGGAGGAGGAAGGGGAGGAGGAGGAGGAGGGGGAGGAGGATGAAGGTGTGCTGGCCGATGAGTACGTGAAGTAAGAACGGCAGCAGCAGCAGTGTAAGTGGTTCAGGAGCTGGGCATGCAAGAGGAGTAGAGGAGGAGAAGCAGATGAAGGTTTGGGGAGTAGGGGAGAAGGGGAGAAGGGGAGTAGGGGAGTAGGGGAGTAGGGGAGTAGGGCCCTCGGGAAAGTAGTTGCTAGTATGTGTGTACTTGCAATTCAAGTTTGTAATGGGGAAAAAAAGTTTCATACGTCGGGAAAAAATCAACTGCACAAGGTCAAAATGAACATAGGCAGCGTGACTCACCCCCCCATACTTTTTTTCCCTGCCCGGAACTTTTTTTTCACCTGCCCGGGCGACCGTATTTCGAGCGTATCGTGGGGCTGAAATCGCCCGTATCACGTACGTACGTGAGCGTACAGTACGTACGCGACTGGTACGTGAAACGCGTATTTTGCAAGGGAGGCTCCCCATCCACACCGCACTTTGCCACACGCCCCTCCCCCATTCGTCCCTCCCCGCTTCGCCGATACGCAACCCCCCCTCCCCCCACTTCATGCACCACCAGTGACCTGCGGTTTCCTCATCACGACAACGAGTTAGCGCAAGCAGAGGCGTTTCATGGGTGCGGGCAGTGGGTGAACTACTTCCTGCACGCGGGGCACCTGCACATTGAGGGTCTCAAGATGTCCAAGTCGCTCAAAAACTTCATCACCATCCGCCAGGTGGGGTGGGGGATGCTGTGCTGCCTGGCTAAAGCATCAGAGTGGGGTGGGTTGTGTGAGGGAGGTTCCCAGGCCTAGGCAGTAGTAGCAGGGCTATCGCCTCTGTGTGCGTGACTCACCTGCACATCGAGGGCCTCAAGATGTCCAAGTCGCTCAAAAACTTCATCACCATCCGCCAGGTGGGGGATGCTATGTCCTGCCGTGCTTTGCCCTACCTCACACTCTTGAAATGTAACTGCTGCCTCACCCGCTCATTGCCCATTCTTCTCCTCCTTTCTCTCACCCAGTCATAACCCATGCTCCTCCTTTCCGCCCGCCCACCCACCCGTCAGGCGCTAGAGAAGTACAGTGTGCGCCAGTTCAGATTGCTCTTCCTGCTTTCCCCCCACTCCTTTATTGCTCATTCTTATCCTCTCCTGCGCCACCCACTCCCCCACCCGCCCACCCGCCCACCCGTCAGGCACTAGAGAAGTACAGTGCGCGCCAGTTCAGATTGCTCTTCCTGCTGCAGGCCTGGGACAAGGTAACGTAACGTGGGTCAACGTGGGTCAACGTGGGTCAACGTGGGTCAACGTGTGTTGACGTGGGTGAAGGTGTGTCTGTGTGGGTCAAGATGGGTCAACAAAGTGGGTCAGTATTCCAGGATAGGACTGGATTTGCCCCTTCAAATCACCAGCTCGCTAGTTTCAAGGTGTTCCGAGCTAGAATGGCACACCACAGCCCCCTCGGCCGACCCTTTTTCCAGCTCATCCATCCCTTCAATCCTATACAAACCCCTTTCCATCTCTGCCCCATATCCCCTCACAGGCATTAATCCTCCTCTGATCCTTCCCACTCCTTTTCTCCATCCTCCATCCCTCCTCCCATTCTCCCGCCTGCCTCTCTCCTATTTTTCCTTCCACCTATCAGCCAATCAACTATGGGGAGGGTGCGATGGCAGATGCGGTAGGGAGGGAGAAGCAGCTCAGAAACTTCTTCCAGACCGTTCAGGCTGAGATCCGGGCGGCGGTGAGTCGTGCTGACGTGGAGTTACAGGTTGAAAAGGGGCATACATGTTGTTGGAAGTTTATTAATTGCTTGGCCTGGGGTAAATTCTGATGTATACGTGCTGAATTAGCTCAACCCACCCCACAGCATTCCGCACTTCCTCCCTCTCCCTCTTCCCATCCTCATGCGCCCTCTCGTTCGCATCAACTTTTTCAAGTGGGACTAAATCTTCACTCATGGTGTTGTTCCTGTCCCTGGTGTTATTATTATCTACCATTTCTGTCCATACCATATCTGCCATTTCTTCAGACCCGTGTTCACTCGTTCGCTGTCTTGATTCAATGTGCCGGTCTGTCTTGGTCACGTACAGGGGGAGCAGGGCGAGGAGGCATGGAGCGAGTTGGAGAAGACTCTCAACGCTGTTGTGGCTACTGCACAGGCTGAGGTGCGTTGTGGGTGCAGAGAGTGAGAGAGTGGGGGAGGGTGAGGGAATGTGTGTGAGGCGAGAGTGGAGGCGCAGCATGTTAGAGAAGACTCTCAACGCTGCTGAGGTGCGTGACTGCTGCAGCGAGTGAGAGTTTGCTCGAGGGACAGAGGGGATTGTGTGTGAGAGATTGTGGAGGAGGAGTGGAGAAAGTTGGAGAAGACTCTATGCGTTGCTGTGGCTACAGAGCACAGGCAGAGAAACGCAGTGGGTGGAAAGCTGATCTGACCCAAACAAAAACTCTGAGTAGTCAAAATAATTGGCTGGGGTGTGTGGTGGTGCACGAGGGCGGTGAGTGGTGCGTGCGTGACAAAGAGTGACAAGGGTTCCTCAGTGCCCGTCTAGAGGACAACTTTGACACGGGAGGCGCCATCTCAGCGCTCTTCGACCTCATCTCAGCCACCAGCATGTACCTCTCCCCACCACACCCGACCTCTTCCCACCATTCCCCACCACTCTCCACCACTCTCCACCACCCCCCACCACTCCCCACCATTCCCCACCACCACTCTTCACCGTCAGGTCCTTGCTCGTCTAGAGGACAACTCTGACACGGCAGGAGCGATAGCAGCGCTCTTTGACCTCATCTCAGCCACGAACACAACCCACCCTTCCTCACCACTCCGCACCACTCTCCACCGCCCCTCACCACGTCCCATCAGGTCCGCGCTCGCCTAGAGGATAACTTTGACGTGGCAGGAGCCATTGCAGCGCTCTTCGACCTCATCTCAGTGACCGATGTATACCTCTCCCCACCACTCTTCACCATGTTCAGGTCCGTGCTCGTCTAGAAGACAACTTTGACACAGCGGGAGCCATAGCAGCGCTCTTCGACCTCATCTCAGCCACCAACGTGTACCTCAAAGACACATTCCACCGCTCCCTTCCTATCACTCCCCATCAGGTCCGCGCTCGCCTAGAAGACAACTTTGACACGGCTGGCGCCATAGCAGCGCTCTTTGACCTCATCTCAGCCACCAACGTGTACCTCAAAGACACATCCGCCAAGAAACGACGCCCGCGGCCCCTCCTGCTGCAGTCCGCTGCCCAGTTTGTCTCCCGCATCCTGCAGGTCTTTGGTGCGTGCCTCCAGTCATGGATGTTTATTTTTTAATTTGAATGACTTGAAAAGACGTCGCTGAGGTATGCATGGCTCTGCCTCTTTTGCTATGAGATGCCAGAGGCATGTGTTTGATTGACTATGCATGCCATGCATAATTGGTCTGCAAGACGTTGCTCTCATCCTTGGTCTAGCCTGCTTTGTCTAGTTGTTGAGCGCTCACTTTTCTCTGAAGCTTCCCTACGTATGGCGCCCATGGCACTCATTGCACGCAGGTATACTTTGGCATGTGTGTGTGCCTGTGTGTGTCGACTGACTGTGCTGCAGGTCTGCTGGACTCGAGTCTGGATTCGTTTGGCATGACAGCAGGCGGAGCAGCAGCAGGGACTCAGGGCGAGCAATCCAAGGAGGCCACTGTGGTGAGTCAAGGGTGTACACATCATAATATACATGTGCATACGTTACGGATATATATTTGTATAAATATAAATAATGTTTTAACGCGCGTGTGCATACATTTGTGTGCACACTTTGTTACTGTGCTGTGCTACCTCTATATATCCCTTGTTGTCCCTCTAACACCATGTCAATGCTGTTTCTCTGTTCCCATCTCATCTCCTCCCTCTTGCCGTCCTCTCAGCTGCCCTACATTCAAGGATTCTCAACCTTTCGTGACGATGTGCGGGCAGCAGTGCGGAGAAACGCCACCAAGGTGAGACGAGATGAGATGAGATGAGGTGGGAGCAAATGAGTGTTGGTCAGCGCAAGCGCTGAGGGCATTGCCATGATAGATAAACTTTGTTTTATACGGACGTTGCGAGGGACTATGCGATGGTGGACCTTGGGATTCGCTGTGAGGACCAGGACGGCGCAAGGAGATGCATGATGCCCGTTTCACCCCATGTCACACCCTCCTCCTTTCCATCCACCCTCCTTCCTCCCACCCTGAAACACCATAATTTGCAGGACGAGTTGCTATCCCTCACCGACAAAGTGAGGGACTATGCAATGGTGGACCTTGGGATTCGCTGCGAGGACCGGGGCGGGGCGGGAGCAGAGGCAGCGGTGGTGAAGCTGGATGATCCCAAGGTGCTCAGGGCGGAAAGAGATGAGCGGATTGCCAAGGCTGCTGCTGAGGCGAAGCGGAAACTGCAGACGAAACTGGCTGCTAAGGTTAGACGGGGAAGGGTTTGAGTAAACTGGGGTCTGGCCTCTAGGGGTGGGGTTGGGATGGAGAGGAGCGGAGGCAGCGGTGGTGAAGCTGGATGATCCCAAGGTGGTGCGGGCGGAAAGAGATGAGCGGATTGTTAAAGCTGCTGCTGAGGCCAAGCGGAAACTACAAACAAAATTTGCAGCTAAGGTGAGGGAGGGGAAGGCTTATGGTGAACTGGGTTGAACGTGTGGGGGAAGAGGTCGGGGAAAGGGGGATAGGGTCTGGGTGAAGTGGGGTGTAGGGGTTGGGAGTGAGAAGGAGAGGTGGAATGGCAGGAGGGAGGTCGGATATGGTTTTGAGACAAATTACCCCCTTTTTTTTTCTGTGTGTGTGTGTGTGTGTTCTGTCTCATCCTGTACCACAGGTGAAGGACCTGGACCGGTGGCAGGCAGCGTCTGTGCCTCCCTCTGAGATCTTCCAGAAGGCAGTTGACAAGTACAGGTGTCCGTGCCTCCCATTTCTTCTTGCATCCTCCTCCCTCTTCTCTCCCTCACAGGTGAAGGACCTGGACCGGTGGCAGGCAGCGTCTGTGCCTCCCTCTGAGATCTTCCAGAAGGCAGTTGACAAGTACAGGTGTCCGTGCCTCCCATTTCTTCTTGCATCCTCCTCCCTCTTCTCTCCCTCACAGCTGAAGGACTTGGACCGGTGGCAGGCAGCGTCTGTGCCTCCCTCTGAGATCTTCCGAAAAGCAACCGACAAGTACAGCGCGTGGGATGACAAGGGCGTGCCCACACATGACAAGGAGGGCAAAGAGCTGTCTGCCAAAGCCAAGAAGGTGCGTGCGTGCTTGATTGCTCTGCAAGTTCTCTGTGCCTCACTCTGCGTTCTTTGGTAGGGCAATTGACAAAGTGCGTGCCCACAAATGAAAGCTTGCTGTTTCCTACATCATCCTCCCATTTGGGTGTGCTCTTGTCAGTGTGCACTTGTTCTGCGTTGTGGGCACGAAATGAAGGAATGCTTTCACCCTCCCCTTTTCCGTCCTTCTCTATCCCCCCACACTCCTGCCCCCCAGGGTGTGGACAAGGAGCTGAAGAAGGCAGAGGAGTCGTTTGCCAAGTTCCAGCAGACAGCTTGTCTCGCCATCTCGCTCCTCCGGCCCCCCATCGCCCTCTCTCTCACCCTTTCTCCCTCTCCCTTGCCACCCCCACTCCTGTCTGCAGGGTGTGGACAAGGAGCTGAAGAAGGCAGAGGAGTCATTTGCCAAGTACCAGCAGAAGATGGGGGAGGACCCTGGGTTCCTGGACTCACTCAGAGAGGAGGTTGCCAGTCTGGAAGCTGAGCTAGCAAAGTGATACGGAAGGGTTGTAAGCGATGGTAGAGCAGCATAAAGCCTTACGCTGAATTAGGCTTGATGAGATGAGGAGGCAGAACTCGACATTACCGTATCTGCCGAATTTTGTCATCCACCTCATCTCATCCATCTGCCTCTCCTTCAGCTTTGCGTTGCACTGCACTGCACTGCACTGCACCACACCTCACCGTATCCAAATCATATACGGTAGCTATGACGGGATCAGAGTGGCACCAGACTTGAGCATGGTGCTGGGTGGAGTGGGATGTTTAATTTCGTGAAAGGAGAATGGGGTGAAATGCATCCAGTTTTTGACACTGTATTTGAGTAGCTAAACAACTGTCGTACCAGCATGCCCGGAAGGGTTTAGTAAAATACCGTAGAGGAATTTTCAGCCTAGGCTGGCAGCGACAACATTATTAAGTGTCCCTTACGGTACATTGCTTTTGTCCATAAGATACCACTACTGTTGCAGCAGTAGCAGACCGAACAGAACAGTGGATAGCGGTACAGTGAGGTTGTCGTCTAGCTTGTTGCTGATTGGCAGAGACTCCACCACTGTAGCTCCGAGGCTGACCAGGAAGACTCGGAGAGGCAGGTTCGGCAGCAGCAGCCAATCAGAGGAGTAGAATTCCGCTGCTGTGAAGAGATGAATAGTGCTGAGGGGATATTTCATGCCAACATGAGGGGGGAAAAAGGGGGAAGGGAGGAGGTGGGTGCTGAGCTGATGGGGCGAGGGAGGGGAGTTGCTACAGGCCGAAGGAGGGTGGAGTGAGTGGGGGGGGGGAAGAGGGGGGGGGGGTGTGGGGGGGAAGGAACGAGGCGAATTGTGCTGATAGGATGAGGAAGGGGACAGGTCACAAGGCAAAACGAGGAGAGAGGTGGGGTAGGAGGAAGGGGGGAAAGGGGGTAGCTGGTTGCTAGCAAGCGGTGTTGTAACAGCCAGGCAAACCAACAACATGCACCGAGCAAGCAATGAACAACAAAGCAAGCAGACAACACATAGAATCGCGAGCAAGCAAGCAAGCAGACAGGTATGCCTGAAAACATACAAGCAAGCACGAACTTACCCAAGGGCGAGGCCGTAGCCAAACACAAGCATGGCAATGCTCCCTGCCCAGCTCTTCTGGTTGTTCCATGGGAGCTTTGCGGAACCTACTCTCCGTCCCACGATGTCAGCAATGCCTGCAGAGCGAGTGAGGTATGAACAGGGACGGGGAAAAACCTTCTAGGCGCCAAAAAATTGAACAGGGATGGGGCAACGCAAAGGGAAGGGCAGTGAGAATGGCGGGTAGGGATGATGAAGCATGGCAGCAAGAACACAGGCTGCCATGAACAAATCTAACGACACAACAACCGTTACCATTTATCACATACCATCACCACCATACCTCCCATCCCCACCACAACACACACCAACACCAACCACCATCGCCATGCACCACCGCCAACCATCGCCACCGCACTACCCACCATCGCCACCGCACTACCCACCATCGCCACCGCACTACCCACCATCGCCACCGCACTACCCCCATCGCCACCGCACTACCCACCATCGCCACCGCAATACCCCCATCGCCACCGCACTACCCACCATCGCCACCGCACATGAGCGCCAGTGCCATGCCCCCAACAGGGGAGGAGCGCCAGAATGTGATTGTAACGAAGGCTAGCGTGAGGATGTAGTAAAGGGGACCGCCCAGAAGCTCGCTGTAAGGAGGAAGAGGAGGGACAAGGGACGAAAGAGTATGTGCAGGAGAGGTGAGAGGAGCAAGAGTGGGAGTAAGAGGGAGAGGAGAGAGAAGATATGTTGAAAAACTCCATAGGCTGGCTACGAAGAGGTGTGCCAGGAGGGGTTTAAGTTGAGGGGGAAGGGGAGTAGAAGGGGCCCAGGAGCCCCACAACACACCACCACGCCACACCACACCACACCGTACCATATCACACCAAACCACACCACACCATACCACAACACACCACACACCTGGAGCTGCCCTCACGGCTCATGGCCTTGACCATGCCCTCGTTGCGCGTCACTCCCAGCCCCAGCAGCAGCAGGCGCGTGGCGTTGATCAAAGGCACTGCACTCGCGAAGAAGCGAGCGTTGAAGCCCGTGCTGGAATGTGGGGATGGGTAGAGAGGCGGGGCGGGGTAGAGGGGCCATGGGCGGGGGGTGACTTTTGAGACGTCTCAAAAGTCGTCTACTTTTGAGACGTCTCAAAAGGCACTGCACTCGCGAAGAAGCGGGCGTTGAAGCCGGTGCTGGAATGGAGGAGGGAATGGGTCGAGGGGCGGGGCGGGGCGGGGTAGAGGGGCCATGGGCGGGGGTTGGTTTGTTGGGAAAACCATGGTCATTTCTGGCAGTGCCTCAGAAGATCTCACGGGAGACTGAAGCTGGCTCGGCAGGGGATGATGTAACAGGGGAAGCTGACTAGGGTAGCAGCCAACCAGCAAAGCTTGAAGAAAGAGAGGAAGGAAGGTAGCGTAAAGGTAAGAGGTTAAGGAAAAAAAACTCAGATTGAACAGCAACGAGGGAAGGAGCTGACCTGAAGCGGACTAGTTACCAGGGATGCTAAGAAACAACAGGGGATGCAGACCTGTAGATCATAATAGCAGCTTGTTCGTTCTACGTTGTTGGCACGAGGGGCAAAGAAAGAGGGAGAGCTGACCTGAAGAGCAACGAGAGGGAGGGAGAGCTGACCTGAAGAGCAACGAGAGGGAGGGAGAGCTGACCTGAAGAGCAACGAGAGGGAGGGAGAGCTGACCTGAAGAGCAACGAGAGGGAGGGAGAGCTGACCTGAAGAGCAACGAGAGGGAGGGAGAGCTGACCTGAAGAGCAACGAGAGGGAGGGAGAGCTGACCTGAAGAGCAACGAGAGGGAGGGAGAGCTGACCTGAAGAGCAACGAGAGGGAGGGAGAGCTGACCTGAAGAGCAACGAGAGGGAGGGAGAGCTGACCTGAAGAGCAACGAGAGGGAGGGAGAGCTGACCTGAAGAGCAACGAGAGGGAGGGAGAGCTGACCTGAAGAGCAACGAGAGGGAGGGAGAGCTGACCTGAAGAGCAACGAGAGGGAGGGAGAGCTGACCTGAAGAGCAACGAGAGGGAGGGAGAGCTGACCTGAAGAGCAACGAGAGGGAGGGAGAGCTGACCTGAAGAGCAACGAGAGGGAGGGAGAGCTGACCTGAAGAGCAACGAGAGGGAGGGAGAGCTGACCTGAAGAGCAACGAGAGGGAGGGAGAGCTGACCTGAAGAGCGGCCAGAAGAGCATGAAGAGCAGGCCTGTTGTGATGTGCACAAGCTTGCGACTCAGCTTCTGCACTCAATGAAACATGCAATAACGGGGAAAAGGGTGAATGGGAGAGGAAGATGGAGTGGATGATGACCAGCATCTCGACAATCTCAGGAGAACCCGTCTACAGCTTACCCGTACAGTAAGGTCTCGCCTCTCCCACACCCACAGCTCACCCGTTCAATGAGGTCTCGCCTCGCCAGCTCATCAAACAGCCGCACCCAAATCAGGGAACCAAGAAGCGTTACAAGCCCCATGACAGGGTCCTGCCACTCTCCCAGTGATGCCGCTGCTGCTCCTACCCCTGCCGCTGCAGCCGTCACTGCCGCCGCCGCTGCTGCTACTGGCGCTGCTGCTGCCGGTGCTGCTGCCGCCGCCGCTGCTGTTGCTGCTGGTGTTGCTGCCGCTGCACTAGCAGCAGAACCGGCAGTGACAGAGATGGCAGCAACAGTAGCGCCAGAAATGGTGTTCTCTAGAGAATTAGGCGGGGCACCTAGTTGTGCTTGGAAGGGAAGGGCGAGGGAGAGCGAGAGAGGGAGGGAGGAGGGGAGGAGGAGAACAGGCGAGGATGACAAAACCCCTGACAGATGCTTTAGGTCTACAATAGGGAGGTCTGGCAAAGAGGAGGAGGTAGAGGCTAAGTTCCATACTGCGTTCTGCATGAACCCTCCCCCTGCCGCTCCTCCACCCGCTGCGCCCACCGCTTCTGCTGCTGCCGCCGCCGCCTCTGCCGCCGCCTCAGCTGCTTCTGCTGCCGCTTCTGCCGCTTGCGCTGCTGCTTCTGCTGCGTATGCCGCGGCTTCCGCGGCTGCCTCTGCTGCTGCAGCCGCGACCTGCGCGGCGGCAATTGCGGCGGCTTTGCTCGTAGTAGCAGCGAGTGCGTGGCTTTGAGGCGCCTCAAAACTCACCCCAATGCTTGCGGCCTGCGCGGCGGCGATCGCGGCGGCTTTGCTCGTAGTAGCAGCGAGCGCGTGGGGCGGGAGAAGCAGAGTGGTACCGAGGAAGCTTGCTGCTAAAGCTCCTGCTACAGCCGAGAACCGAGCCCAGTGCTCACTCCCCCATTCATGCTCCCTCCCGGCGTGCCCGCGTTTCACGCCGCTATTAGCGGCACCACAGGTGCTCCTGCTTCCATTGAATGTGATTTCTCTAGTGTCATTGCCTGAGCCTCTCTGGACGATGCTAGGGCCGGTCGAAGGTCGAAGTGAAGTGGGAATTCCGGTGTCAACTCGCGTTCCTGTATCCTCGCGTGACTGAGTCGAACGGACGAACGTCCCTGTTACGCCGTCGCGGTTGGCGTACTCGTTATAATCACGGCGGCCACCCGCGGCGATAATTCTGCTGAGAATGTGTGCCTGAGACACTCTACAACCGTGGTGGTGAGGGCGATGGTAATGGTGATGATGGTGATGGTATTGGTGATGATGGTGATGATGGTGATGATGGTGATGATTGTTCGAAGGAATGAGTTGTTGTTGCTGACCCTGTAATGATGTCCGCTGAAGCGGTAGTACACTTTGTACGCATTGTAAGACCTGTGAACCCTGATAATGCTGACTCCGTTGATCCCGTTGACCCCGTTGACTTAAATAACTCGGGTGTTCGTCTCGGCGAATTTGGTGCGCGCTACGGAACCGTATGCAATTTTGCTGAGAGAAGGAAATGGCGGGTGACTTAATCGAGAAATGGGTGGCGGAAACAGGTGATTGGCGGAGAGAATGGGAGGCCATGGCAGGAACCATCGAACTTGTCGTGGAAGCCACAGCCTGGTATCGAAATCCCCAGAGTGGGTACCTGGCCTGAGGAGTCAGCGATGCGGAACAAGCACAGAGGCGCACGACCTTCAGCAAGACGAAACCGCATATGCTTGGGAACCCCGGGACGGGTCTGAAGAGGTGGATAGCACATCCCCGCAGAGAAGCACACGGATAAACACAAACGGAAGAACACTAGTATCCTCTCTAGCATACATTGGTTATCTGTTTTTATGAATTTCCGAACATTTTATTTTGCTTTGTTTGCCTTTTCATAACTCCCTTTTCAGTTCATCTTGTTTAACTGAAACATGTTCATTCTCTTGCGGTCTTTAGCAAACGAGAAATACAAGCATTCACTCTAGGGGGTATTGGATTCGGTGGCTCGGGCGGGTCCCGTAATACAAGAATCAGAAGGTAAAAATTTGCATAACTTGCACTTTATGTTCCAAATGAAGGAAGGGGGTGCTTATTATAATGTTGTTGCTTTTCGTTAACTTGATATACGGCATTGAGTACCCTGCGAGAGAGCTCTACCAAGGGTATGCACCTCAGGGTGTGAGATAAAGGAGCACATGATTATGAAGTGTTAAAATATCACCAATATGGTGTAGAAAAAAAACATCGGGGTTTTCTGTCGGTTCAGAACTGTACACACAACAGCGCACCGCTCATTGTTTGGAGAAGTGGGACGGAACAGTGCGCTGCGTTGTTATGCCTCGCCAACTACGGCTCATCTCACATCTCGGTTCTTGGGAACGCCGCTGCTCGAGCCGTGTTTGATTGGCCAAGGTGCTGGCTAACTAACCACGATTCTGCCCTAGGAACTTGCTCAGCAAGCAATGCCCATGGACCCATGGTCAACTCTTGAGAGTGCCACGGGAAAGCTGACCCTTTGCGTGCCTCGAATAGGGAGTTGGTCCATTTTCCCAATCCCAATGGTTGACCAAGGCTTTTGTTCTTACCTCAGGCTTTTTGCCTGCAGGCCACTGTTGTTAGAGCATGTCCGAAGTGGTCGTCAACATCCCTCGACAAACGAGAAATGCCGACAAATACCAGACCGTTGGAGCATCTCTCCATCCGAGAGTTGACATTCGCCGAGACGAGTCTAGAAATGTCGACGGACACTTCGGACACGCTTCCTCTAGTTCCTGGCCGGTACCGTTGGGGGACGAGGTCACGGTCACGAGGCGTTTCCTCCATGATCGTAGAACGTGAAAGAGGGGAAGAACCATCGATCGACGTTGTCATTCACGTTGCTGCACGATTTATACACGCTTGCCTTATTCCTAAAATACCCAAGGCCCTAGTTTCTCGCCTACTCTTTCGAGACGACCATGTCTCACGGGCCATGCCAGCCTGACCCTGTCAGTAACTCGAAGCCCAGCCAGAATCGCACAACGACTCGTTGCAATGATGTTGCACAACGCGGGCGAAGCCGCAGCAGCAGCAGCAGCAGCAGCAGCAGCAGCAGCAGCAGCAGTGCCAGCCGTTCTGTCGTGGTAGCAGGCGGTCCGGACACGGAACAGGAAAGGTTCGGCTTTCCTCGGCACTCCCAAGAGTTGGCGGAGACGGAGCAGCCGGAGCAGACGGAGCAAACGGAGCAGACGGAGCAAACGGAGCAGACGGAGCAGACGGAGCAGCAGACAGAGGCGCAACCGTCAGAAGCAATGAAGCCGAACCCGCAGACGCTCAGCTCGCGTTCCAACCGTGACTCACCTCTCATGCCTTACTGCTCCCTTTCCTCCTCCTCCCTCTCTGCCGACGCCTCCCCTTCCTCCTCTCTCCGCTCCTCCCTCACCTCCTCTCAGCGGCATGCAGTTGACCTCACCACCTCCTTCCCGCAGTTCAAGCGAGAAATCGCCCGGATCCGCTGCACGGCATCCCTCAAATCCGCTGCCGCTGCTGCCGCGTCTTCATCTGCTGCCGCTGCTTCTTCGTCTGCTGCTTCTGCGTGTCCCAGTGGTAGGCAGCACTCCGAGGGGCGATGGCAGGAGTGGGCCGAGAAAGTGAAGGGAAAGAGGCTCCTATCACCACAGCAGATCGAACAGGACGGGGAGTTAGATGGGGACTCCCCTTCGGAGGAGGCGGAGGAGGAAGGGAAGGACGAGCCACGGAGCTGCGATGAAAATCGAATGGATCAGCTGACAGACCAGCAGCAGGATCAGGAGAAAGACGAAGAGCAGGTGAATCGGCAGGTGAAGCAATGGGTGCGGCACTCACAGGGCAAGCCACCGAGGCCCAGTCATAACCGCAGCGCGAGTGCGCATTCAACTCTCAGCAGGCGCCATCCAGACCTTCCGCCTCACCTGGAGCGTATGCAGGATCAGGAGCGGAATCAGAAGCAGGTGGACCAGCAGGTGAAGCATCAGGTGAAACAGCAGGTGAAGCACTCACAAGGCAAGCCACCAAGACCCGGTCATAACCGCAGCGCAAGTGCACATTCAACTCTCAGCAGGCGCTATCCAGGGCTCCCTCCTCACCCAAATCTCCTCTCCAGCTACCCCCTCAGACGCCTCTCGCGATTTTTCAGGCGCATCTTCAGGTGTTTCGCCAGGTGCCGCCTCAGGTCCCAGCCGCAACAGGTGCGTTCGACGTTGTTGCTCCCGCACCCCAAGTGCTGAGGTAATGCCATCTGGCTCTTTTTCTGCTGGACACTCCTCCTCCTCTCCCAATTATCATCTCACCGTTGCAGCAGCAAAACCTTCAGGCACTAGCTCTTCCCTGCACCGTCAGGCTCCTATTCAGGTCCTTCCTCAGGTGTTTCCTGAGGTGCGACCTCATGTGAGTCCTCAGGTGCCCCAGCTCCTCTTTGAGACACCCTTTCAGCAAGAATCCCCCCCTCTGCCTGCTGGTGCGGACCTGCTTCTGGCGAAATGCTCTGAGCTGTCAAGGGTTGAGCGTAGAGAGCTGTCAGTCAGAGCGCATGTTCTGAGACCAGAGAGAGGGGAGAGAGTGAGAAGGAAGGTGGATGTGGAAAAGAGAGAGTGAGAGGGGGAGGGGGAGAAGGGATTGGAGGGGAGGAGGGCGAAGGAGAACGAATGCGGTGCAGAGGGGTTGAGAGCGGGAGAGGGCGGTGGAGGGGAGAGGGAAAGGGGTAAGCTGGTGTGGGAGAAGCTAGAGCAGCAGCTGGAGGCGCAGAGGGAGGAGGAGGAGAGGCGAGAGAGGTTATTAGAGCAGCAGCGAGCAGAGACCAGAGATCAGGGAGAAGAGGGCAGAGAAGAGCGAGCAGAAAGCAGAGAGCTGCGCGATGCTGCTGCTGGTGGGGTGGTGGTTGGGGGCAGTGCAAACCAGAGTGATGAGGTGGATGGGCGTGGTGCTGTGGGGTTGAATCCGGTGCTGATGCTAGCCAGACCGCGCATGCTCTCCCGGCTAAATGCTGCTCGACGCCGGCCATCCGAAGGCAGCAGTTTTGACGACAAGAGTTTGGGAAGGGAAGTGGGGGAGGAGGAGCGAGAGAAGAATGAGGAGAGTGATAGGGCGAGTGGTCAAAGCGGGACGGATAGTGAGGGAGAGGAGGGGGATGAGGAGGAGGATGGGGAGAAGGAGGGAGAGGTGCTGTCAGCAAAGGAAGAGGCCATGATGCTGCTGTGGGTGATCCCTGGGACAGGGAGCGAGAAGGAGGAGGAAGAGGAGAGCAGGAGGGTGCGAGTATGCCAAGCCGTGGCAGAAGCAGCTGGGGAGATTGCCAGTGGGGCTTTAACTGTGGCAGGGGGAATCAAACAAAGAGCGCTGATTATTAAGGAAGGGGCGTTGAATGTTAGGGAAGAAATCAAGGAAGGGGTGTTGCATGTTAGGGAGGAAATGAAGGAGGGGGCGTTGCATGTTAGGGAGGAAATGAAGGAGGGGGCGTTGCATGTTAGGGAAGAAATTAAAGAAGGGGTGCTGCATGTTAGGGAAGAAATTAAAGAAGGGGTGCTGCATGTTAGGGAAGAAATCAAAGAAGGGGTGCTGCATGTCAGGGAAGAGCTAAAGGAGGGGGCACGGCATGTTAAGCAGCAGATCAAGGGGCGGGCAAGGAACATAGCGTCTGCCGCAGTGGCAGCAGCAGCAGCAGCAGCAGCGTCGGGAAAAGCATCTGATGAGTCTAGAAGGACAAACAGCATGGGCCTGCCCCGGCGTGTGACTATGAGCGGTGACGGTTCTGACTGGGTTTTTGAGGCGCCTCATAAGGTGACTATGAGCGGTGATGGTTCTGACTGGTTGTGGGAGGTTGAAGGAGGGAGAGGAGGAGGAGGAGGAGGAGGGGGAGGAGGAGGAGGAGGGGGAGGAGGAGGAGGAGGAGGAGGAGGAGGGAACAAGTTTCTGCAGACTCTGGGTAAGGTGAGGGGGAAGGTGCTGGCGTTGAGCAGCAAGGGCCTACATCGGAGGGAAACCTTTGGGGTGATTCGCCCTGGTTCTCCCGGGTTCTTTCACAATCCGCCCAGCATTTTCCATCGCAAGTCAGCGCCTGCTGAAGAGACAGTGCTTGTTCCTACGGGCAGTGAGGGGGGGAGAGTGGTGCGAAGCAAGAGTGTGGAGCAGAAGGGAGTGAGGGAGGTTGGGTTGGCCCCACGAGTGGGGGAAAGGAAAGCTGCTGGGGGCCCACGAGTTGGCTCTGATGGCATGGTGAGGGTTTCGGTGCCGCTTTCGCAGCCACAAAGCCTGGGGAGGTCTTATTCAGAGGAGGTGGGACCTGGTTCTGGGCAGCTTCAAAGCATGGGGACGGCTTTTCCAGGGGAGGTGGGGTCTGGCTTTGGGGTGCTTCCGAGCCTGGGGAGGTCGTATCTTGGGGAGGTGGAGATTGGTGCTGTTGGGTTTGCAAAGCTTGTACGGAGATATGATGACGATAGTGAGGATGAGGATGGGGATGAGAGTGAGAGTAACAGTAACGAGGATGGCATTAAAGAGAATGATGAGAGTGACAAAGAATAACGAGGATGTGTGTGGCAACAGCAGCGAGGCAATTTGGTGGGGCGGCTGCCGGTTACGAGGAAGAGGAGCAGCTAATGCTTGTTTATTCAGGTGAAAATTCAGGTGAATGTTCATGGAAACCGCTTGTGCTTGGTGGTTTGGAGGCCGGAGAGGCTTTGAGTGGACGAGTGGTAAAGGGAGGGGCATTGGAAGAGGGAGTTTGGGTGGATGCGGTAGGAGAATTGAGAGAGGGAGGAGGGTTTGGGAAAGGTTAGGAAGGGGAAGGAGGAGGAGGAGGACGGGGAAGAGTAGTTGCTGAATGGGGTGCTCTGAGGAAGCTTGACAGTAGGCGGCGAGATCGACGGTCAAGATTATCATTCAATTTTGAACTTTGTTCTGTGGATGAAGAGGTGAAAGTGGGTTTGAGTGAAGAGGGGAGAGAAGAGGAGGGGAAGGAGTGGCAGGAGGGGAGAGTGGTGGGGGATGGGAGGGGGTTGGATGGGAGAGAGGAGGAGGAGGAGGAATGTGATGGAAAGGAGGGGGGAGAGGTAGAGGAAGGAGGAGAGTCAGTGGATAGAAGAGGGATGAAGGAAGGAGAATTGGAGGAGACCAGGAGTGAAGGGAAGGAGCAACAGAGTGAGCGAGAGGAGGGAAGGTGCATCAGGGAAGTGGGAATGGGGCAGGAAGCAAGGCAGGCCAAGGGTGGAAAGGTGGTGGGGGAAAGAGAGGTGGAGGGGGAAAGAGGGATGGAGGAACGAGGAGAGGCAAAGGAGAGTGCAGAGATGAAGGGAGGAAAGACCGAAGAAGGTGAGATTGAAAGAATGCAGGAAAGAAAAAGGGCCAGGGCAGGGAAATTGAGTTAGGGAAGTGGAAATAGGGCAGAAAGGAGTTGAGAGACTGGAGGGTAGGCAGGTGGAAGGGAAGCGAGAGTAGGGGGAGGAAGAAGAGAGAGAGAGTTGGGGGTGAGGTGGGTGTTTGAAAATGCAATGGAGTGGGGAGAGAGCGCGGAGAGTGAGGAGGGAAGTCAGGAGCGCGGAGAGTGAGGAGGGAAGTCAGGAGCGCGGAGAGTGAGGAGGGCTTGAGACGATCCGGAGAAGAATGGGGAGATCAGAGGCGAGGAGGGAAGTAAGGTAGAGGAGGAAAGTAAGGTAGAGGAGGGAAGGGAAAGGAAACAGGGCATGGAGGGGAATGCGGAGGAAAGAGAAGAGAGGATAGGAGTGGTGGGGATGGGTGGAATGGTAAAGGGGGTAGATGAGAATGCTGAGGCAAGTCAAGTAGACGCTGCAACAGCAGGGCGTGAGTTTTTTTTTTTTGTTTGGAGGAAGAACATCAGTGACAGGAGAAATAGCAGTACCACAAGTGGCAGAAACAGCAGAAGTGGCGGAAACAGCAGAAACAGCAGAAGTGGCGGGAACAGCAGAAGCTGTGGAAACAGCAGAAGTTGTGGAAACGGAAGGAGAGATGGAAAGAAAAGAAAGTGGAGGAAACAGCGGAAGTAACAGATGCAGCAGAACTAAAACATTCTGCAGAATTATCAGCAGCAGTGGACGCAACAGAGCCAAGTGCGGCAACAACAGAAGCAGCATGACACAGCAGATTTGATAGAAGATGCAGAGTCGATAGTAGTCACAGTGGATTATAGGAGAAAGCAGAGGTGGCGGCAGAAGAAACACTGGCAGCAGCTGAGAAAGCATCAGATGTTGAACCATTGCGGTCAGCTGTAGCGGCTGCTGCTGTAGCCGCATCTCATCTTATGTATCTTCATTACATTTACCTGTATCAGGTATACCCGCTTAAGGTGTGTTCCGAATGAACCGTACTTGATTCACCTGTAGTAACATGCTGGACATTTAGAAGGTTGATAAGCACACATGTAGTGTACGAGATGCCAATCCACAATAGGCTCACAAGGCTGGAGTTGTGTAAACTATACTTTGGTTTTCATGTACCTATGTGGATTATGTTCACATATAACGAGTTGTATTATTTACTTGTACCCACAGTTGTGTGCGTGCTAGTGGGACTCCCTGTCTGTTCCTCACGACCACATCACAACCAGGGCTATTGCTAGGATTTTTGCTAGCTCGGACGATCCGGGCCCCTGTGAAAAAGACCCTGTAAAATCCGAGCCAGCGGGAAAAAAACCTTGACGAATCCGGGTTCGAGCCAGAAAAGGCCTGAAAACATGCATTACCAGAATTTCGCGGGAAACTCACAGTGGGTTGCGCGAGGGCTGGGGAGATTGGAGATGGAGTGGCTCTGGAGGGGTGAGCGAGATACTTTTTGTAGACTTAGAAAAAAATACGATGAGGAAGAGTACATCGGGAGAACAGGGCAATCAGACACTCTCTCCTTATTGGCCTTCTAAGCCATGTCGACGTAGAACGGGGCAATCAGACACATGGAGGCCAACAAGGAGAGAGTGGTTAGGAAATTCACTAAAATTGGCCCAACGTGTGTTTAGAGGGAGACCGAGAGGAATGCAAGGCAGGTCGGGGAGAACATGTCTGCTAAAATTATACGGGTCCCCTTGAGAACTCCCCGGAGAGATCCGAGCTGACTCAAAAATCACCCTTCAGTTTTACGGGCTGGTCCGGAAAAAACCTTGTGAAAATCAGGGCTCCTAGAAAAAACACCCTATAATTTCAGTCAAAACAGGGTAATTGCCCTGATAACTTAGGCCCTGATCACAACCTCAAGCTTACAGCCCTGCAATTGGAACACCCCATACCAGCGCGCTGCGTTTTTTTGTTCGGTTAAATACGGCTCATCTCGGTCCTTGGGAGCGCCGCTAGTCAAGAACTGATTCTGATTGGCTAGGGTGCCGCCGAGCCACGTTTTCGCCCTGGGAATTGCCCAGCTGAGCCAAGAGGGGTGGACCCTTGGTTGTGCCGCGTGAGGCCTCGAGTCCTCCCGTCCCGACCAAACCGACCCTTCGTTTCCCTCAATTTCGAAGCTGCTGCTACTTCTCTCCAATCCCTAGACTCGATCAGGTTTTTCTTCCCTAACTCTAGGCACTTTTACTGACGTAGGTCTAACAGTACTATAATGCCAACTCTCTGGTTACCGTTCGTATCATGAAACGTGAAAGGCGGAGGTAGATCATTTATTGCTTCTGACAATCGCGTTGCTGCGCGTTTTCATGCACGTTCGTCTTATTCCGAGAGTAATTACTCAGAGCGCCTGTCTCCCCCTGAAAGTAGCTCGAAGCGCAGCCAGAATCGCAGAATGTCGGCGCCTCGTCCAAATGATGTCGCACAACGGTCATTGCGACGAAGCCACAGCAGCAGCAGCGGTGCGAGCCGTTCTGTCCCGGTAGCTGGCGGTTCGAACACGAAACAGCGTGCGATTGGTCCAAGCATCGCTGACCGGAGTAGCTTAGCCAATGAAACGCTGCCAACGGGGCCGCACTACGGTAGAGATACGGCTGCTGACGAGATGCTGAGTCGCGGCCAGCGAAACGGCATGGCAGCTGACAGACCAACGGCTGGTATTAATTCCCTAAGAAGACGTGCTTCATCTGATCGAAGGGATTTTAGACATGATGTTCAGATTTCGAACAGTCAAATAGGAAGGACTGCCGGAAAGGTAAGTGGTTCCGCAACGGCTCACAGCCGGACTCGTAGCGTCGACGTAAGCGTTGTATTGTGCAGGCCTATAACGGAGACAGAAGCGGCGGAGCGCTGGGGTGGAGCATCAATGAATAGAGGGCCATCCGGTGCAGCAGGATTAGATGGAGCTCTCACGACCGTTGATGCTGCAGCCGTGTTGGACGACCACGATTCTTCGCGGTCCGAAGCGGACCATTGGCGAAAAAACCCTAACGCGTGGATGGAGTTCAAGAAGGATGAATTCAAAACGTCTCATTATAGCAAGGATAATTCCAGTGAGGTTTTGTCGCCTTTTGGAAATGACGTAAGGGTCGCTCCCGTGTCAAGACAGGCTAGTTCAGGCTCATGCCCTGGCCCTAACCCTAAAATGTACCTGCGCTCAAAATCTTTCAATCATTCTGTAACCGTGCCTTCGTCTGGAACTTCGTCGTCGTCGCCCTCAGGCTCATATCCTCCTCCCGCCTCTCTCTTTTCCCGCGCCAGCAGTACGCACGAAAGGTTCTCGCCCCTGACTTTTAAGTCGACCCACGAGTCGCCCTCAGGCTCTTATCCTCCCCCCGCTTCTCTCTTCTCTCGCGCCAGCACTACTGGCACTTCTGAGTCGACTCAAAAGTCGCCCTTAGGCTCTTTTCCTCCTCCTGCGTCTCTCTTCTCCCGTTCCAGCACTACTGGTACACACGACCGGTCCACTCCCCCTTCTCCTCCTTCCCCTCTCGTTTCCCGTTCCAGCACCACTGGTACACACGAAAGGTCCTCTCTCCCTTCCCCCAGACCCCCCCTCCCCTCCCACACGCCCACAGGTTCAGCCGTGTCACAGTTTTCAAGGTTTAACCGCTCACAATCTGTGGCAGCTGCTGCTCCTGCCGCTGCTGTTGCTGCCGTCGCTGCTGCTACCGCTGCTGCTGCTATTGCTGCTCCTACTCTTGCTGGTGATGGCGCTGGTGCCGGCGTTGGTGCTGGTAGCTTGCACCAGCAGCAGGCGAGGCAGCAGCAGCTGCCGCCGCCGCAGCAACCGAAGCAGCAGCAACAGTTTCAGTACAACCCTCGCGAATCTGCGAGTGCAAGTGAGAGCAATCTTTCGAGTAGAAGCTCTGGGCACAGGCGCAGTCAGAGCAGCGCGCAGGGGTCAGGCCAAGGCTCGTATTACGTGCCACAACAGTCACAACAGCAATCTACAGAGCAGCAGCAGCATGGGAGCGACAGTGGGAGCAATCGCCCTGGTAGTAGAAGCTCCCTGCACAGGCGCAGTCAGAGCAGCGCGCAGGGGTCAGGCCAACGGCTGACCCACATGACACAACAGATGGAACAGATGCAAGAGCAGCTACAGCAGCAACAGCAATCTACAGAGCAGCAGTGGCGTGAGGATGGCTTTCGTCAGCGGGGGAGTGATAGTGAGAGCAAGCAGTCAGTTAAGGGTGCAGGGCACAGGCGCAGTAACAGCAGTGCTCTTGCCTCAAGCCAGGCCTCGGATGTAGCTGTAAGTCGGCAGCAGCAGCAGCAACAGCAGCAACAGCAGCGAGGTTTGAGGCGACAGCAAATGCTGCAGGATGGTACTGACAGGGAGGGTGTGAGAGAGAGTGGTCAGCCGGCAGAGAGTGCAAGGCACAGGCGCAGTCAGAGCAGCGCCCATGCTGTCAGGCATAGCTTGGATAAGTCGCCTCGACCGCAGCCACATCAGCAGCAGCAGCAAGGTTGGAGACGGCAACAGGTGCAGCAGGATGGCATCGCGAGGGAGAGCGCGAGCGAGAGCAGCCAGCAGCAGGCAGAGAGTGCAAGGCACAGGCGCAGTCAGAGCAGTGCTCATGTTGTCAGGCATAGCTTGGATGAGATGCCTAGGCCTCAGCCGCCGCCACAGCAGCAACAGCATCGTTTGAGGCGACAGAAAACGCAGCAGGATGGCCCTGAGAGGGAGAGTTTGAGTGAGAGCAGTCAGCGGGAAGAGAGTGCAAGGCACAGGCGCAGTCAGAGCAGCGCCCATGTTGTCAGGCGCCCTTTGGATGAGTCTCCTAGCCTGCAGTTGCAGCAGCATTTGGGGCGGTGGCAGCAGCAGCAGCATGGGACTGGGAGTGGGAGCGAGAGCAGTCAGTCTGTACAAAGCAGTCAGACGAGAGAGCAGTCAGGTCACAGGCGCAGCCAAAGCAGTGCAACAACAGCAGCTCATGCCATCAGTCAGGGCTCTATTCACTCAGTGGGGCTGCAACAGCAACAACAGCCCCAAATTAGGATGCAGCAGCAGCAGCAACCGCGTGAGAGGCATCATCAGTATCAGCAGCATCAAGAGGAGGCGGAGCGTTTTCAACCAGAAAATGGGGTCGTATCAGGAGCTGGGCGGTTGACTGACAGACTGCTGACTGACTCTGATGACGTTCTGACGGATTCTGACAGAGGCGTAGGTGGCACTGACCGACTGATGACTGGTGATGGAGCTTTAGTGGCTGAGTGGCATGGGGGTGAGTTGGTAGGTGTTGGCAGGGAGCGGAGTGGGGATGGCAGGGAGAGGAGTGGCGATGGCGTGGGTATGACGGTAGTGCATGGGAGGACTATGGTGGTGGATGGAGAGGCGATAGAGGTGAGTGGCGAGGCTATGCAGGTAGATGGTTACTGGGAGGAGACACAGGGTGGGCGTTTACTCATTGCCCAGGATGCTGAGAGGCCAAAGGATTGGGAGGAAGAGCTGGGAGAGGATGCCGGAGAGCGAACGGGAGAGCAAGCAGGAGAGGCAGCAGGGGTGGCCGTTCAGTCCACTGGAAAGCCTTATGGTGGGCGTGTATTGGCCGCTGAAATGGAGGGTGGGTGGGGTGTGGAGAGAGAGTTGAGAGTGGAAGCAGCAGAGGTATCAGGGGAGATTGAAGGCGACCAAATGTCCCCTGACGATGCTGCAGTTCCCATGGCCACGCCTGTGTATGGATCGATGGGGGAAGAGCCCTGGGGGGAGGGGAACAGAGGTGACAGTGAAGGAAGTGATAGTGACGAGGGCTCTGTTATAGTGGCGGATGTTGTGGAGAGTGGTGAAGGGGGAGGTTTGGCGTTTAGAGTCAGGGAGGACGGGAGGGAAGAGGGATGGGAGGCAGAATTGGTGGATGAGGAGGACGGGGAGGATGAGGAGGAGGAGGAAGAGGAGGAGGATGAGGAGGAGGACGAGGAGGAGGCGAAGGAGGAAGAGGCATATAATGCGGAGGAGGCAGAGTCAGGTGGTTGGGGTGTGGATGTGGGGATGGGGGAGGCAGTGGAGGATGAGGAAGAGCAGGATGAGGAGGACGAGGGGGGAGAAGAGGAGGCGGAGGAAGAAGAGGTGGGGGAGGGAGAAGAGGGGGATGGCGGTTATAGTTTTGACGAACAGGTCAAGGTTGAGGAGGAGGGGAGGGGGGAGAGATTGGGGGCAGATTATTGGGAGGAGGTGGAGGAAATGGAGGAGGAAGAAGAGGAGGAGGAGGAGGAGGAGGAGGATGAGGCCTTCAGCCCAGCCACTGTAACAGCTGACGAGGCAGCTGCTGCCACGGCCGATGAGGCGGTTACCGTCACGAGTGATGTTCCGGTTCCTGTAACGGCCAATAAGCTGGTCATTGACTTGTCTGATGATGATGATGATGATGATGATGATGATGATGATGATGATGATGATGATGATGATGATGATGATGATGATGATGATGATGATGATGATGATGATGATGATGATGATGATGATGATGATGATGATGATGATGATGATGATGATGATGATGATGATGATGATGATGATGATGATGATGATGATGATGATGATGATGATGATGATGATGATGATGATGATGATGATGATGATGATGAGGTTATGTTAGAGGAGCTCCAAGCAGAGTGTCTGGAGGATGGGGGGACGGGGGGAATTCCGAGCACAAGCAAGAGCGGTGAAGTCAAGAGCAAGAGCAGCGGAATGAGGAATAAGAGCAGCGGGGGTCTGTTTCGTGGTTTGAGGAGCAGAAGCAAGCTGCTACTGGGAGGAAGCAAGGCAGGGGCTCGGCATGGGCAGACGGGCAGTCAGGAGGAGCATTGTGGGTCCATAGAAGCAGTGCCAGTCCCAGACACACTTATGCAGGGCGAACGTGGCAGTAGTTTTGATGGTGCTGCTCCTCACGCGTCCCCAGCCACGCTCCCTATCAATACTGCTGCCAGCAGCAGCGCCATCATCAGCAGCAAGAGTAGCAGCGGTATGGCAGGGCTGCGAGCACGCTCCTTTGCTGCAGTGGGGACCGTCAGAAGCGGTCTCTCCTCAGCTGCCACTAAAGCAGCGGCTGGGATCAGCTCAGGCGCGCGTAACGTCTCTGCGGTTACCAGCCTCCCCGGCGCTGCTGCTAGAAACGTGGCTGCTGCAGCAGGGGAGGTGGGGCAGGGGGCGAGGAGCCTTGCTGCCGTGGCAGCAGGAGGGGTGGCGACTGGTGCGGTGGCTGTTGCTGGGGGGATCAAGGGAGGGGCGAGGAACGTTGCAGGGGGGATTAAGGGGGGAGTGAGGACGGTGGCAGGGGGGGTGAGGGATGGGTCTATGACGGTTGCAGTAGGGGTGAAAGGAGGGGCTATGACTGTTGCAGGAGGGGTGAAAGGAGGGGCTATGACGATTGCTGGAGGGTTGAAAGAGGGAGCCTTGACTGTGGCAGGGGGTGTGAAAGAGGGGGCTTTAACAGTGGCAGGGGGAGTGAAAGAGGGGGCTTTAACAGTGGCAGGGGGGGTGAAAGAGGGAGCATTAACAGTGGCAGGGGGTGTGAGGGAGGGAGCACTAACAGTGGCAGGGGGAGTGAAAGAGGGAGCTTTAACAGTGGCAGGGGGAGTGAAAGAGGGAGCTTTAACAGTGGCAGGGGGTGTGAGCGGGGGTGCGCTGACAGTGGCAGGAGGGGCACAGAGCGTAGCATTTGCAGCAGCGGGTGGAATCAAGGAAGGCGCAAGGAGCGTAGCAGGCACAACAGCAGTGGGGGCGGCAGCGGTGGCAGCAGGAGGGCTCAAAGAGTTGGCATCGGAGATAAAGCACTTGGCAGAAGAGGTGGCAGCTGGGCACGCTGGTTCAGGCTCTGGTAGGATGCAACGGGTGCATAATGTAGCAGACAGAGAGGATAGAGAAGGCGAGGGGAGTGAGGAGGGTGAGGAGCGAAGGCTACAGAGTATCCGCTTGGGTAAGAGCAGGAGCAGAGATGGGGCCACCAGCGCCGTTCGAACCAGCCCTGGTTCCTTTACAGGCAGATCCGTTACAAGGAGTAAGACTCACGACAGCCGAATCATCAGCAGCAACAGCAGCTCCAGCCCATTGGTGCCTGCCGGCCTTGGTAGGAGAAGCAGGAGTGGGAAGGAGAGAGATGCCCCCGGCGCCTTTGCAGAAGGTTCCTTTGATGCAGACTCCTTCCTGGAAGGTTCCTTTGATTCGGACTCCCAGCCAAGGTGGTCATTCGATGCAGCTTCCTTTCATTCCAGCCCAGCCCATACAGACCCTTTCAATCCCGAATTTTTCGCTATGGATTACTCAGGCGACCTTGGCACTAGTAGTGCTAGTAACAGATCACTTCCTAGAGGGGATACTACCAGCAGGGGAGAGGCGCTCCCGCGTAAGGAGCACAGAGGCAGCCTGTTGACTAGGAAAGGCGGCAGTGCTAGGATGGTTAGAAGCGAAACTGCAACTCCGGCTCTGGCTGCACCGAATCAATCGCCCGTGTCCTCCTCCTCCTCTGCTGTAAAGCCAACCATGCTCGCTCGGAGTGCCACTGCAGTGGTAACCACAAGCTCTGGTGGTGGACCTGAGGCAGGTTCTGTTTTTGCCACTCAACCGCACTCAACCGCTTGGTCTGTGGCTCAAGGGGACTGCACCGCAGCAGCAATTAGGACGCTGCCTAGCAGCAAGACCACCAGCGGAGTGACTAGCCTCTCTGATCTGTCTTGCGCTCCTGACTGCGTGCCTCTTTCTCCTGAGAGCACGCATCTGTTGCTGTGGGAGGAGGAGGAGTGTGAGGAAGGAGGGGAGGGTAAGAGAGGGATAAGAAGCTCCCACTCCCGCCGTTTACATGCCTCCGGGCTTGCCATTGCCGGGGCTGCTGCCGCAGCTGCGGCAGGGGTTCGGTCCAAAGCTAAGAACGTAGCTTCGGGAGCGATGAATGTGAGGCAGGGGATCAAGGGAGGGGCGAGGAATGTTGCGTCGGCAGCAGCAGCAGCTGCATCTGGGATAGGATCGAGAGTGGAGAGTGTGGGTGGGAGTGGTGCATTGCGCGGTGCGAGCGTGGGTAGCAGCTGCTGCAGGCAGGCCCCTAGGACAGAGACGTTTGGGCATAATGCATCGTTTGTTGAGAGGTTTGCTGCTGGGTTGGAGGAGAGTGGGATGGGTGTGGAGGGAGAGAGTGGTCGGGATTTAGGGGGAGAGGAATGGGAGGTTGGAAGTGGTGACGAGGGATGGGAAGGGATGGAAGTGGGGGAGGAGGAGGATGAGGAGTGGGAGCTGCGGGGAGAGAGTGAAGAAGGGGAGACGGAGGGTGAGGAGTTGGAGGGCAAAGGAGGACGGCCGGAGGGGTTGCAGGGGCAGCACCAGGGGCAGCACAGGGGACGAATGTCACGTGCATTCTCCAGCAGTGCTGTTTCGGTGCTTGCCCGTCCTGGCACCAGTATGAGGGATGAGGAGGAGGAGGAGGTTAGTGCTGCGGGCAGTGCAGCCATGCGACGCTCAGTCAGCAGCAGTAGCGGTAACACGGTAACCACTGGTCTTGCCGTAACCAGCAGCAGCAACAATGCGGTACCCAATAGTGCCGTGGTAACGAGCGGTGCTACTGCTTTGACCAGCAGAGCAGCAGCAGAGGGGCAGCACAGCAGGCGGGCCTTACCTGCCTACCAGGTGCCCCTGTCCCTCCGCATCAGAGCAGCCTTGGAACAATGCGGCGGGGGTGAGGGAGTGGCCAGCCTTGTTGCCAGGTCAGCCTCGTTCTCATGGGCAGGAGCACAGTCAGCGAGTCCAGCTGGCAGTGCCACGTCAGCATCGCTGGATAGTGTTGCCGATTCCTGTTCCCCACAACAGCAGCGTCAGCGGATGTTGCAACGGGCTAAGTCCGAGGGTAGGAACACTGCTGCTGCTGATTTGGCTTCATCCTCCTTATTGCATGCTTCACGGTTGCGTTTTGCATCCCAAACTGGTCGCACTGGTTCAAGAAACCGCTCCGGTTCAAGGAAGCGACTGCAAGAAATGTTTCAAGAGCAGCAGCAACAACAGCAGCAACAGCAGCAGCAACAGCAGCAGCAGCAACAGCAACAACAGCAACAGCAGCAGCAACAGCAGCAGCAGCAGCGGCAGCAGCAGCAAAGGAAGCTATCAAGTCGTGGGTTGGGCAGGAGAGGGCAGTATCTGAAGCAATGGGCCTCAGCGGGATGTCATTCTCCCTTAGACGCTGCTGCAGATGCTGCTCTTGCTGCTGCCTCAGGTGTCCGCTCAGGTGCCTCCTCAGGTGACTATTCAATCGCTGCCTTAAGTGCCGTCTCAGGTGCCGTCTCAGGTGCCGCGTCAGCAGCCTCCTCTCCCCTGCGCTCCTCTTTCACACTGCATCCACGTGGCAGCTCTCCAGCAGCCTCTCTTCCACGTGGCAGCCTCTCAATGGTGCACCGTTTTGTCTTTATAGATCCTCCAGCCAGCAGCATTCGCCCTGTTGCCATCACTGCCAGCAGCAGCAACCCCCATTATCCTCGTATCCCTAGTAACCTAAGTCACTCCAGTAACTCTGTTTACCCCAGTAACTTCTGTAACCCTAGGGACCCTAATAACCCCAACTACTTGAAGCATAGTGACAGCGACAGGCGTGACCGATTGTCTATCAGAAGCAACTCAAGTCAGTTCCGTGAGAGCAAGACTTCCCAGCTCCTCCGCAAGAGCCAGAGCAGCGGTAGCAACAGCAGTGACTGGAGGCGTGATGTCAGCACGCACGAGAAGGAGCAGATTAGCACGATTGATTCTTCCACTTTTCACCGCTCCAAGTCCTCTGGAGCGTCACTGGAAAGTGCCACAGGTAGCTGGAATTCCGCGTCTCAGCAGCAGACCCAGCAGAAGGAGCAGGAGGCGCAGGAGGCGCAGGAGCAGCAGATGCAGCAGTCACAGCCAGTGAAGCCGAAACTGCAGAAGCTCAGCTCCCGCTCCAACCGTGACTTAATGGATTTGCAGAAGGAGCAGGAGGAGCAGGAACAGCAGGAGCAGCAGGAGCAGGAGCAGCAGGAGCAGGAGCAGCAGCAGTCACAACCAATGAAGCCGAAACTGCAAAAGCTCAGCTCCCGCTCCAACCGTGACTCGATATTTTTGCAAAAGGAGCAGGAGCAGCAGGAGCAGGAGCAGCAGGAGCAGGAGCAGGAGCAGGAGGAGCAGGAGCAGCAGGAGCAGGAGCAGCAGGAGCAGGAACAACAGGAGCGGGAGCAGAAGGAGGAGAAGGAACAGGAGCACAAGGAGCAGTTGCAACAGTCGCAGCAGCAGCCACAGCAGTCACAGCCAATGAAGCCGAAACTGCAAAAGCTCAGCTCGCGCTCCAACCGTGACTTAATGGATTTGCAGAAGGAGCAGGGGCTGGAGCAGCAGGAGCAGCAGGAGCAGCAGGAGCAGGAGCAGCAGTTGCAGCAGGTGCAACAGACGCAGCCAATGAAGCCGAAGCTGCAGAAGCTTAGCTCCCGCTCCAACCGTGACTCACCTGTCGTGCCTTACTGCTCCCCTCCCTCCCCTTCCCTCTCCTCTCTCCCCTCATCTCCCCTAACATCTCAGCGACATGCAGTTGACCTCACCACCTCCTTCCCGCAGTTTAGACGAGAAATCGCCCGGATCCGCTGCTTGGCATCCCTCAAATCCGCCGCTGCTTCTTCTAGCGCTGCTGCCTCTGGTGCCGCTGCTGGCTCTGCTTCTCCTGCTGCTTCTTCTGCTGCTTCTGCGTCTCTCAGTGGTAGACGAAAGCATCCCAGGGAGCGGTGGCAGGAGTGGGCGGAGAAAGTGGTGGGGAAGAAACTCCTGTCGCAACAGCAGAACGAGCAGCAGCAGGAGCAGGAGGAGGAAAACAATGAGGAGGGGCCACGGAGTTGCGATGCGAATCATCAAACTGATCAACAGCAAGATCAGCAGGAGTTGCAGCGGGAGCAGCAGGGGGTGCAGCAGGAGCAGGGGGTGCAGCAGGAGCAGCAGGGGGTGCATCAAAAGATGCAGCAGGGAATGCAGCAGCGGTTGCAGCGGCACTTACAAGGGAAGCCACCGAGACCGGGACTTCACCGCAGCGCCAGTGCTCAATCTCTCAACGGGCTCCATCCAAAGGCCTCTCCCTCTGAAGCGCCTCGTAAGTCGCGCCTTGGTTCGAGCGTGAGGTCCCTCAGAAGCAGTGTGAGTGCGGAATCAACTCTCAACAGCTGCCATGCAGACCTCCCTCCTCGCTTCCCCTCGCCAGGTACCCCCTCAGATGGCTCAGGTGAGCTTTCAGGTGCTTCTGCAGGTGATTCGCCAGGTGGGTTTTCTCAGGTGCGTCCTCAGGTGCTTCCTCAGGTGTTCCAGTTCCTCTTTGAGCCGCACTTATCACCGGAACCCTCGCTGCCTGCTCGTGCGAACCTGCTTCTGACGAAATGTGCTGAGCTGTCAAGGGTTGAGCGGAGAGAGCTGTCAGTCAGAGCGCTTATTCTGAGACCCGAGGGAGGGGAGAGAGTGCGAAAGGAGGAGAGGAAGGAGGGTGTGGAAGGGAGAGAGCGAGACGGGGAGGGGGGGGGGGAGAAGGGGGTTGAGGAGGGGAGGATGGCGGAGGAGAACGAGTGTGGTGCAGAGGGGTGGGGAGCGGGAGAGGATGGTGGTGTGGAGAGGGAGGGGAGTAAGCTGGGGTGGGAGAAGCTAGAGCAGCAGCTGGAGGCGCAGAGAGAGGAGGAGGAGAGGCGAGAGAGGTTATTAGAGCAGCAGCGAGCAGAGGGCAGAGATCAGGGAGAAGAGGGCAGAGAAGAGGGCAGAGAAGAGGGCAGAGAAGAGGGCAGAGAAGAGGGCAGAGAAGAGGGCAGAGAAGAGGGCAGAGAAGAGGGCAGAGAAGAGGGCAGAGAAGAGGGCAGAGAAGAGGGCAGAGAAGAGGGCAGAGAAGAGGGCAGAGAAGAGGGCAGAGAAGAGGGCAGAGAAGAGGGCAGAGAAGAGCGAGCAGAAAGCAGAGAGCAGAGTGATGCTGTTGGTGGCGTCCAGGATGTGGTTGGGGGCAGTGCAGGGCAGCGTGATGAGGTGGATGGGCGTGGTGCTGAGGGGTTGAATCCGGTGGTGACGCCAGCCAGACCACGCATGCTCTCCCGGCTAAATGCCACTCGACGCCGGCCATCTGAAGGCGCCAGTTTCGACGGCGTGGGTAGTGAAGGAGGGGAGGAGGAGAAAGAGAAGGCTGAGGAGAGTGACAGGGCGAGTAATCAAAGCGGGATGGAGAGTGAGGGAGATGAGGAGGAGGAACGGGAGGAGGAGGGGAAGAAGGAAGGTGAGGTGCTGTCACCGAGAGAATTGGCCATGATGTTGCTGTGGGTGATCCCTGGGTTAGGGGGCGAGGAGGAGGAGGAGAGGAGGAAGGTGAGAATACGCCAAGCCCTGGCAGCAGCAGCTGGGGAGATTCGATCCGGGGCTTTAAACGTGGCGTCGGCTGCAGCAGGGGGGATTGCGAGTGGGGCTTTAACTGTGGCAGGGGGGATCAAGGGAGGAGCGATGAATGTTAAGGAGGGGTTGAAGGGAGGGGCGTTGAATGTTAGGGAAGGAATTAAGGAAGGGGCGCTGAATGTTAGAGACGGGATTAAGGAAGGGGCATTGAATGTTAAGGAGGGAATTAAGGGAGGTGCAATTAATGTGAAAGAAGGGATAAAGGGAGGGGCGATGAATGTTAAGGAAGGATTTATGGAAGGGGCATTGAATGTGAGGGAGGGGATAAAGGAAAAGGCGTTGAATGTGAAGGAGGGGATCAGGGGAGGGGCAAGGAACGTTGCATCTGTGGCTGTGGCAGCGGCGGCAGCAGCAGCATCTGGGATAGCTCATGGTGAGTCTAGAAGAACCCACAGCATGGGTCAGTTACCTCGACGTGCGACTAAGAGCGGTGATGATTCCAACTGGGGGTGGGACGTAGAGGGAGGGGAGAGAGGAGGGGCAGGAGGAGAGGGAGTGGGGGGAGGTGGAGAAGGAGGAGAAGGGGGAGGAGAAGGGGGAGGAGGAGGAGGAGGAAACAGGTTTTTGCAGACGCTAGGTAAGGTGAGGGGAACAGTCTTGGGATTAAGTAGCAAGGGCCTACATAGAAGGGAAACTTTTGGGGCGACTAGCCCGATTTCTCCTGGTTTCTTTCACAATCCGCCCAGTATTCTCCATCGTAAGTCCGCACCTGCTGAAGAGACAGTGCTGGTTCCTACGGGCAGTGAGGGGGGGAGAGTGGTGAGAAGCAAGAGTGCGGAGCCAAAGGGAGTGAGGGAGGTTGGGTTGACCCTAGGAATAAGGGCAAGGGAGGTTGGGAGTTCAGGTGACCTGCTGAATGCTACAGTGTCGCTTTCACAGCCCCAAGTCCTGGGAAGGTCTTATTCAGGGGAGGTGGGATCTGGCTCTGGGGCGGTTGAGAGCCTGGGGAGGTCTTTTCCAGGGGAGGAGGAGATTGGTGCTGCTGGGTCTGCAAAGCTCGTACGGAGATACGACGATGATTGTGAGGATGAGAGTGGGAGTGAGAATAACGAATATGGTAATAACGAGGATGGCAACAACGAGGATGGTAATAACGAGGCGCTCTGGTGGGGGGACTACGATGAAGAGGAAGAGCTGATGCTTGATGATTCAGGTGAAAGTTCAGGTGAAACTTCAGGTGAATGTTCACGGAACCCACTTGTGCTTGGTGGTTCGGAGGAAGGAGAGTCTTTGAGTGGACGAGTGGTAAAGGGAGGAGCATTGGAAGAGAGAAACGTTTTGTATGGAGGAGGAAGAAAAGAGGGAGAAGTGTCAGGGAAGGGATTGGAAGGGGGAGGAGGACAGGGAAGAGTGGTTGCAGGATGGGGTGCTTTGAAGAAGCTAGACAGCAGGAGGCGAGATCGACGGTCAAGGTCATCGTTTGGTTCCGATCTACCGTCTGTGGATGAAGAGATGGAGGTGGAGAGGGGTTTGAGTGACGAGGGGATGGATAGGGAGGAGGGGGGAGAGAGCGGGGAGGGGAGAGAGGGGGAGGAAAGAAGAGAGTGGGGGGAGGGGAGAGGGGTGGAAGAAAGGGGAGAGGTGGAGGAGAGAGAGGAGGAGGGGAGAGAGGTGGAGAAAGGGGGAGAGGTGGATGAGAGAGAGGAGGGAAGCGAGGGAGGGGAGAGAGATGTGGAGGAGGGGAGAGGAGAGGGGGAGGGGAGTGAGGGGGAGGAGGGGAGAGAGGTGGAAGAGGGGAGATTTGTGGAGGAGGGGAGAGAGAGGGAGGAGGGGAGCGAGGCGGAGGAAGGAGGAGTGGTTGAAGAGAATACAGGGATGAAGGAAGCAGAGGTGGAGGGAATGGGGAGTGACGGGGAGGAGGAGGAGAGTGAGGCAGGGGAGGGAAGCTGCGTTGGGGATGCGTTAACGGGGCAGGAAGCGAGAGGGTGGAGAGGAAAGGGAGAAAGGGAGGAAAAGGAGAAAGAAGAGGAATGGGAGAGGGAGGAGGAGGCAGGAGGAGAGGCTGGGGTGGAAGCAGTGATGAAGGAAGGAGATGAGGAGGGGATGGGGAGTGAAGGGGAGGAGGAAGGGACAAGGAGTGAAGAAGAGGAGACTAGAGGTGAAGGGGAGGAGGAGGAGGAGGAGGAGGAGGAGAAAGAGGCGGAGGAGGAAAGCTGCATTGGGGAGGTGAAAATGGTCCAGGAAGCAAGAGAGGTAGAGGAGGGCGTAGAGGTGGATGAGTTGAGAGAGGTGGGAGGGGACAGAGAGGTGGAGGAACGAGGAGAGGCAATGGAGCAAACAGGGGTGAAGGGAGGAAAGGCTGAAGAAGGTGAGCGTGAAAGGGTGGAGGGGGAGAGAGAGGAGAAAGAAGAGAAAGAGGAAAAAGAGGAGAAAGAGGAGAAAAGTAGTCACGATCGGGAAGTGGGATTGGGGGAGGAAGGAGGAGAGAGTCCAGAGGGTACAAAGATTGGGGGGGGGCAAGAGGAGGGGGAGGAGGAGGAGAGTGAGGTGGAGAACAGACAAGTGGGATTGGGGGAGGAAGGAGGAGAGAGTCCTGAGGGTACACAGGTGGGGGGGGGACGACAGGAGGGGGAGGAGGGGGAGAGTGAGGTGGGGAAGATACAAGGATTGGAAAATGGAGAAGTGGGTGAAGAGAGTGCGAAGATTGAGGAGGGAAGTCATAGGGACGGGACAGATTTGGAGGAGAATTGGGAGAGTAGAGGCGAGGAAGTGAGTGAGGAGGAGGTAAGGGAGAGGAAGGAGAGGGTAGAGGGAGGGAAAAGGAGAAGAGAGGACAGAAGGGGTGGTGGAGATGGGTGAAATGGTAAAGGAGGGGGTAGATGTGAGATGCTGAGGTAGGAGAGATGTGAGTGCTGAGGCCAGTGGAATAGTAGCTCCAACGGTGGCAGCGCCAGTCTTTTTAGGGTTTGAAGGAGCAACAGCAATGACAGAAGAAAGAGGTGCAGCAGAAGTGTCAGAAGCAGCAGAACCAACACCAACAGATGTAGCAGAAAGGAAGTACCCTGCAGAATCAAAAGCAGCAGTAGGAGCCACAGAGGCAAGTGCAGCAACAGAAGCAGGAGAGTTGATAGACGCAGCAGAATCGATAGAAGAAGCAGAATTGATAGGTGCAGCAGAATCGGTAGATGCAACAGAAGCTAGAGTAGCGTTTGAACTAACAGGAGAAACAGCAGCAGTGGCAGAAGCAGCAGAACGATCAGAAGTGGCCGAAGCAACAGTAGTGGGAGAAGCAGCAGTAGTGACAGAAGAAGCTGGGGAGGCAGCAGTAGTGGCAGAAGAAGCTGGGGAGGCAGCAGTAGTGGCAGAAGCAGGTGAAACAGCAGAGGTAGCCGGGGGAGAAACAGAATCATTGGCTGAAACAGTAGTTGCTGAACCATCGGTGCCAGCTGCAGTGGCTGCTGCTGCTGTTGCTGCATCAGATGTAGCTGTTTCAGGCGCACCTGCATCAGACGTAACTGCTTCAGACATACCTGTTTCGGACGTTCCTGCCTCAGACACACCTACCTCAAACATACTTGCTTTAGGCACACCTGCCTCAGATGTACCTGCCTCAGTCGTACCTGCCTCAGAGGCACCTACCTCAAACATGCCTGCTTCAGACGCACCTGCCTCAGATGTACCTACCTCAGATGCACCTGGCTCAGATGTACCTGCCTCAGATGCACCTGTCTCAATTGTACCTGCCTCGGGCTCCACAGCAACAGATACCCCATCCATCCGCCGAATCGGTTCGGCAGTGGCAGCAGCGGTGGCATCAGGAGACGTGGTGATTAGTGAGAGTGCAGCCTCAGATGTACCTGCTTCAGATGTACCTGTCTCAGACATACACACTAGCCCCACAGCAACAGATGCCCCATCCATCCGCCGAATTGGGTCGGCAATGGCAGCAGCGGTGGCAGCAGGAGATGTGGTGATTAGTGAGAGTGCGGCTGGTGCTGCCATGCTGCTTCAAGAAGAGCCTCCCGTATTTGAACGCACTCAGGAGCTCTCAATGAGGCGAGGAGCAGCAGATGGGACAGGCGATGCAGAAGCAGAAGCAGAAGCAGGGGCAGGAGCAGAAAAAGAGGCTGCAGCATCAACAGGAGAAGAAAGGAGTGTGGGACATGGGAGTGTGGAGGAGAGGAGTGTTGGTGAAGGGAAGAAAGGAAAGGGTAAGGGAAAAGGAGGCGAGAAGAAAGCGTTGCTTAAGTCACCTTCCAGGAAGATTCATCGGCAGGAGTCCCGGGATGGGGAGGCGAGTGGGGATGATGTGGTGAAGAGCGGATGGGTGAGGAGAAGCAAGAGTAGATTGAAGAGGGGAGAAGCGGAAGAGGGTGAGGAGAGGCAGGAGGCAGCAGGGGACAGTGAGGGAGGAAGTAAGGTCAGAAAGAGTTCGAAAAAGGGGAGTAAAACCCGTAGCAAGGAGGATCAACAGGGGCAGCAGCAGCAGCGGGAGGAGCAGGAGGAAGAGAAGGAGAAAGAGGAGAAGGAGAAGGAGAAGGAGCAGCAGCAGCAGCAGCAGCAAGGAGCAGGCGCAGCAGGAGCAGCCACCGCAGGAGCTGCTACCAAGCGTGACCATCCGCCATGTGCTGCCTACAGGAGAGCTCGCAACCACTCCCCAGCGCCTCTCCATCCCTGCTGCGCCCCTCTCCCCCTCCACTCTCACCATCAGCCCCACCAGCGGCACCAGCACCCCTCACAGCAACGCCTCCTCTCCCGCCTCCCCTGCTGGTTCCTTCAGCTTCGCCCTGCTCTCCCCTGCCACTCCTAAGCAGCCCCCTAAACGTGGCACCGCTGCTGCTGCTTCTGGTGCTGCGGGCGGTGATGGTGCTGCAAGTGGTGATACTGGTGGGGTTCTGGATGGTCCTGGTGCGAGTGGGGCTGATGGTGTTGCTGCTGCTGCTGCTTCTGCCGGGAAGAAGGTGAAGAAGGGGAAGAAGAAAGCGGCTCGTCTGCCGGCGATTGAAGTGAGACGGAGGGAAGTGAGAGCGAGATGAAGGAGAGGAGTGGCGAGAGGAAGAAAACTACCAAGAAGCACCTGCACAGGGGAGCATCGGTCGCGTCGGCAGCATCCGCAGCGTCAGCAGCATCGGCAGATTCCCGAGCCTTTAAAGCATCGGTAGCATCAGTTGCAGCATCTATCGGTTCTGTAGCTTCTGTGGCATCAGCAGCAGCATCAGAAGGATCAGCAGCAGTATCAGTGACAGCAGAGTCGGTTGTTTCGAGTGTGTCAAGCACATCATCAGGTAAACCCCGCAAGTCACCTCGTAGCAAGTCACCAGTCAAACCATCCATCCCACCCAGCCCGTTCACTCCAGTCGCCCCAGTCGCCCCAGTCACCCCAGTCACCCCGTCTACTCGTGGGGTCCAAGTCTCACCTGCCAGACAATCGTCAGTGGACGATTCTAGTGGCACTTATGACCCACCCATGCGCAGAATGATCCCCCAGAGCATGAGCGCTTCACATGCCACTTCTATCGCTGCTGCCGCTGCTGCCGTAGCTGCTGTAGAGCGCAGCAGCAGCAGCAGGCGACAGTCAGTGGACGAATTTAGTGGCAGTGGCACTACAAGCCCTCCCGTGCGCAGAATGATTCCCCAGAGCATGAGTGCATCGCACTCAGGTCCGGTGGTCCGATTTCTACTGCCGGGGCAGGTGCTTTCTGAGCCTGCTTTTGAGTCGACTCAAAAGCAAATCATTCCCCAGAGCATGAGTGCATCGCACTCAGGTCCGGTGGTTAGGTTTTTACTGCCGGGGGAGGTGCTTTCTGAGCCGCCCCTGTCCCCACCTACTGCCCATTCCAGCCCTTCTCGAGTGCCCCGTTCCCCGAATATGGCTCATTCTAGCCCAACCCAAAGCCCGCCTGCCCGCAGAATGATCCCCCAGAGCATGAGTGCTTCGCATTCCCCCCCTGCTGCTGCTGCTGCTGCTGCTGCTTCTGCTGCTGACTTCTACCTTCCTGCAGAGCAGAGCCCTTCTCGAATGCCCCCCCGATCCCCGAACACGGCTTATTCCAGCAGAGATCACACCTCGCCTGGGCACAGAATGATTCCCCAGAGCATGAGTGCGTCGCAAGCCGTGTCCTGGCTCCCCCCTGTGGCTCGTTCTCCCACCAGCTCCCCCAACAGAAGGGAGTCAGTGGAAGGTATATCGTCCAGGCGGGTTTCGATGGATGATCGTCCAAGCAGTGGCAGTGGTAGGAGGGGTGCTGTGTCGCCGCACAGACGGGTTTCTGTGGACGATTCTAGTGGCACTCTGAGTGGTGTGAGTGGTGTGAGTGGTGTGAGTGGGTCTGGGAGGAGGATGATTCCGCAGAGCATGAGCGCTTCACATGCCTCTTCTGCTGCTGCTGCTGCCGCTGCTGTTGCTGCTGTTGGTGGTGTTGACGGTGGCAGGAGCAGCAGCAGCAGAGGATTTTCGCCTGGTAAGAGCAGCAGCAGCAGAGGCTTTTCGCCTGTTAAGGGTAGCAGCAGCAGCAGAGGCTTTTCACCTGTTAAGGGTAGCAGCAGCAGCAGAGGCTTTTCACCTGTTAAGAGCAGTAGCAGCAGCAGCAGAGGATTTTCGCCTGGTAAGGGCAGCAGCAGCAGAGGGGAATCGCCTGGTAAGAGCAGCGGTAGCAGAAGCAGGAGTGTGTCTCCTGTTGACTTTAAACGGCTGCGGTGGAAAGGGATTGGGAAGAGTGCAGGGAAGGAGGAGAAGGAGGGAAGGCGTGCGGGTGGAGGGGAGGATGGGGAATGGAGGGAGGAGGAGGAGGTGGAAGAGGAAGAGGGATTGGAGGAAGGGGGTACTGCATCTGGCAAGAAGAAAGGCGGTGTGTCGAGCAAGGGTGGGCTTGGCAAGATTCTCAAGGGTTTGGATTCATCAATGGGGAAACTTATCAAAGCAGCTGGTGGGAAGAAGGGTAAAGACCACGGTTCCACTTCTCCTGCTCCTGCTGCTGCGCCTGCTCCTGCTGCTGGTGCGGTTGGTGCTGTTTCTGCTGAGTCTGCCGGAGGGGCAGCAGGAAAGGTTAAGCGAACGATGAGCAAGAAGGGGAAAGAGGCGGGTAAGGGGAAGGAGGAAGATATGGAAGGTAGAGTTGATGTGATGGTGAAGAGTATCAGTGCGGACGAGGGGCAAGGAGAGGAGAAAGTAGGGGAAAGGAAGGCAGGAAGGACGCTCAGTAAAGTGGAGAGGAAGGGGAAGGAGGGGAAGGATGGGAAGGATTCGGAGGGAGGGGATGATAAGAAGAGTACAGATGAGAGGAAGGCGAGTAGAACATTCAGCAGGAAAAAGAGAGAAGGGAAGGAGGTGGAGGAGGAGGATGAGGGGAAGTTGAGGAGGGTGAAAGGAGAGGGGATAGAATCCGAGGAGGATGGGGATAGGAAGATGAGGAGGACGATGAGCAGGAAGAAGAAAGGGGAAGAGGGGGAGAGGAGGGAGAATGGTGAGGAGGAAGATGTAGAAAGAAAGGTGAAGAGGACATTGAGTAGGAAGAAGAGAGAGGACGAAAGGGAGAAAGTGGAGAAGGGGGAGGAGGGGGGAGAGAGCAAGATGAAAAAGCCTCCAACTTCAAGCAAGGCGAGGAGGGAGAAAGAAGTGGAGGGTGGGGGAGGGGAGGGGGGAGGAGGGGAGAAGAAAGCGAGCCGGACACTAAGTAGAGTGAAGCGAGAGGAGGAGGGGTTGGAGGATGGGGAGAGAAAAGCAAGCAGGACGCTTAGCAAAGTGAAGAGGGAGAAGGAAGGTGAGGGGATTGAGGAGAGGAAGTCAAGCAGAACCTTAAGCAAAGTGAAGCGAGGAGAGAGTGAAAGTGAAGAGGTTGAGGAGAGGAAGGCAAGCAGGACGTTAAGCAAAGTGAGGAGAGGAGAGAATGAAAGTGAAGAGGTTGAGGAGAAGAAAGCAGTTAGGTCGTTAAGTAAAGTGAAGAGGGAGGGTGGGCACGGGGATGGAGGTGGGGGAGAGAAGAAAGCCAGTCGAACCCTAAGCAGGATAAAGAGAGAAGGAAACGAAGCTGCTGCTGCTGCTGCTGCTGCTTCTTCTGGTAGTGCAGAGAGCAGCGCGCACAGAGCCACCCGCAGCAGCAGCCACGGGCACGAGCCCGAGCCCTCTCACAGGCGAACCACCTCCCATGGGAGCATCATGGGGCGGGAGAGTGTCCCGGGAAGGGAGAGCTTTCACAGCCATGAGAGCTCGAGGAGTTCTGGCAGCAAGGAGGGGAAGGAGAGTGAGAGAGGGGCGGTGGATGGGAGGAAGGCTGCCCGCACTCTGAGCAGGCACCGGGATGATCGGGCGGAGAGAGCAGGGGAGGGTGAGGAGGGGAGGGTTTCGAGACCAAGAACAGCTGACAGTGGTGGGAACGCGGTGAGTGGTGGGGGTTGGGTGCAGCTGGGTTTGCCGAAACATGGGGTGGTGACAATGGGTCTGCAGGAGCAGCTGTCACCTTTTGAGGTGCCGCCACTGGTTCAGAAACCACCCGTTTCTCCGGTTTCGGGCGGCATCTGGAAGGCGATTTCGTCTTTTGCCACGTCACCGCGTGCCAGCTCATCGCATGCCATGTCAGGTGCCACGTCACCGCTGATGTCACCGTCTGGCTCGTCGGCTCATGCCACGCCTCCTCTGGGCTCTCCCACCCGTCCCAAGTCACCTTCTTTAAAGTCACCTACCTTGAAGTCACCGAGGATGAAGATACCGTTTATGGAGTCTGGTAAGGCGAGCAAGCTGGGCAAGAGCAAATCGGCAAAGGTTAGTCGGGACAATGGGGAGGAAAAGGAGAAGGATAAAGAGAAGAAGGGGAAGAAGAAAGAGAAAGTGAAGGCCAAGGGGAAGGGACTGCAGGATGGTGCTGAGAAGGCAAGGGCCAAGAGCCCTATCAAGGGTGTATGAGTACATTGGAGCCTTGAGATTATTTCTAATTAATGCTAATGTTATATGCTTCATTGGTTAACATGGCTAATATGTATATAAAGTGCTCTTTTTTCGCTTTTTTTGTAGTTGCCTAAGAAGATAAGGTTAATGGTTCATATGAATGGATGTCAAACAACGGAGAAGTCTCTAGTGGCGTATGGATACTGATTGGCAGTCATCTCACGTGAATGTCTCAACCACCCGTCATGTGCCAATCTGCGGACAAAGTTTTCCTGCGAATCGACACCGTACACGTTTCCTGGTGCTCATTCAGCGAATACAACTGGCGAATCACGAATGAGGAGCGAAGTCATCGGGCAATTGCTTGGTCGTCATTCTCCTCCACCGACACCCTGGCACACCCCTGCTTCACCAGTTCGACACGTCATGTAGTTTGCGAACAACTGTCGCGAAGAAGAACTATAGTGGTTACCACTCTTGTGATAGATCACGAATGTCGTGGGCCTCGTTTCTTGTTGGTTGAAAACGAATTTCCCTCCCGCCATGGCGGCGTCCTCTCCCCCTTATTTATCTCGAGACATAATGTCAGACTGACTCCAAGGCACAGCGTAAGGGACTAGTTAGATATCGCCGTGGAGGGAACCTACCACCCCGTCTCCCGAAACCGAATCCCCGTTTCTCCATTTTACCTTGGCCACCGCTCGAGCCGCAAATTTTCAATCGACGAAAACAGAGAAAGGAACCACCTTTTGTTTTCGGCCACCGCTTTTTCGGCCACTGCTTTTCCGGCCACCACGTTTTCGATCACCACCCGCGTGGTTTCCGCGATGGCCAGCAATCGCGCGTCCCCTCTCGTCACAGCCGTCCCATTCCACCCTCGCCGCGTCTCGCCTCCGCTGGCCGCGCTCCGCGTGGATTCCGCAGCAACGTCCGCCATGCTCGCCCGCTTCACGTCCGCGGAATCGCAGCCGTCGGTTCCCGTTCCGTTGGCTTGCAGAAAATCTCCACCGTTTATGCTTAGCAACCGAACGCTGAAATTATCGAGTCATGGAATAAATCGATATCGCACCAGCGTATTAAATTCATGTCGCGGACATTTTGCAGGCACGTTAGACTATGGATACTGCAAGAGCAGCGATTTTAGCAGAAGCCGCCCCAAGGTTCGAAGAGGCGCAGCGATCGTGACGGCGTCAGCCGACAACCGGTGGTTCCAGGGAGGCGGCGGCCGGCAGAACAACCGGTTTGGTAGCTGCGGGAGCGACGGAAGAAGCGGCGAGGGGAGCATGGGGTGGAGCTACCCTTGGGAGTCCGGTGAGTCTGGAGAGTCCGGTGAGTCTGGAGAGTCCGATGAGTCTGGAGAGTCCGATGAGTCTGGAGAGTCCGATGAGTCATCGTATGGTTCAAGGCTGGTGAGCGTGGCGCGAGGGGAGTTTGGCGAGTCAAGTGCGTCAAGGGTAATATGCTTGCAACATTGTTACCAAGAATATCATCAAATACCTCAGCCTAAGTCCGGCCTCTCAGTTCCCACCATCCGTCTGCCCCCCACTCCCATGTGTCTCCAGACGCGCACACATCAGCATGCTCACTCATGGTCTGAAAAGCAGCATCGCTGGAATAACTCGCAGTTGTCCAAGCATGCTTGCACAGCATACCAAACAAATCATTATGGAGGGGTGGGAGAGCATGTTCTCAGCTCCCACTCCTCCACAAATCCCCACTCCCGCCCACTACCAGACGCGGAAGCATCGGCGTGGGAGGCTCGCCGGCAGAGCATCACGTTTTTCACGTCCGAAGGGGTGTTTCAGATTCACGAGCTCGCGCACGTGCCTGTGCCCACCGCACCACCTTCATCGTCAGCAGCACCATCAGCATCTCCGTCCGCAGCAGCAGCGGCGCACCGCTTCTCGGAGCGGCGATACATGGATCCACAGCAGGGCCTGTGCCTGGCATCGCTGTTTGACATCCGCGCGTTCAACGTGAGTGCACGTGGCGGGGGTGCTGCTGTGCTGTTTGGAGGGGTGTGGAGGGGTGGGAGGGAAGAGGAAGTGGTGCATCGTGGATCCGCAGCAGGGCCTGTGCCTGGCGTCGCTGTTTGACATCCGCGCGTTCAACGTGAGCGAATGGGAAGGGGGCGTGCTGACGTGTTGGAGAGACGGGAGAGGGGGGGAGAGTGGGGGTTGGGAGGGGGGGGTGGAAAATACAGTTGTGGATGGGGCCCGAAACACGAATTAGCAGCAGGGTTTGTGTCTGGCGTCGCTGTTTTTATATTTTGCGCCTTCAACGTGAGTCCACATTGGGGAGGAGTGGGATGTTGATGGGATGTTAATGTGTTCAGGGTTTGGTGGGGCGAGGGTGGAGGGAGAGGGGACGAAGGTGGAAGGGGAGGGGGGCCAACCGCGACGGCATCTTCTCTACACTCCTCTACACTCCGCTGCACTCCTCTCCCCATCCCTCCCCCTTTGCAGGGTCTTGACGCATCGCGCCTCTTCTGTGTGGCGGGCTTCTGTCGCTCCCCTGAGATGCTCTCTGATGTTGTAGCGGACACCGTGCTCATGGCTGGCGGGGAGGTGAGCAGTTTTACTGTTAGTGGACTTCATATGTACATATGTACACCCATTCACTTCCCTGCAGCACTTCTGTGTGGTGTGCTTTTGTCGCTCCCCTGAGATGCTCTCTGATGTTGTAGCGGACACCGTGCTCATGGCTGGCGGGGAGGTGAGCAGTTTTACACCTGTGCACACTCTAAGTGCACTTGATGTATATTTATGTACACCATTCACTACTCTAAGTCTCTTCTGTGTCACCCGCCCCAGATGCTCTCTGATGTTGTAGCGGACACTGTTTTCTTGGCTGGTGGGGAGGTGAGAGCTTGCACGTATAGGTGCTCTCGCTGTAAATGCACTCCATATATTCATACCACTACTATAACTACATATATGCATGCATACTTATGTGGCAGGCGTGCAGTGGGTGTGTCAATTAAAACCTGATTCACTGATTAGCCATGCCAGTTAACCCCATCCGTCTCACCATCCAATTGCATGCTGCCACGTGTCACCAGGTGGTGGACTCGAAGCTGGAGATGGGGCAGGGCCTGCATGCGCATCTACGCCTCACTGTCGCCCTCCCCTATCTATTTGGCGTGCCGCCCGCCTTGGACGCACTGAATCGGGCGATCCGATTGGGAGGCGGGATTGTGGATAAGAGCTTCCACCAATGGGAGATGTGCCTCTAGGCTGGCATCTGAACTGGATTCTTTATACATGCTCGCTCCCACATAAACTGTACATTCACCTGACCCCATTTGGTTCAGTACTTACAAACCGCTTGTAACTTGTTCATGTATGGTATTATCATGTATATAGTGATCACCAATATGTCCTATAGTTCATTTTCATACTTTGGTTTCTACGGTAGTGTACCGTACTACATAACTGCTTCATCTCGTGCCTTCATGCTCTGAGAGACAATGTGTGCTTTGATTCTCTGTTTGCTAAGTTTGGCCCAGGAATTGGTTACCTGAACCCATGTAAGATTGAATCTGGTGCATGTGTTTATACAAAAGTTATACAAGCCAAAAGTTGAACCAAAATAAATCCCCGAGCATCTAGAAAAGCGCGGTTAGAAACCTAATCGCAACCCTGGCAGCAGTAGCTGGATCCACGGGTTGTGGACCTGATGAGGAAGCACTTGCGATGCGATGAGGCGAGCAGCACTTCCTCTCCTTCCTGCTGCCATGCCTCATCGCATCCCTAAACACAATGCTCTCTAGTAACAAAACTGGATCCACGCGCCGTGGACCTGATGAGGCAGCAAGCGTACAGACCCGTTTCTTTCCTTCCTGCTGCTTTATGTCTCAATCGAAACACTATGCACTCGGACAGCATTTGCCGATCCCGCAAGCCTTGGTCCCGATGGGGCAGCAAGCGTACGAGCCGTTATGCTTCTTCATGCACCCGCCCGCCTTGCAACACATGGTTCCTCCGCAGCATGGGTATTCCCCGTTGTTCTATCGGTAGAAAACGGAAAAAGAAGGAGATACATATGGAATCGAGAGTTAGAAATTGGTAACAAAGAAGATCACATGTTGACGCGACAAGTGCATGAAGAAAAAACAGAAACAGATCCAGCCAGATTCCTGAGGAATTTTAGCACATAATAGAAATTGACTTTGTTAGGCGAATTCCATGTTAATGCTATTTAATGGCACTTACGATGCAGCAGGCGCCGGAGCAGTAAATGGGAGGCTGGCTGCATGTTGTGAGGCTCCTGTACGGACAAATTCCAGCTCCGCTGGGGCATTGGAGCTTCTTCCTCGCTAGAGATCGTCGGTTGCTGATAAGCGACGATAACTCGCCGTCAGGAAGGGACTGGGTGGTTGTAAGCAACACCAAGACGATGAAGCAGACCAGCGCAAGTGCGTGGATACGGAACATGGCCATTTTAAATATTTCGCTGGATAACGTCAGGTCAAACTTTATAACTTTTTATACGGATTTTAACACTGAAATGGTACGAAAGGGCTCCTACTAGTGCTGGATAAAGTGGAATTGCAAAAGTGATTTGTGCTGGAGGTTTCAGAGAAGCTAGAATTTATGGAAGACAAATGCGCTTGGCTGAGATGAGTTGAGTTGAGTCGAGACGTCAGCTTTCACAAGAGGAAGAAGGATGTCGGTGTGCCATGTGCATTCGAGGTATGATTTCGCACCGCCGCAATTTCCAACGCACGGGCCGCCGCGATTCGCCAATCGAGATGGCGACACGATTTGTGGATTTGGTTACAGGTTGGTTCGAAGAAACAGCAAGGCAGCGCTGACATCGACGAGTCATCTGCAGCCGTGGAACCAGCCGAAAGGCACCACGTGTACAATTGCCAGCCTGAAATTCGATGAAACCAAGCACCACCGATGAGCAGTGCGGGTTACATCTGGGCGATGTTCGGCTGCCACAGGGGTTGGGGGGGAGGGTATGGAAGGGAGCATCAAAACGCCGAGGCTCCTGGTTCGACCTGTTCGAACCAGGCAAAACACTTCGGTCAGACGCGAAATTTGTGAAAAAAGTGTCGGACGTGAGCCTAAAACGCGACGCGAACCCCGCGCTAGGCTTGAACCCGCGTCGCGTCCTCCCCCAAATTCCCCCCCATGGCGGAAAAACTCCGCCCTAGTGTTCAGGGCATGGAAAGTACATTCCCGTGGGAGGTCTCAGCCCACGGGGAATGAAAAATCCATGCCCCCTTCTACGATTTTCGTTTTTATAATTTTCCCACACTCTTAAAAACAAATAACCTGGACATTGAAATCATAATGTTAAACACACGGATTCAAAATGAAAACGCCAAATTTAAATAAGGTCGAATCGTCATTTACACCCTTAATTTAATTTACTGTGTACAGAATTGAATAAGAGTAAGCTACCCAAACAAATTCTAGCAGTGAATTCACGAAAACTGTTCAGCTCGCGAAGTTTCGTTTCGCGCTGCAGTTTCGTGGGCCCCCATTTCCCGAGTCGCTCGTTCGCCCCCTTTCCCCCCAAACTTTCCGCTTCCCCCTGGACTCCAGACTTGGAGTCAACGACGGTTGACTCCGAGCTGACCACCCCGAACTAGAAACCCTAGCTGCGAATCTGATCCCTCCACCCATCCCTCGGTCGATCCCCTGTGGCAGCCGAACATCGCCTGCGGAACTCCGTTTCGGCAGCAAGGGTGCAAGCTTCCACTGTTTTCCCTCGGTGTTTCCGCTTGTGGCAGCAGAACCCACTGGGTCACACTGGCAATGCTGGTCAACGCCAAACATTTCTTCGAAAGCAGGACGTGGACAGCATGAAACGCCACGTCAACTCGCCTCGAGAGTATGTGGCCTCCCGCCGACATCCATTCAGATGGCGTGGATGGACGGGAGGTGCGGTGGGGGAGGTCGAGGCGGTGCACAAAATGCGTGGAACATGCCAGCCGCGAATCGCACTCGCGACACCCGCCGCATTTGGCGCCTCACAAAGCTGAATGACTTCAACCACCGCCGCAGCCATTTGTATTCTGCTCTTATGGAGCTGTGGAATGCACCCCCTAAAGAGAATGGCACAAATGTTCCAGAAAGAGGTGAGGCAGCTAGTGTACAGCAGAAGGGGATGCATCCTGCATAGCATATGCTGGCATTCCTGTGTAAGTCCAACAGCATACAGCATCACAAAATAAAGGCCTGCCCTGTCCCGCTAGTTATGGCTACGCCTAATCACTGCACTTCAGTGTTCTTTTCCCATATGCAGAAGTCATGACCTGACATGGCTATCTGCCAAGTGGAATCTGCCAACAGGGTGAGAGAGGGGTGCATGCAGTACATTATCATTTGTAACATGGCATATTTGTCGGCCATAACTCTTCATCATCCTCAAACCGGACAGGAAAACAAAGATGTTGAGAAAAGCAACACCCTGTTTCATCTACAGAACTTGGTACTATCTCCACTGACCAGCCTGTCTCATCATCACCAACATCCAAACCAAAAGCACAAAACAAACTCTGAAGTACCAAAACAGGCAACTACAAAACACAGGAGAATCACAACTCAAACCCCCAAAAACCAGCTGTGAACCACGGAGGAACCACAGCAACTCAAGTACCTGGAGCAGTCCCGTGCATGTCGAAGGACGGTCCGAGCTTCACAACCACCCCTCGGAACAGCCTGTCATCATCCACGTGGGTGCCAATGCGCGCCACATAGAGTTGCGTGCTGCACGCCATGATGCGCATCGCACTCCTCGATGTGATGCCGTTGCGCTGCCGGATCGCCAGCAGCTTCTGAATCGGGTCCTGTGATGATGAAAGTGTGGATGGTGGAAAAAGATAGAGGAAATGGAAAAGGAGTTTTGAGACGCCTAAAAATTCGCCAGCAGCTTTTGAATCTGGGATGAGGCATCATGGCTGGTGGATGTTTGGTGGTTGGCGGATGGTGGATGGTGGTTGATGGAAGGTTCTGCTGACAGAGCTCAAGTAACTGACCTCGAGATCGATTTCTGAGAATACTCAAAGATCGCTCTAAAGTAACTGACCTTGAGATTCTACTCATACAGATGGTCGATCAACACACATGGCACACACGGGTGGGCCAGAATGTCACTTTTTGAGAATTCTCAAAAGTGACTCTCCAACATAGCCAGCCCAAGAAAGCACTGACCTTGAGGTTCCACACGTACAGGTGGTCAATGAACACACATGGCACGCCTGGGTTGGTCAGAATGTCACCTTCGCAAAATTGACTCCAATCCAACATAGCTCAGGAAAGCACTGACCTTGAGATTCCACTCGTAGAGATGGTCGATGAACACACACGGCACACCCGGGTGTGTCAGAATGTACACGTACCTGCACAAACAGAAACAAGTGATGTGCGGGGGTTTATGAGAAGGGTGCGTGGGGTGAGGGATTGCGAGAAGGGTGCGGGGTGCGAAACGCAACGAGTCAAAGAAACTCAGGAAAACTCAGGCCTACTAAACTGGCATATTGTCCTCTTCCCAGGCTCCTACGCCACCAAACCGCAGCCAATCTTACACTCCAACCTAACCCAACCTATCTCACCCCATCCCACCACATGCCAACCACCAATATCCGAACTAGCACATCGTAACCTCTCTCTTGCGTCTCACCCGAGAGTGACCTCCCACGAGGTGAGCCGTGAATGCCTGTGTTGCAGAGTGGAGCCTGTGGAATCATTGGCTTCATCATGCCCCTATACCAGCCTCACTTCCCAGACTAACCCCTTCCCCCATCCCAGACTAGCCCCTTCCCCCTTGCAGCTTCCCTCCCTCGTTCCAGCTTTTCTTCCCCCATCCCAGCCTCCCTCCCTCCCCCTCCCCCCGTCTGAGAGTCCTCTCTCGCGCCTCACCCGAGAGTGACCCCCCAGGCTGGAAACGGCCAGTGTTGTTGCGTGGAGCCCGTGGAATGGTTGTCCACGAACGTGACGGCCTGTTGACAGGAGGGGGAGCGGGGATGATGGGCAGAATCTAGAAATGATCATGAGTGAGATTGTTCACAAGTGTGAGAACAGAGGGCGGAGCAAGGGAGGGTGGGTGCGGGGACAATGCCACAAAGAGGATTAGATAATAATCCTAATCTCAACTGTTCAGGATTAGATATTACAAGGCTGGATGGGAGAAGCAAATCCAGAATAGTTTGCTAGATACCAGCTCTTAAAGCACCATGCGGAGCTCACCTTTGCAGGCAGCAGCCCAATCAGACCGGGAGGCCTGCCCTGGGGGTCTATGAGCCGCCAGTACTCGCAGTTCTGCACCGCTGCCTGCAGTATGCCCTGGGAGAGGGAGGCGTGGAGAGGGTGGAAAGCGGTGAGGAGGGATTTGATGGCAGTCAGTGGGGTTCAACGGGGGTCTATGAGGCGCCAAAACTCGCGAATCTGCACCGCTGCCTGATAGTATGCCCTGAGGAAAGAGAGATACGAGGGGATGGGGAATGGTGAGGAGGGGTTGCATTGTGGTCAATACTGCAAAGGCACCAGTACTCGCAATTCTGCACCGCTGCCTGCAGTATGCTCTAGGAGACAGAGGCATGGATGGGTGGGGTGGGGAGGGGTGAGGAGAGGTTGAATCACGGTTGAATCACTGTCACCTGCAGTGTGCCCTGGATGCGGCCGGAAGGTGGTTAAAAGTACATGAGGTCAACAGAGTAAACGAGAGTCAACGAGGGTCAATGATGGGTAGGCGGAACACAACTTATGACAGAGGAGAGAATGAAAGAGAAGTTTTTGTGACCCTTGGAAATAAAAACCGATCCAGGACTCTATCACAACGTGCGATGCGGTGATGTTTGCTTCTCGTGTAGCCTATAATTAACAGATTTACTTGCGCTTCATGTGATAGGGAGTACAATAGGATCGCGTGCGGACCTTTGTAGTGTAATCGATCATGTGAGGCGTGCCCTTTGCTGCTTTCACCCAGTCAGTGAGCAGTGCTCGATGGGCGTCTGGCGGGGTGGGAGAGAGAGAGAGAGAGAGAGAGAGAGAGAGAGAGAGAGAGAGAGAGAGAGAGAGAGAGAGAGAGAGAGAGAGAGAGAGCACGTGCAGTGCAGGAGAGGAAAGGAAGAATGGATGTAGACTTAAGATGCTGCGGTCGAACACAGACGATTAACAGATGCATCAATATCTCCCTGTCTACACATCAGCGACAGCAAGCGTGTGGTGTGGGGCTTGCGTCCCAGCAGTACCTATGCCTTCTGAATCGACTAGCAGCACGAGGTGACTTTTGAGTCGACACAAAAATAGCAGCACTCTCTTCTCTGCTCACCTTGGTCGTACTGGGGAGTGCTGCCCTTTTTTGAGTCGACTCGAAAATCCGTGCTCACCTTGGTCGTACTCGAAAGTGCTGCCCTGGTACCGCATCTCCGTCCACACATCAGCGACAGCGAATGTGTAGTGTGGGGCTTGTATCCCAGCAGTACCTGTGACTTCTGAATCGACTAGCAGTGCTCTCTTCTCTGCTCTTCTCACCTTGGTCGTACTCGAGAGTGCTGCCCTGATAGCGCATCTCCGTCCACACATCAGCGATAGCGAATGTGGGGCTCGTATCCCAGCAGTACCTACACCGAGTGCCTACGGGGCAGTGTGGGCTAGTACCCCAGCAGTACCTGCACCCACTGAGTCAACTCAGAACCAATGCAAGGGTGCTCCAGTCACTGCTCACCTTGATCATACTCGAGAGTGCTGCCCTGATAGCGCATCTCCGTCCACACATCAGCGATAGCAAACGCGTTGTGTGGAGCTTGCATCCCAGCAGTACCTGTGACTTCTGAATCGACTAGCAGCACCCTCTTCTCTTCTCTGCTCACCTTGGTCGTACTCGAGAGTGCTGCCCTGATAGCGCATCTCCGTCCACACATCAGCGATAGCGAATGTGGGGCTCGTATCCCAGCAGTACCTGCAACGAGTGCCTATGGGCGGGTGGATTGGCGCAGACACAGGCAGCCTATGAGGCACAGCGGCCTATTCGAAAGAGCCTATGAGGCACAGCGGCCTATCCGAAAGAGCCTATGAGCCTAAGAAATCATAGTTGCGATCATGCGAGGTAGGCGATTATTGAGGTGCCTATGGAGTCAGCTCGTATCCCAGCAGTACCTGCACCGAGTGCCTATGGGCGGGGGGATTGGCGCAGACACAGGCGGCCTCTGAGGCACAGTGGCCTGTGATGTGAGACACAGCGGCAGTGACACCTACTAGCGAAAACGAGCTAGTAAAAAAAATAAACAAATGATGCACCTAGCAGCATGGCATGCGTTTGTGATGCAGAACGATCAGGCAGAAGGTAATGCGGAGAACTGATTCGGTTGAGCCAAATGCTGCTGGGGGGGCAAGGGTATGGTTTGGTATGCACCAATGCTGGGGCCGTGGTTCGGTAGGAGAGGAGTGACTCACGAGTGGGCTACTGCGGGATCGAAGGCACGAGCAAGGTCAAAACACCACGCCTGCAGGGGAAGAGAAGAGGAGCAGAGTAGCGGAAACACAGTAGGGAGTCCATGGCATGGCAGGGCCAGCAAGAAGAAGAGGGACGGCAGAAAACAATGTGGGGAGGGTATGGGGGACACGTCAATGTAGTAATCAAAGAGAGAGAGAGAGAGAAAAAGAGAGACTGATGTCAAAAGGAAAGGACATGTGTTTCGTTCCTGCTCTCACTCACATCGAAGCCAACGTCGAATCGCAGCCAGCGCAGCCACCCCTTACAGTCCTCCTCCACTGCAGGGTTCCCATGGTCCATCACGCTGCTCCTCCCGCCCCCTGCTTGCACATCAATGCCCACCTGCTCGCCCTGCCGCCACACTGCCGGCTGGACGCGGGAAAAAAGGGTAAGAGTGGAAGGAGGGTTCTTTTTCAATAACAACACCTCCCGTGATCCATCACGCTGCTCCTCGCCCCCGCTGCCTGCACATCAATGCCCACCTGCTTGCCCTGCCGCCACACTGCCGGCTGGACGCGGGGAAAAAGGTAAGAGGGGGAGGGGAGATAGTTGCCGCGTGAACTCACAAATTCTCCTCCACTGCGGGGTTGCCATGGTCCATCACCCTGCTCCTCGTCCCTCCTGCTCGCCCTGCCGCCACACGGCTGGCTGGACGCGGGGGATAAGGACAGGGAGATAACGGAGGAAATCACAACCCTTCCTCCACTGCGGGTTTCCTGGTCCATGACGCTGCACGCGCCTGCGTTTGGATTGCATAGGAGGAGGAGGGACATGCGTTTGGAAGGGCGGGCAAAGGGAGGAAGCACAGATCCTAGGACTCACCTCGTCCACCGTGTTGATAAGTCGATTCCACTCTGACAGCCCTGGCTCGCCGGGACCCACTCCCCCCGGCACCCCACCTCCTCCCCCCATCTGCTGGTGCTGCTGTTGCTGCTGCTGCTGCTGCTGCTCCGATCCGCTCGTCTCCCCCCATCCCCCCATCCGGTTGACCACCACGTGCAGGCACGCGCCTAGCCCTGCTGCGTGCAGCTGCGCCAGCAGCTTCCGCAGGCTGGCCTCGGTCCCGTACGCGCTATTGAGGTCGTAAAAGTCCACTGGGGAGAAACCTGCGTAAGACAGAAAAAGGAAGTTACAAGTTGTGGTTGAGTATTTGGAGCTAAGTCTCTACTGCGATTGACCAATGTACCTGACATATCTATTCATGTGACAAGAAGTATTACCCAACATCGATTCACCTGACAAGAAGAATCACCAGATATGAAAATAAACCAGACATGGAGATTCACCTGGCCCATCAGCAGCCTTGCAGCAGGGCGGGAAAATGAGGTCCGAAAACCCCATCGCCTTGAAATCACCCACTCGATCCGCCAGGACGTCGTACCACCTGCCGTTGATCCCTCCTCCCCCGGAGGTTGCATGAAAACTTACCTGGTCCATCAGCAGCCTTGCAACAAGGCGGGAAAATGAGGTCTGAGAACCCCATCGCCTTGAAATCACCCACTCGTTCCGCCAGAACGTCGTACCACCTGCCGTTGATCCCTCCTCCCCCTGCTTCGTGCGACGACCATGAGAAGGCGTGGAGCAGGCAGCGCGAAGGGGCTTCTGGTAAAGGGCCGTCATCCTCGTCGGAATCGAAGGAGAAATCCCATAGTAGCCCCGGATCGGTTTGATCGGCTGAGTCGTGTTCCGAGCTTGCTGCGCTTGCTGCTAACGAAGAGTGCTGTAACGCGAATGTTACAACGCACCGTCGTGCGTGACGGGGGGTAGACTGCCTGGTCGAAGACTTGCGACGAGATTTGTTTAAAGCCCGAGTACAGCTGTTAACCGTGTGCCAAACATCCGCTTCGCGGCCTTCTAGACCTGAATGTTTAAAGCCAAGGGAAAGCCTGATAAACCCTTTCGGGTTGCGGATCGAGGATGCATGGATGCTTTTGACGACCGACTGCGAGCCGGCTAGCCGTTCCGACGGAACGTTCGGCGGAAGACGCACTTCCATGCAGACCATGCTAAATCAGACAGAAAGAGACAAGGCAAACTCTAAGCTTAATGTACGCCGCGCGCGGTGAGGCGAACGCGCAACGACATCTGCAGATGGCACGGTTGATCGAGCGCTTAGGACGGCTTCCCGACGCGCGGCGGGAAAAAGAAACAAAGAAACTATCCTGACGGAACTACAAGCAAGCTGTGTTGTGGACAACAGCCACCACCAACCACTCTGGCCAGGACTAGGACAGACTACTATCGACTATCATCAGGTAGAGATTGCAGCGCGAATACTAGTGCGAGATGGCAATCCCGATATCAAGATGAGCTGCCAAGTCCGGCTCGCCACCGCACTAGAAACCCGCTGATTTTATCGCACCCCACAGAGCCGCGTCCAAACTTTCTGCGACGAGCGATCCCAAGGGCGATCAATCGAGCGGGACCACGTGCCGAGCGTCTTTCGGCAAGATCGAGGAAAAAAAATCCAGCCAATCAGGGAAGAGAAACTGTGTCCAGCGCAGAGTGGTGAGTTGAGGTGGACCTTCAACATTGGGATCGCGCGGGCTCAGGGGAGACTTGGTCAAGGTCAGTCCGGTGACTATACGGAGGGTGTCAGTTGAAAGAAACGAAGGGGCAGATAAACTGCCAGACTGTATAGAAAATTCAAGTCATGACTTCTCAAGATAGCACAACATGCAACGATTTTACAGAATGGGAGCAGGAGAAAACCACCAAGCCTTCTGTCTGCAATCCACAACACCGAAATAGAATTAATCATATCACAGCTTACATGAGCTGCTGCGGACACCTACATCAGAAACACGAGCAGCATCTCAACACAACAATTACTACGAATTTCTGCCATTCAGAATTCCTGCCCAGAATCACCTTTTAGTTACTCTATAGGGGAGTAGTACGAGTGGACGGCGAATATGAGGAACAGTGCCCCTCCCACCATAGCTACAGTGCGCTGTGAGATGCGCAGGGCGAGCAGTCTGCCGCCCACCACTGCTATGGTGGTGCACACCACGTGGCCCAACGTCGCTCCCACCGTCACTCCCAAGGCGTTCTTGTGCGCTGCCAGCTGCACACGTGGGAGGGGGTGGGGACAGACAGAGCAGAGGAGTGGGGCTAGCATACTTTGAACGTCAGCAAATCAGTCTGCCGCCCACCACTGCAATGGTGGTGCACACCACATGGCCCAATGTTGCCCCCACCGTCACTCCCAAGGCGTTCTTATGTGCTGCCAGCTGCGCGTGTGGGAGGGGAATGAGGGACAAACAGGGCAGGGAAGTGGGAGAGAAAGAATAAGGACGCGTTCTGGCACCCACTACAGGATGCGCAAAGCAAGCAGTCTGCCCACCACTGCAATGGTGGTGCACACCACACGGCCTGCTACAGGGTGCCGAACCTACCATGGAAACCCCACCCTCCCTCACCCCACTTCCACCCCCCTTCCCCATTCTACCCTCCTCCCACGGAACTTACAGCAATGGTTGCAATTTGACTGCGATCGCCCCATTCGGCAAGAAAGGTGAGGATGAAAGCCTGGCAGGAGGAGGGGAGGAGGGGAAGAGGGGAGGAGGGGAGGAGGGGAGGAGGGGAGGAGGGGAGGAGGGGAGGAGGGGAGGAGGGGAGGAGGGGAGGAGGGGAGGAGGGGAGGAGGGGAGGAGGGGAGGAGGGGAGGAGGGGAGGGGGGAGGGGAGGAGGGGAGGAGGGGAGGAGGGGAGGAGGGGAGGAGGGGAGGAGGGGAGGAGGGGAGGAGGGGAGGAGGGGAGGAGGGGAGGAGGGGAGGAGGGGAGGAGGGGAGGAGGGGAGGAGGGGAGGAGGGGAGGAGGGGAGGAGGGGAGGAGGGGAGGAGGGGAGGAGGGGAGGAGGGGAGGAGGGGAGGAGGGGAGGAGGGGAGGAGGGGAGGAGGGGAGGAGGGGAGGAGGGGAGGAGGGGAGGAGGGGAGGAGGGGAGGAGGGGAGGAGTAGGTAATGCTGAAGGTGCAGCAAAGAACGGCGACCAGCAATGATGTGTGAACAGCAGTACACCCACGAAGCCCTTGGGAACAGATAGGAACGACAGATTACTGCAAGTCTACACAAGATTGACCGCTCGACTGAGAGTGATAAGAGTGGTACTAGAGGACAAGAATGCTCTGGATATGTTTTGATGTCGATCAGAGGAGTACCGGGAGGAAGCAACATGGGTAAGGGCGTACTCACCTCGAGGAAGACGGGCGTGCAGAAGCCAGCAAAGAACTTCCGAATGCCTCTGTGCCTGCCCTTGTCATTCTCCTCGCTCTCCAGCTTCTCCTCCACCTGATTGAATCACACAGAAGGAAGCAGCAAGGAGTTTTCGAAAAATCTCAAAAACTCCTCCACCCGATTGAATCACAAAGAAAGAAGCAGCACCGCACACTAATATAAACTGATTCCCATGCACGCATGCTGATTCCCAGCAGTGTGCAGTTCTTCGCCGCATTCAGACTGTGCCAAGCACATGATTTCTGTAATCCACATGCGCCTGCTATCTGCCAGATTCTAGTGAAGCCAATGCCTCTTGCTTGCGCACACGCTTGCTTGCACCCTCACACCCACCCACCCACCTCTTCCATCTCCTTAGCGGCAGATTCTTTCGGGTCTGCCCTCCATGCGATGTAGAGCAGACGCAGGCCAAAGAAGGTGTACAGCACTGCAGGGAGGAAAAGGGGGCGAGGGTTGAATGGAGTTGGGGTAGAGCGAGGGAAGTCAATGGTTTTATGCACCCCTTGCTTGGTGTCCGCTCCCACACCTCCATGCGATGTACAGCAGACGCAGGCCAAAGAAGGTATACAGCACTGCACAAGGGGGGGAAATGCAGCGGACGAGATGGCAAGGCACAGAGCGAGGGGGTCAATGGTCTCATGTACTCCTTGCTTGAAAGCTTAACTCTTAGCCATACGATGTACAGCAGACGCAGTCGAAAGAAGGTGTACAGCACTGGGAGGGGGGGCGTGGGAGTGATGGGGGTGTGGAGATGAGATGATCCGGGTGATGGGGTTGACAGGGGTGAATGAGGACATTGACATGTAGAGAACGTGAGACCAATAGTGTGCAGCGCTGTGAAGCTCAACTGACAAGAAATCGACGCACAAATACAGTCCACCTTTCGTTCTTCCCGTTCTTTTCTCTCGCCATTCACACCCTTCTCTGATGCAACACAGATCATTTCGCGAGACCCCAACTCACCTGTGGCAGCGCTGTTGGTGGCCTTTCTGGAGATAAGATTGGGCACTATGAGACCCAGACCCGTGGATAGCACCTGTGTATGGCGGGCGGACGGGAGGGACAAGGAGCAGGGGGGGGGAACAGGAAATTGGCAGGTTGGGCATTATAAGACACAGACCTGTGGATAGGACCTGTGTATGGCGAGTGGACGAGAGAGGCATGGAACAGGGTGAGGTGGAGGGGGAACCGCAGATTGGGAAAAAAGGGAGCTAAGGAGACGTGAACTAGTGAATAAGGCCTGTGCGCATGGGGAAAAGGAAAGGAAAGGGGCACATAGTAGGCAAGGAAGGGAGAAGGCTACCATGCAGCCATGCTGCTGACAGAAACTGACCATATGATCACAAACAATATCTCCACAATACCACACACGGGCACCTCACCATCATGATCTCTCAAGAGTTCTGACACGCCCCAGAACTCGCTGCCATGTAGCCAAGGGCATTATACCACTTCACTAACTGCATGTCCGGGATACCGCACACAAGCAACTCACTGTCATGATCCCCAGGGCGGAGAGCGCTCCAGCCAGCACAATGCTGCGCGGATGGCGCATGGCCATGAGAGCAGCGATGATGAACGTCTCGTCTCCGATCTGTGGCACACAAGAGGCGATCAAAGGGGGAGAGGTGGAGAAGAGGAGGGGAAGAGAATGAAATGACACAACACCATGGTAGTTCGTTGGTATTTTGCGCCCAATGCTGCGCGGATGGCGCACGGCCATGAGAGCCGCGATAATGAACGTCTCGTCTCCAATCTGAGCAATACAAGAAAATATGAAGTGAGAGAAGAAGTGGTGGGAGGGGAGGGTGGGGAGGGGGGAAGAGGAGCAGAGAATGGTTTGTATTTTGCATGATGCTGCGCGGATGGTGCATGGCCGTGAAAGCAGCGATGATGAACGTCTCGTCTCCGATCTGCGCCACACAGGAGATGATGGAGCGAAGGAAATGAGTGGGAGGGTACACAATCAAATGACACGACGAGGGCATGATAAGTGGTCCCTCGCAGGATCATGCTCAGGCTCGTCACAAAGGCATCCAACCGCTTGGCCGGCGACCATAGCACATCCTCCCATGCCACTCCCTGCTCCTCTTGTATCCCCTCTATATCTAAGGTGACTCGCATCACAAACGACAGTGCGACTCACCTCGCTCACGAGGATCACGGACAGGCTCGTCACAAAGGCATCCAACAGCTTGGCCGACCACAAGGCATCGCATCCTGCCGCGCCACCCCCTTGATACTGCCGCGCTGCCAGTGCGACTCACCTCGCTGACGAGGATCATGGACAGGCTCGTCACGAATGCGTCCAAAAGCTTGGCTGGCGACCACAGCGCATCCTTCCACCCCCCTGAACCGCTCTCCGCCCCTCCACCCCACCCGTTGTTCCCCTTGGTACCAGCAACAGTCGCCTGCGTCGCCTCTCCCGCTGCATTCGCGAGAGTCTCTGCCAGGAACTGCAACCGTGAACGCAATAACATAAAATTCGTTATATACAGTACACTTAGAAAGACAAATGCGGAATTTCATCTTCGGACTTTGCAACTGCTGTCGTTAGGGGATTCCTGACATTGCGTGATCCAATGTGATTGCAACTGCACGACTCGCGGCGCACGATTCCTCGTGTCCGCGCGTTCAGCTCCACCTACTCTTGGAGGCGATCCTTAAGGCGGTGCAGGCTACGCCTGCCATTCCCTCCGTTTCTTCCAGATTCGTCTCCTGAGGCGCCTCGAATGCGGTGCAGGCTACGTCTGTTGGAGTCACTTTTGAGACTTCAGAGTCTAGCCTGCGGCGAATTTGAGGCGCTCTCAGAATAGACTCGAACACTTTTATTACCGCCGATTCCGCTAAGCATCGCTTGCTGATGTGCCTCAAGATGTTTGGTGTAGGGTGCATAAACCATACCCTTCCTTCTCTAAGGCAGGCGTCTCCGAAGTGGTGCAGGCTACGCCTGTAATTACCCTCTCTCAGGAATCCTTACCACACCACCTAATAGTTTCATTGGCGAGCATCAACAGGAGCCGACATTTATTCCTTGCGCTAGACCTAAAAAACACTCCCACTGAAGTTCCCGGTGCTCGTTGGACAGGAAGGTCTAACCACTAAGACCCGTAACATGGTTACCTTGCCCTCTCGTAAGGTCTTGGTGGCTCCGTCATCTTGCTGCAACTCTCTCATCTGCGGTAACAGAATAGTCAAGAACGACGTGTAGCCAAGACGGAGGAAAATGAGGAGAAAACAAAGCAGCGTAGCTCTACGCCTGTGAGAATCCTAACAAATAAAAACGGCATAGGATTACATCTCTCTCATAAGAAACGCTGCAGCGAAACCAAATCGATATTCTCTTTAACTAATGCTCACGGATTGTGCCGTTGACCTGAATCCCGCCTACCGGGATCTAGAAATGGTGAGTGAATGCAAGGAGACGACAGAAAAAAACACGACGATTGAAGCCGGCTGCAGCTTACACCGAAAGAGCTTGTGCCGGCTTGAGGTAACGACTCGCCATTAGCTAAGCAGCACAGCCCTAATCCTAGAACGGCTAGACTAACCACTAAGACCCGTAAAATCTGCATCCTGGCAGTAATAAGAGCAGATCAGACGGCAAGTAACTTCAAATATGAGTAGAACAGACTAGGATGTGCTCGGGAGGACAACTAGGTCCTGTGACTGTCAGAACTTACATGATCACAGTCGTCGCACTCCAGTTGTGGAGCAGTGAAGTTTTGAGAGGTTCTGTACGGTACTGCAGTGTCCTGTGGTACTGAGTGTATTTCCAATCAGGCAGATTCGTGCAGGTGACATCGCTTTCTGGTGGTTGGTGTGAGGGAGGAAAAACGCGAGGTGCTCCGATAGTGGTACAAGCGAACGAGACGCGGTGGCGGAGCAACGCTGTATCCCTAGCAGTAAAAGCGATCCAAAATAGTATAATACTGGTAATAGCCCCTCAATGTAAGCAGACCATCAAACTTCTACATTCACTCACTCACACACAGCCCTCACAGACACTAGCTGCATTTTGATTCGACCAATGCACCAACCACCACCACCATCATCACCTCCCATGGTAGTTACGGTACGAGTACATTCCGCCCAAGAGCCACACCACACCTTCACTCGGCAGCATCAGAGAACCAGACGCCAGCACCTTTCATCGCATCTATCTTAAACGGCAGCAGGCGAGCAGCATTGCAATGCACCACCACCACCTCCTCCCTGTGCTCCTGCAACCACACCCTTCCCCCTACCGCCCTCTCCACCGCTCCACCGAACGACAGCGACGACGGCAGCTGGTCCTTCACAAGCGAGTCAGATCCTAATCCTGGTAACTGAGAGGCTTCTAACGAGGATGAGGCTGAAGGGGAGGAGGAGGAACCTAGAGGGCTGAAAGCAAGCCACCCAGGCGGGAAGGATTCTTGAGGGAGGATACCCACTTTGAGAGGTTTTCCCTCCTTAGCCATTTGAAATAGGGCCTTTTGTAGCAAGGGCACGTCACTGCTAGGCACGGCGTAGGTGTAGTCTACTGTTGCCATTCTCCGAGCCCAATCCTCCACCACAGCCTCGGTGGGCTTGGTTCGGCGGAACAGGACCAGGCACGGGGAGGCTCGGGCGATTTGCGACCACGGGAGAGGGATGGCGAGAGAGGAATTGGAAGGAGAGGAGGGGGAGGAGGAGGAAGGGAGGGGGAGGGGGGAGGGTTCTCCGGGGGAGAAGAGGTGGGAGTCGTCTTGAAAGGTGATGTCGAGAGAAGGGGGGAAGGAAGGAAGAGGGTTCTTGAGCCACACTGTGTCGAGGTCACTGCATGTCGAGATAGAGCACAGAGCAAGAGCACAGCGGGGAGAAATATGCTCTGATTTTGAGGCCGGTGAATGGAGGAAGAGGGTAGAGGAGGACCGGAAAATAGGTGACGGAGGGAGGTGAGTGAAGGGATGGGACAAGCCTTCTAGGAAGGGAAAAGAGGAAAGGATGTATGAAGTGAGTAATTCATTGTGAGGTCACATCTAACCTGTGGAGGGCGTTCACTCCTGCCTTAAGCAGTGCTTGTATGCTTTTGAGTCGACTCAAAAGCAGAAAGGGTGTATGAAGGGAGTTATTCAACGTCTGTGAGGTCACACCTCACCTGTAGAGGGCGTTCACTCCTGCCTTAAGCAGTGCTTGCACGAAGAAGGGGCGGCGGGCGGCCAGCAGCAGGAAGGTTTTTACATGGAATTGCACAGAAGCACATGGTACCTGTGAAGGCAACATGTTTGTTACCTGTAGAGGGCGTTCACTCCTGCCTTAAGCAGTGCTTGCACGAAGAAGGGGCGGCGGGCGGCCAGCAGCAGAAACTCCGGGGAGCCGAGGTGGTGGAAAGCGGTGGGGCGCGGTGTAGGATGCTGGGTCAGATTTGCCACTTCGAGCCACATGGCATGGCCGGGATAGGCGTCTTCCACTGCCACATACATGGCCTGGTGGGATGGAGAGAGGAGAGGGGGTAGGGAAGGAGGACGGTTGGTTCAAGGCAGCACGTGCAGGCTGCTGGGGTCAAAACCGCCACTTCAAGCCACATGGCATGGCCGGGATAGGCATCCTCCACTGCAACATACATGGCCTGGTTGGGGGGAGGAGAAGATGGGTGGGGAGAGGAACAGGGGTTAGAATAGCACATAGCATGGCCGGGATAGGCGTCTTCCACTGCCACATACATGGCCTGTAAGGGGGCAGGAAAAGAAGGGAAAAAGGGACTTGGGGTTTGAGCAGGAGAGGAGGAGGTGGGGCGCGGTGCAGAGTGGTTGATGAGGTATGCTTGATCGAGCCACATGGCATGGCCGGGATAGGCGTCCTCCACTGATAGGCATCTTCTACATGTCCGCTTTTGAGACTTCTCATTCTCACAAACATCTTCTACATGTCCGCTTTTGAGACTTCTCATTCTCACAAACATCTTCTACATGTCCGCTTTTGAGACTTCTCATTCTCACAAACATCTTCTACATGTCCGCTTTTGAGACTTCTCATTCTCACAAACATCTTCTATATGTCCGCTTTTGAGACTTCTCATTCTCACAAACATCTTCTATATGTCATGTCCTGGGGGCGGGAAGGAGGAGACAGGATTGGAGAGGAGGGGGGAAGGCTTGAGCTGATGTGGCCTGCTGTTTCAGGTCTGGGCACCCCAACCACCCCCCACCCCCACCTCCCTACTTTCACCTTTCCCCCATCCCACCCTCCCCCTCATCCCACCTCCTCCCGTTCCACGTCCCCACAATCCCACCTCTCCCCAATCACACTTCCCCCACAACCCACCTCCCCCCCATCCCACCTGGTCAAGGGCAAAGAGCAGGAAGTTGCTGGCCAGCCCAATGCGGTTGAGAGCGGTGACCCAGTTGCGGAAGAGAGGCAGGTACACTGGACAGGGGATTGGACGGGGACGGGAAGGGGGGAAATGGTTTTACGCAGTTCCTAGGGATTATCTGGAATGGGTCACAAGGCAGGCAAACGACAAAGCAAGGCAGGCGGACGACAAGGCAGGCGGACGACAAGGCAGGCGGACGACAAGGCAGGCGGACGACAAGGCAGGCAGATTGCAGGGTGTAAGAACTATGGCGCGCGCAGAATACAAGGAGGGGGGGGGGGGGGGGGGGGGGGTGACTCACCATACGATGCTGCAGCAAAGATAATAGTTCCGTCCTTGGCAAACTTCCTGGCAGCTTCCTCCACGCGCTTCACCTGGTACAGGAGAGAGAGTTGCATGGCGGCTGGTTTGAGAGAAGACTGGGACGAGCGGACTGGAACGAGTGGACCATGCAGAGACGACAAGTGACAATACAACCATGTTTCATTCGTTTCAAACACCTCATCAACCACCCACCCCCAACTCTCACCTGTCCTGCACCTCACCTGTCCTGCACCTCACCTGTTCAATGGGCAGCATCGGCACAAACCGCCCTGCGGCCTCCCTGAACCCATCCGCTACAGCCTGAGCGCGTGTCTGTAGCACGGGCTGGGGCAGGGGCACGTCCCAGTCCGCATTTACCTTCCCCACATCCCACCTTCCCCGCATCTTACCTGTTCAACGGGCAGCATCGGCACGAACCTCCCTGCGGCCTCTCTGAACCCGTCCGCTACAGCCTGAGCGCGCGTCTGTAGCACGGGTTGGGGCAGGGGCACGTCCCAGTCCGCATTTACCTGCCCCACATTCAGCCTTCCCCGCACCTCACCTGTTCAACGGGCAGCATCGGCACAAATCGCCCCGCCGCCTCCCTGTACCCGTCCGCTACAGCCTGAGCGCGCGTCTGTAGCACAGGTTGTGGCAGGGGCACATCCCAGTCCGTCTCTTCTCCTGCTGCCGCCTGCCCAAAGCCCAGCCCAAGACCCAGGGAGTGATCATCAGGGACACTCACGTCGCTGCTGCTGCCCATCTCCGCCCTTGCCACCGCCACCCCCCCCTGTGCACTGCCAGGCTCAGGCTCAGTCCCTTGCTCCCAATGTGATCCCCCAAACTCATTATCCCTCATCTTGCTGTTGCTGCTGCTGCTAAAGTCGGTGCCTTGCTGCCCCTGTTCTCTGCCAAACTCCGTCTCCCTCCCGACGCCGCCGCTGCTGCTGCCAAACTCACTGCCTTGCTGCCCCTGTGCGTGGATATAGGACGGGTCACCTTCCCTCTGGTCGTGTGTAGTGTCACCGTGTGCAGCAGCATAGGGGGAGAAATCATTTGGAGTATTACTCTCGTGCTCTCCTCTTCCCTCTCCAATCCCTGATTCCCCAGCCTCCCCTTGCTGCCTCTCATCGTCCCCAGCATCTCTCCCCATTCCTGTATCATCACTATCGCCTCCTCTTTCTCCCATTCCCTCTCCTCCTCTTTCTCCCATTCCCTCTCCTCCTCTTTCTCCCATTCCCTCTCCTCCTCTTTCTCCCATTCCCTCTCCACCTGTTTCTCCCATTCCCTCTTTTCCTCTTTCTCCCATTCCCCCACCACCTCCCAATCCCCACTCACGCTCCCCTCCCCCATCACCACCGTCGCCACCACTAACACGCTCACCACCTGTCTTATAATAAAGACCACCAACCTCTCCGTCCCCTTTCTCCCTTCTTTCCTCCTCCCTTTCCTGCTCCCTTCCCTCCTGAATTCCCTCCTCCCTTCCCTCCTCCGATTCCTCCTCTCTCTCCTCACCCCTTTCCTCACCCCTTCCCTCCCCTCTTTCCTCCTCCCTCCCTCGTCCCTCTTGCTCTTCTACAACCTCTCCCCTGCCACCTTTACCTCTTCCCCTTTCCTCCTCCGCCTCACTTCCCTCCTCAACCCCATCCCTCTCCCCTCCCTCTGCCTCATTCTTTCCCTTCCCAACTAATCTGATCTCAGCGCCCCCACCCTCCTCACCTCTCTTCCCTTCTCCCTTCTCTTCTCTCTCCTCGACATTTCCTGTCTCTTCCTCCTCTTCCCCTCCCTTCTTCTCCCCACGACCCTCCTCCTCCTCGGGCCCTCTCTTCTTCCTCTCACCACTCTCCTCGTCCTCTTCCTCCTCTTCCTCTGCTTCTTCATCCTCACTCTCATCCTCATCCTCGCCTCTACTTCCTGCTTTGCCTTTCCCGCCCTTCCTCTCCCCCATCGCCCCTTCCTCTCCTCCACCCGTTCCTCTCCTCACCTTCCCCTCCCCTGCACCACCACCACCAGAAGAATCCGCAGCAGCAGCTGCAGCAGCTTCACTCACCTCCATCTCTCCATCCGCCTGCTCTGCCCGCGACTGTCGCTGCTCTGCCTTTGTGTTCCCTTCTGATTCCTCTTCCTCCCTCTCTTGCGATTCCTCTTCCTTCCTCTCCTGAGATTCCTCTTCCTCCTCCCCAGCTTCTCCTCTTCGACTCACCACCTTTTTTACCTTTCCCTTACCAGCCTTTCTCCCCAAACCTTCGTTCTTCTTCTCCTCCTCCTCCTCTTCCTCCCCTTCCGCCCCTTCCTCCTCTTCTTCCTCCTCCTCCTCCTCATCTTCTTCCTCACTCTTCTCCATTCCCTTCTCCTCTCCAACCTCCTTTCCTCGCACAGGAATCCCACCTGTCACTGCCCCATCGTCCTCCCTTCTCTCACCAACCGCACCATCCCGACCCCCTCGCCCAACCCCTTCCATCATCGTGCCTTGATCCCCCACCTCCCCACTCCCACTCTTCTTTCCCCACCCTCCAGTCACCCTTCCACCCTCCCTCTCCCCTCTCACTCCCTCCTCCCTCGTCCCTACTCTCTCCTCCTTTTTCCCATCCGCTTTCTCTTCCTCTTCCTCTTCCCCATCTTCTCCCTCCTCTTCCTCCTCATCCTCATCGTCCTTATTGCCACCACTCTTAGATGCTGTCTTGGTATCCTTACCCGTGCTTTCACGGGTACTTGAGCTTGATTCTCCCATTCCAGTCCGTGAGTGGGTTCCAGTTGTCCCAGGCTTCGACAAGCCATCATCAGAGCCAACACCTGAAGCAGCACCTGAAGCAGCACCTGAAGCACCATCAGCGACTGCCTTTCCCTTCCGCTTTCCTTCACTCTCCTCTTCCGCTTCTTCTCCATCCTCCTCCTCTTCCTCCTCCTCCTCCTCCTCCTCCTCCCTTTTCTCTTCCCTCGCCTCCCATCCCTCCCTTCTCCACCCTATCTCTTCCACTACTACCATCTCCCCCCACACCCCTTGAATTGCCTCTTCCTACAGTCACACCACGGTTGATATCATCAGACTTCGCTAACGAATCTGTAGAACCAGATTTTGTACGCGGTGATACACGCCCCAATTCTGATTTGCCTTCTGCTTCGTTTTTTGACCCGCCTTCTGATGCTTCTCCCTTTTCAACTAGCGCTTTCTTTTTGCTTGGCTTCTCCTCTTCCTCTTCCTCGTCCCCTTCCTCTTCTTCCTCCTCCTCCTTCTCCTCTGCACCTTGCTTTTCCTTCGCCACAGCTTCTTCTGCTGTCACCCCCGCCTTGGTCACTCCTGACTTAGTCACTCCTCCTGTCTTACTCAAACCCCCCTCTCTCACCCTCGACCTACTCCCCTCTGACTGAACCAAACCTTCACTCGACTGCCCACCCAACAGCTTACCTCCAGACGCTTCCCCTGCACCACCTCTCTTCTTCACTCCCCTTTTCTCCTCTTCTTCCTCTTCCTCGTCTTCCTCTTCCTCCTCACTCCCCTCCTCTTCTTCATCAGAAGCAGCACCACTAGCACCAGCACCAGTCGCAGCAGTAGCAGCGAGAGAAGAGCCAGTCTCCGGAGGTCCCTTGCCCACCACGCTCGTCCCCTCCACCTCCTCAGGATCCCCACCATCACCGCTACCACCACCTCCTTTGCCACTCCTACCAAATTCAACACCGCTGGTTGCTCCCTTATAAGCTGATTCTTTACTGCCATGTGGAACAGTGCCACCAGGAAAGTCCCCACCAGCGGTTGACCCACCCCTTCCGAAAGCACCAGCAGTGCCTCTTCCTCCTCCTGACCCTTCTTCTTTTTCTTCCTCGTCCTCTTCCTCTCCCTCCTCTTCCTCTCCCTCATCCTCTTTCTCCTTCCCACTCGCAACTGCACCAGACAATTCTGTGCTCTTTGGGTGTTGAGGCGTGTCAAAACGAGTTGCACTTGCACCAGCGCCAGCACCAGCACCAGCACCAACACCAGCATCTGCAACACCACCAGCACCAGAGCCAGCACTAACAGCGTCGTTTTCTGCTCTTTTTACTCCTTTTAGCACCCCCTCGCCTGCACCTTCCTTCGTTTTCTCTCCTTCTTCCTCCTCCTCTTCCTCCTCCTCCTCTTCGCCCTCCTCACCTTTACCCTCTCCTCTGTTACTCTTTCCACCTGCTCCATCCCCCTCCTGCAACCCTTCACTCGCCTTTTTTACTATCCCTGCCCCTGCCACTGCCCCTGCCCCTGTTCCTGTTCCTGTTCCTGCCCTTCCTCCTTCCCTCGCTGCACCCAATGCATTTGCTCCTGACCATGCGCCGGCTTTGCTCCTCACCTCTTCTTTCACCTCCTCTTCCTTCTCCTCCTCCTTTTCCTCCTCCTCCTCTTCCTCTTCCTCTTCCGCCTTCACTGCACTCCCAGCACCTCTGGCTGCAGCTGCATCTGTAGCATCTGTACCGGCTGTAGCGGCTGTAGTGGCTGTAGCAGCTGTGGCGGCTGTTGAAGGTACTGTAGCACCAGCAGCTCCAGAGCCTGTATCAGTGAGAGACGCAGCTCCTTGCTTGACTAGGGACGTCTTCTCCTCTGCCTCCTCTTCCTCTTCTTCCTCTTCCTCCTCTTCCTTTTCCTCTTTCTCCTTCTCTTTCGTGACCGCACTGCCAGCACCAGCTCGCAGCGGAGAATCAAACCTGCCAGTGCCAGTGCCAGCAGCTGTAGCCGCTGCAGCAGCAGACCCAGCTGCGTCACTTCCCACTGTGCTAAGAGGCACAGCTTCGTGCTTTGCAGCAGGAGTCTTCTCCTCAGTCTCCTCCTCCTCCTCATCCTCCTCCTCCTCCTCCTCCTCCTCTTCCTCTTTCTTCTCCTTGACTACACTGCCAGCAGCTGCTCGCAGTGGAGAAATAGAGCTGCCAGTGCCAGCGCCAGCAGCCGTAGCCGCTTCAGCAGCAGCGTCACCTGTGTCAGTTCCAGTTGAGGTGATGGCCGTGGCTCGCGCTGTGGCTCCCTGCTTTGCCTGCGACGTCTTTTCCCCTGCTTCCTCTTCCTCCTCCTCTGCCTCCTCCTCCTCCTCGGCTTCCTTCTCTTCCTCCTCCGCACTTTTCTTCACAGCGCTGCCAGCAGCAGTTTGCAGCGGAGTGAAAGAGCTGCCAGTTCCAGTGCCAGCAGCTGCGGCCGCTACCACAGCAGACCCAGCTGCGTCAGTTCCTCTAGTGGTAAGCCCCGTGGCTCCTTGCTTCCCTGGAGACGTCTTCGCCCCTGCTTCCTCCTCTTCCTCCTCCTCCGCTTCCTCCTCTTCCTCTTCCGCGTTCTTAACAGCGCTGCCAGCAGCAGTTTGCAGCGACGAGAAAGTGCTACCAATGCTACCAGCTGTAGCCGCTACTGCAGCAGACCCAGCTGCGTCAGTTCCTCTTGTGGTAACGGCCGCGGTTCCTTGCTTGCCTTGACCCGCCTTCTCCCCTGCCTTCTCCCCTTCCTCCTCTTCCTCTTCTTCCTCCTCCTCCTCCTCTTTCTCCTTCAGCCCTGCTACCTGCGTCTTCCCCCGTCCCTTCCCCTCACCCACCAGCCTTCCCATTCCCACCCCCACTCCCACTCCCGCTGCTCTCTCCACGTTCGAATCCTGTGAATTCGTCAACACTGCACCACCACCTTCCCTCGCTAGTGTCACCCCCTCCTTTGTAACTCCATCTCTGCTAACAGCATCACTGTTGATTGTTTGACCGCCAATGACTGCCCCACTTCCTGTCCCTCCAAACAACCCCTCCCCAGTAGGTTTCACTCCCTCCCCACCTTGCTTTGCTTCTTTCCCCTCCTCCTCGTCCTCCTCCTCCTCCTCCTCCTCCTCCTCCTCCGCTTCCTTTCCTTCTTGCTTCTCTGCCTTGACTTTTCCACTCGCACCCCCAACCCCTCGCACAATGTTCCCTCCAGTATTATCACCTTCAACTTTATCACCTCCAGCTTTCACTCCACCACTTTCCCGGATACTCCCAAGGCCGCTCCCTCCCTTGTCTGATTTCCCAAGCCCTTCCTTTTCTTCCTCCTCTCCTTCCTCCTCTTCCTCATCATCCTCCTCCTCCTCCGCCTCACCCTCTGCCTTCTCACCTTTTCCCGCAGCATTACCCCTCCCCATCCTCACTCCCTCCCTCACTCCCTTTCTCTCCCCTTCACCTGTCCCAATTCCTGTTGCACCACTATCTCGCTTCAGTCCAAACCACCGTGAGACAGTTCCCTTTCGCGCCTCCCCCTCTGCCATGATTCGCCGATCCCCTCCCACTGCCGCGGAGCCAGTAATACGCTGCCACGTGTCCACGACAGCAGCTTCAGTTGCATATGCTCCCTTTCGCGTTCCTGTCGTGAATCGGCCGCCCGGAAACTCCGCATTCCCATTATTACCGGCTGTGATATCTGTTGAGGCCTCCGTGGCGTGCTCTGCTCGCGCTGCTTCGGCGGACTGGCCGGATTTCGCGGCGCGAGTTGCGCCGGACGGCACAGCGGGAATTTCGGCGTAAGTTTCGGCGTAAGTTTCGGCGCCAGTCTCGGCGGCGAGCTTCCTGTGCGCCACGGACAGGCGCGGACGCAAATATTCCCGAGTCGCATCTGCTACTGAAGAGTCTGCAGAGAGAAAAGCTGGTGCTTTTACCCCCGCTACAAGAGGACGCGACACTACGAGTGTTACAGCCACGAGAATGAGGACTTTAAGAGGAAAAGCAAGGTGAATGCGAGAGGCGGCCATTTCTGTCGTGAAGCTGATCGTAGTAGGTTTTCAGGACAAGCTGATCGTATCTACCAGGCAAAAAGTCGCACCGTTGCACGACTCCTATCTGCGTTATCCGAAACACAGTACTTTATAACTTATGTAGCTGTACTGTATCCAGAGCAGCCTATCAGGCACCTTCTCCAGGTGTTATAGAAAAGGGGACGCTGTCAGGAACACGAAGCAACACGGTTACCAGGCATCGCTTGAAGTCCATCGACGTGACCCATCCTCCATCACTTCTGACCTAACTCGGAAGTCGAAAAGCACAACACTATGGCCTTTGCATATGGCCTGAAAAGACAAATGGAACTGGGCTGAAGATTTGAAGGATGGGGAGGAAAGGCAGTGAGGTGGATGAGCAGGAAGAAGTGGATGCCCGTGGAACGAATGCGTTCAAGGCCGTATTCAAAGGCAGTTGGGGGGTCGGTGGGAGCTTTGGTGGAAAAACTCGATGATCTCGAGGCCAGCGACCCCGAGGAACAAACGCGATGTATGTGAACTTGTTTATCCTGAAGGCTTGAATGCTCAGAAGGACATAGGATGGTTTCCTCTTGTAATGATATGCCAAGTGCTAAAATTGCAATAGTTTGTCACTAACCAGACAAGAAAGCAAAAGGATGGCATTAATTTCATTAATGATTGTTCTCCACCTCGCACTAATGAGTTATAATCACTAGCACAGTGCATCTCGCTGAGGTTTAGGAATTGATAGAACAGCTGATCCGTAGAGGAAAATCTGGAGTTGCAAGAAGTGGGAGGGAGACAAAGGGGGTGGAAGAAGGGAAGAATGAGTAGAGACAGAAAGCCAGGAGTCATATGCAGAAGAATATGAAGGTTGAAACAAGATACTGGATGGATAACATAACATCATGCGTACCAATCAAATCTTGAGCAAGTTTCTCGTGCACCTCTTGAAAGATCAGACACTCCTGCATTACCACCACAAATTGGTTCAAGAACCACGCCAGGGAGACATGATTCATGCACCTGCTATTACCAAGCATCACCACACCCACTTCAAATGTCCAGCTCTCTTCCACCCTGTACCCCTCTACCCTCTCCCCATCCACCCTGCCCCTCTCCACCCTGCTCCCCTCCACCAAGCTCCCATCCACACTGCTCGGCCTCCCCAAACAGCATCTGCAGCTGTGCAAAAGGCGACGGCACCCTAGGCGTTTCCGCAGTGTGTTGGAGCGAGTGTGACGGGAGAGCCGGGGAGTGAGGTGAGTGAGGGAGTGGGAGTGGGGAGATGCGAGTGAGCCTGGTCTCGTGGCCCGTGCCTCGCACGGCGTTCCTCATCTGCACGCGGCACTCCATGCCACACAGCAGCTCGGACAACACACATGCTGGGGACAGAGTGGGGGAGGAAAGAGGGGATGCGGGGGAAAGATGTGAGTGAGCCTGGATTCGAGGCCTGTGCCCCGCACGGCTTCCCTCATCTGCACGCGGCACACCATGCCACACAGCAGATCGGACAACACACATGCTGGGAAAATAGCAGGGGGGGAGAGAGGAGAAGAGAGCGGTGTATGTGTGAGTGAGCCTGTTCTCCTGGCCTGTGCCCCGCACGGCTTCCCTCATCTGCACGCAGCACACCATGCCACACAGCAGCTCGGACAACTCACATGCTGGGAAAAAAGCAGGGGGGGAGAGAGGAGAAGAGAGCGGTGTGTGTGTGAGGTAGCCTGTTCTCCTGGCCTGTGCCCCGCACGGCTTCACTCATCTGCACACGGCACTCCATGCAACACAGCAGCTCCGACAAGACAACACACATGCTGGGAGTAGCATGGGGGGAGCATGGGGGGAGCATGGGGGGAGCATGGGGGGAGCATGGGGGGAGCATGGGGGGAGCAGAGAACGGAGAGCGGGAGAGGAGAGACGGGAGAGATGCAAAGATGGGATCGAAGCACATGGAACCAAAAAAAGAGGTATTTAGAAAAGGTGCAATGTGCGTTGAAGTTCTAGCGAGCGTGCCCACTAAAAATCTATTTCCCAGGCACCTACAAGTGCGTTAAGGAGCAAGAAGCGCAACGGACCTGCATGGGGGTATTTGCGAACAAAGGCGGTCCACTGGGAGCCGGTGCAGCCTATGAGGGGCTGAGCCGCCTTGTCAAACGCCACACCAGACACTGGATGGGACTCCCCTGGTAGCACCAACAGCAGCTGCCATTTGGAGGGAAGAGGAGGAAGGGGGAAAGAAGTGAGGGGCTGAGCTGCGTTGTCAAACGCCACACCGGACACTGGGTGGGACTCCCCTGGTAGCAGCAGCAGCAGCTGCCAACGCGTGTGTTGGAAGTGTTGCAATGGGGCAACATTCGCGCGGAAGGGGGGGAAGGTAAGGAAGGGGGGGAAGATGAGAAGGGAAGGAAGAGGGGCGATCGACACATGGGAAACTGAAGTGGCGTGGTCGTATAAAAGTGAGGAAAGGAAAGTCTGTTGTAACGCTGCATCCATTCTCATGCCTTCCATTATAGCGCCATCCACATTCACGCAATTACAACATCAGAAGTCACCTTGAGCATGAACAGATGCGTCCACCACACACCTTGACCTTGAACAGATGTGTCTGATGCTCGATCGTCTCAAGGGGCTTCGCGGAGCGGTCCGCCAGCTGGCACTCGCTGCACGGCCACGGACGCCACGTGGCGACCTGCTGGCCCCTCACCGTGTACTCCGACAGCGAGCGCGTGCAGCGCGCACACGCGGGATAGCTGACGTGGCGTCGGGAGCCGCAGAGGGGGGGAGGCGGAAAGGGGAAGACGGGGGAGGGAGGGAGAGGGAAAAGAAGGCGTCGTCAATTATAATAATAATAAGTCTGATCCAAAAAGCGTTGTTTGAGAGGCGTTAGAGCAACGCGTCGACATTCTTTGACCAGGAAGGGAGTGCCTTAAAACATCAACGAAAAAAAAAAGGCGCACCATAGGTTCGACGTGTCGGCTGCGATAATTTTGCACTGCGGCACGTCGCGCATTCCTCCTGCGGAACCGCTTCCAGCAACGGTAATCCGCAGCCAGCCACAGCGGCACGGGCTCTGACGCGGGTCTTTGCCCCGCCTTGCGTGAATCAGCGACACGCCGCGGCGCAATTCCTCGTGTTCCAAAGTTGCCAGCAAGAAGCGACGCTATTCCTTTTTCACTGCGGCTCTAATAACCATTCCTCCATCGTCGTCGCTGCACATCGCCGACGCTCCAATCATCGCGTTTCGTGCGGCTGCAATTCCTGTGCTGCTCGAATTGGCGCTGGGTGGTGTGTCTGCTTCATGGGCTGCTGCAGGCTGTAAGGGCGTGTTAATAGCAAACTCCAAAAATTCGGCCACAATCCGTCGGGCCGTTTTTGCGAAGGTAACCAGTTCGCGACAATCGTAATTCTAGTGGCGACAGTCGCAAATTTCGTAATAAAATAACGAATTTGATGGCCGTTTAAAAGGTCGACACGAAAACGACGCTGAGTCGACTCCAAAGCGGCCAAGTAGTCGACACAGTGTGCGACAAACGACTGCGACGTCGCATGGATTCGTCCAGCGACCAAATTTGTGATCGCGTCAAATATGAAGAATCGCCGTCAAAAGTGCGACCCCGTCGCACATACTAAACTACTGTAGTAACTGCAAATTTAACAACTTTTCCGAACCAGCCTGCAATTCGGCCACCAAAGTTGTTAAATTGCCAAAACTGTTAATTTTGGCTGTTCAAGAGTCGACTCTGATTCGGCCACCTCGTCGTTGTTCGCGAAAAATATGACGACCATTTGGTCGTCAAAAATTCGGCCACACCCCATTTTCGGAATTGTGTGGCGATTTAACACGCCCTAAAGGGCGCAAAGTATCTTGCACAGAGAGGACCAGCAGAGGAGGATAAGAACTGCATCACTTGTGGTCCAGATCAAAAAGATGTTGCTGGATCGCCTGTCGTATCGCCAGAAATAACAAGTATTGACAATGGCCCCAAAGAAGGCTACTTCAAGCTGATTCGCTGCAATTAATTCTGACATACGGTAACTAGATTATGTACATACATTTGTACAATAGTCGTTCACGGTGTCAGACCGAAACCAACACACATGCATAAAAGGCCAATACTCATTGACCTTCACCTAAAAGCATCAAGCATAATCCACTGCATGGCACGAGCTACAGTAAGCACCTTCACATACCATCAGCCCCCGGATAGAAGCGCCCCTGGGGTTATAAAAAAACACTGTTTTTTAGGGGGTGGGCTTATAATCGAGGATTTTTATAAGCGCCGGCGCTTATATAATGAAAAAATAGGAATTAAGTTTGTTGTACACCGATTTGTAGATCTCGTTCTACCCAGTGTAATCGAGTCGAAACTACTATGGGGTCGCGAATCCGATTCTTCCGCAGCCTAGCAGGGATTCAATCCCTGCCAACACATGCTGACTAAGTGACAGCACGTGCTGACTAGACGCGCAGCAAGAGAGGTGTGAGTGGGAAACCGAAATTGTGCTTCGTTACCCTGCTAGGGAGAAATTCGTTTCTCTATTTCGACAGATTTTCAAATAAGAAATCGACATGCGCTTATAATAAATCATGAATTTTTAGGGGGTGCGCTTATAATCGAGGACCGGATATAAGCGCCCTCATCCTTTTATAAGCGCCGGCGCTTATCCGAGGCCTGCGCTTCTATCCGGGGGCTTACGGTAATGCATTCCCCCAAACCTCCCTTTCAACTCCTCAGGAAGAATCTCATCAGCAGTGATCAAAACAGGCGACCTCACCACCACAAGCCCTCTCCCTCCAATTCCACCTCCCTCCTTACCACCATCCTTACCGGTATCTCCCTCCTCCTTGCCCTCCTCAGATAACCACTCCACATCAGATTTGATCCACTCACCGATTGGCACTATCTTATCCTCCCCAAAAACCACCTTCTTCCCGTCCCTCTCGTACCTCTCTCGCGCATGTGGGTGTACCATCTCAAGTGCCCGCTGCATCGCTGCCTCGTTGATTGACGCCGCCACGTGGCGCACTTCCATTGGCGCTGCTGCTGCCCATGCTGAAAACGCAGCTTCAAGAGAGGGTTTCTTTGTTTCTGCTACTCCGTCTGCTGCGGCTGCTGCTGCTGTTGCCACAGGCTTCCAGCCTAGAGCCTCCCTGATAGCAGCAGCGCTCTTGCACTTGACCCACAGGGTGTGCGGCTGGCACGGCCAGAACTTGCCCTGCGACTGCACCCATGCGGACTGCAGCACTGTTGGAGGAGAGGACGTCTGGTTGGAGCCCTCCTGAGAGGAGCCCTTCCTGGGCGCAAGGAGGGCGGGCTTGGAGCAGATGAAGTCGGGCAGGAAGGCGTGGAAGATGGTGTGCGAGGGGATTGTGATCGGTAGGCCTGCGTGGGAGAGGATGGTTTCCTGTTGGAATGGGTGGGAGAGGAGGGGAACGTGGATGATGGTGTGCGAGGGGAGCGTGATGGCGAACAACTTGTGAGAAATGTCAAGAACGGGTCTAGGAGAGAACGGGTCTAGGAGAGAAGAGCAGGAAGTGGTTTGGAGACGGCTGAGGAATAAGCGAGAAAAGGAAAGAAGGGGAGGATGGGCTGAGGTGGACCTGCGCAAGCAAGAAGGGGATGGGCTGAGGTGGACCTGCGCAAGCAAGAAGGGGATGGGCTGAGGTGGACCTGCGCAAGCAAGCATAATCATTTTTATTAAAAGAAACAAGTCTGAAAGGGAGAGGCAAGGGGCGGACTGACCAGCACGTGATCAGGCTCGTCCCTTTCCATGTCGAGGGCCTTCCACACTGGTCGATCACAGGTGGTCAGAGGTCAATAGATATTCACAGAAAGAAGGGGTGAGGCAAGGAGGGGACCGACCAGCACGTGGTGAGGCTCGTGCCTCTCCATCTCCAGGGCCGTCCACACTGGTCGCAGGTACTCCAACGACCACTGCACGGCCCCCTGCAGCACCTTCACCGCATTCCCCTGTGCCTCCGCCACACACTCCTCCTCCCCTCCTGCCCCTCCCACTCCTCCATTCACCCCCTCCCTGCCCGCCAGCAGCAACGGCGCCCAGCCATTGTCCGAGTGCAGGTGCAGCAGCATGAACGCCGAAACCAGCCGGCCAATCTCCTCCCGCACCTCCTCGATTGGTCGAGATGCCTCCAGGTCGCCCCTCTCTCTGTTCACCACGCCGTTTCCACCTTGCGCATGGTTCATCCCCTTTATAATCACAACCGGCTTCTGGACTATCGACAGCAGTGGCCCAAGCGCTGCTGCTGTCGCACTGCCAGGTGGCGCAGCAACAGAAGAACCACCTGAAGAATCACCTGAAACGGCACCTGAAGAAACACCTGAGGATCCAGGGTCCAGCTCCTTGACTGCCAGCGCCATGGCGATGGGGGGAGCCTGGCCGTCCCTGTCACCAAGGATGGTGAGCGTGGGCCTTGGGAATTGCAGGAAGGAGGTCTCTAGGCTGTTGTGTGAGGAGCCGATGCTGATGAGAGCGAGGCAGGACTCTCGCACCACTGCTGTCATGAGGAATGCTCCGATGCTGGTAGTGGGGGGGATGGGGAAGGGAGAGAGGAGGAGGAGGGAGAGTAGTGTGTCTTAATCAGTGTGGTAGGCACAGATGCTGATGAGAGCGAGGCAGGACTCTCGCACCACTGCTGTCACGAGGAATGCTCCGATGCTGGCAGGGGGTGAGAGGGAAGGAGGGAGAGTGGTTTGTGTGAGGCGCCAATGCTGATGAGAGCCAGACAGGCTTCTCGCACCACTGCAGTCATGAGGATTGCTCCAATGCTGGTAGGGGGTGAGAGGGTGAGGGTGAGGGGGTAGGAAAGGAGGGAGGGTGCTGTGTAAATATGGCTCATATTGTATGTTGATGAGAAAGCAATTCAGAATTCGACTTTAAAGTCAACTCAAAAGTCAAAGAGTTATCGCATTAGACAACTAAGGACTCATCAGAAGTCATCCCATCTCCTTACCCGCTTTCACCACTGCACTTACCCTCTCGCATCTTCCCCCAAACACAACCCAACACACCTGTGTCCTAGCACAAACACACGCGATGTGCCGCCGGCATTAGTCACATCCGCGCCCATCTCCTTGACCGCTGCTACCGCAACACCCAATTCCCTTGCCCCACTCGCATCTTGGCCCAGACCCAACCCAACACACCTGTGTCCCAGCACAAACACCCGCGACGTGCCGCCCTTATTAGTCACATCCGCGCCCATCTCCTTAACCGCTTTCACCGCCGCCTCATACCCATCCCGAGCCCACGCCCTCCCTTTCTCCTGCTCCAGAACCGTGACTTCCCTCAGCACAGCCACCCACAGGCGCGCGCGCAGAGATGGGGGAGTGGCGGATCTTATAGCGCGGATGAGAGGGAGGTAGGAGAGCGCGGGGATGAAACCGCCGGGGGCGACGAGGAGGAGGTAGGGAGGGGAGGAGGGAGAGGGGGAGGTGGTATCTGGGGTGGGTTGGTCCTCAAGGGAAGGGGGGAGGATGCACGCGATCTGATGTAGAGTCATCCTCAAATCAAGGGGACGGAAGAGACCACGGGGATGGAGAGGGAAACAGGGATTGAGAGTGGTAGGATGAATCTGTTACTGGTTTATTGTAAGTTAAATCTGCAACGTGTGAAATTAGAAGGGGAATCTGGGGGAATCTGGTGTGAAGGGTAAGATCAATTTCCGTATGCGCTAGTGTGCGGTTCCCCGGTGGGCCGATACAGGCCGTATCGGTTCACGAGTTCCAGGGCAAAATTTTACTAGTACTATGAGGTGAGTGCATGGTGAACCCGACCTGACGCGAACAAATCAGTGCAAATCATGCAATGATATTATAAATTTTGGAATTTAGGATTTCATTATTGGGATGGATTCGTGCCTCTGGAGCCAATCGCGCATCAGGAGCCATGATGACGTCATCATCGTGATTTGCGACGTCCTTACGATTCCCGCGGTCCGACATCGTTCCGTTTTCTCCCTCGCTCCCAATGTTTGCTCCAGTGCCAGGACCAGATGCAGCAGCAGCTGCAGCAGCGCAACTGACGGATATGCGCAGCGATGAAGACACGTGGCGGACGGGCGATGGAGAGCCGCCGTTGACTAGGGGCTGGCGACTCGCAGAAACAGCGCTGGGAGAAACAGCGTTGAAGAATGGCAGACAACGCTGACGAGACACTACGCATGCGGAAGAATTGACGACCGAGACACAGCGACAAATGGTGCGCGTGGGAATGGAACGAGAGAATGCGGAAAGTATAGGAGATTGAGAGGAGAATGAACTCGATGGGGGGAAAACTTGCACGGGAGGACGCGAGGTGGTGAGAATGGAAGTGCTGGTAACAGCCATGAGCAGAGGCGGATTCGCGAAAAACGAGGACGAGGAGACGCGAGGTTTATATTAGGAGTAATGGTGAGTGACTGGGAGAACTGAATAACAATCTCTCCTGAAAGGCCCGATTGCAATCAAGGCAGCCGAGCAATCGCGCAGCGTGAAACGAAGGCGGAAGATTCAGGAAGAATCACGGCATTCCTCGAATTTTCGACAAAACGAGTCACCGAGGAAACCAAAGAAGACGGAAACCCATGAAAATGACGCCGTTGTCTGACGGACGTCATTTTCCCGACCTCCTTCCTATCCGTTGTTCATGTCGAGGTGCGATACGGATTCGTAATACCTAAAGGACGGCATGGTGGTGTTCCTATTGGATGTGAAGAATTTTTCGGCAATTTCAAGGCGGTTCGTGTCGTCTCAGCAGCATAATCTTCTCGGGAGGGAAAAATCTGTGGGGGCTGACGTGTACGCGATTTAGAGATACCAGTTATTCAACTGTTGTGACGTGTTACTGCAAAAACCAAGGTTGTTCCACAAAGATGGCAGCAAATTATTGAAGATGCAAGAAGCTCTAAAACGAATCGCAAGATCTGGCCTCTAAAACATGAAACTGACTAACACAATTTAACACGAGTGAAGCTAGATAAACACCCACATTCCGTCTGCATTTATTGGCTGTGCAGTGTGCATCTGCCCTACCCTCCAGCTCCTCCCTAACAATAACACCGCAATTCCGTATCTTACCGTTTGAAAAAACCTCCAATTTCTGTTTTCACAGCAGCTGGCTGTGCACCTGCCACCTGGCCTATCCTCCCGCTCCGCCCCAGCAGGTACTGCGCCCACGGCTGCGCGCGAACCACAAATCCCTCTCCCTACTGTCAGTCGTCCTCACCCCGTCCGGAAACAAAACCCCAACCCAACACATCCCTCTCACAGCAGCTGGCTGTGCACCTGCCCTATCCTCCCGCTACGCCCCAACAGGTACCTGCGCCCATAGCTGTGCTCGAATCACTGACGACAGATCGCTCTCCCTCTTACTGTCAGTTGTCTTCACTTCACCCCCTGTCAGGAAACAAACCCCCCGTTCCAGCATCTCTCACAGCAGCTGGCTGTGAACCTGCCCTATCCTCCCGCTCCGCCCCAGCAGGTACTGCGCCCACGGTTGCGCGCGAATCACCGACGACAGATCGCTCTCCCTCTCGCTGTCAGTCGTCCTCACCCCCTCCGTCTTATCCACCCACGGCACCACCAGGTTGTGGCTCTTGGGGAAATCCATGTCCTTGGGGATCACCTCGTATGCCACCTGTGCGGAGTGGGGAATGAGCATGGGATTTTTGAAGAGATGAACGGCTGAAGAAAGGCCTGCCATGTGGAACAGAGTAGTAGCACCACACTAGAGCCTTATCATTCCATTCCCTTAACCTCAGCCCGGAGCTTGCCTTGTCTGGTTTGAGTCGCAGGGAGTCCAGGGTGGCTTCTGTGAAGAGCCCCCCGCAGCCCTGTAAACCCTAACGGAACACGGCTTACATACATACGATACGATCGACCTGAACCCCTGAGCCAGAAACGTATCAACGTGCCTTGTCTGGCTTGAGTCGCAGGGAGTCCAGAGTGGCTTCTGTGAAGAGCCCCCCGCAGCCCTCATACAGCACCACCACCAGTCGGGATTTGGGCAGAGCCTTGGCCACTGCGGGGAGGGAGAGACAGAGAGAGAGAGAGAGAGAGAGAGAGAGAGAGAGAGAGAGAGAGAGAGAGAGAGAGAGAGAGAGAGAGAGAGAGAGAGAGAGAGAGAGAGAGAGAGAGAGAGAGAGAGAGAGAGAGAGAGAGAGAGAGTGTGTGGTAAGAGGAGTGTGGACTACAAACATCTGTAGAGTGCCTCAACATGCATTTCATACTGAACATACGCACAGACCCACGAGCACGCACCCACGCATGCACACATGCAAGGTCTCACAAGCATGCACCCATGCATGCACACATGCAAGGACTCACAAGCATGCACCCACGCATGCACACATGCAAGGACTCACAAGCATGCACCCACGCATGCACACATGCTAGGACTCACAAGCATCCACCCACGCATGCAACTCACGAGCACGCACCCACGCATGCACACATGCAAGGACTCACAAGCATGCACCCATGCATGCACACATGCAAGGACTCACAAGCATGCACCCATGCATGCACACATGCAAGGACTCACAAGCATGCGCCCTCTCCGCGTGCGTCACGTCGCAAGCTTGTCCGAAGAGCACAGCGCATCGCTCACGTGCGTATATCTCCCCATAAACACACCCCTGCAAGCACACATGCACGTACCTATCTCCTGCGCCCTCTCTGCATGCGTCACATAGTCCCCAGAATGGTTGAACAGGGAGAAGCGCCGGGAGCTCGCCACATTGACAGGCGCCAGCAGGAAGACCAATGTGGGGCTGCCAGCTGGACACATGGGATATGGGCGTGGGAAAGGAGAGAGGAGGAAATGAGGAGGGAGAGGGGTTGAGGTGGGGATGTGAGGAAGGAAATGAGAGGGATGGGGAAAAGAGGTGAACAGGGACATGAGAGCACTAACAAGGAGAGCAGGGAAGAAGCAAACGGGAAGAGACTGAAAATCAATCTTGAAATGTCTCAAGAATCGCTTAGACAAACTATGTCGAAGACACGTCAACGGCACGTCCATCCAAGGCAGCCACAATTCGGTTTGCAGTTGGCAATGATAAGTGAAAGAGGCGAGTGCTTCCCCTGGCTACTATCACCACAACTAACAGTCAGGCTCGTAGTTGGCAGCAGTGGTGAGCACGATGGGCAGGCGAGTCCTCCTGCGCCCCTCAAAGGCCTTCATGAGCGTCCCTTTCGCCACCTCTGCTGGCACCAGGCGCATCTTCTGAGGACGCCCTACAGTGAGCCAAGTGTTACCCTACTAGGTACATTACAATGCGGGTTACCATCAGCTAAAGAACTCACAATCAGCCTCGTAATTGGCCACGGTGGTGAGGACGATGGGCAGGCGGGTCCTCCTGCGCCCCTCAAACGCTTTCATGAGTGTCTCTTTAGCCACCTCTGCTGGCACCAGTCGCATCTTGGATGCTGGCTGCACCGCCACCCACCCATACGCGCCCCCTCCCGTGGGATTCTCCTCTGTGAAAGAGGTTGGGGGAGTGAATGTGAAAGGGTAATATGGGTGGGACTGGGTCTCCTTGGCCACTTCTGCTGGCACCAGTCGCATCTTGGATGCTGGCTGCACCGCCACCCACCCGTACGCGCCCCCTCCAGTGGGATTCTCCTCTGCACAAGGAGTTGGGGGAGCGGAGGAGTGAGGGAGCGAGGGAGTGGATGAACAGATGATTAGGGCACAGTAAGATGTTTTGGACTGAGTAAGATGGGTGGGAAAGGGTCTCCTTGGCCACCTCTGCTGGCACCAACCGCATCTTGGACGCGGCCACCCACCCATACGCGCCCCCTCCCGTGGGATTCTCCTCTGCGCAGGGGATTGGGGGAGCGGAGGAGTGAGGGAGTGAGGGAGTAGATGAACAGATGAGTAGGGCACAGTAAGATGGTTTGAACTGAGTAAGATGGGTGGGAAAGGGTCTTTCTGGCCTCCTCTGCTGGCACCAGGCGCATCTTAGACGCTGACTGTACCGCCACCTACCCATACGCACCCCCACCCGTGGGATTCTGGGGAAGGGGACGGGGAGGGTATGGTTGAATGAGTACTATGGGTGGGACTGGGTCTCCATGCCATAGCGTGCCATGGCATGGCATGGAATCACATGGCATAGTGTGGCATGGCGTTGGGAGTGCTTGCTTAGGTGGTGGAGGAGGAAGAGCAGGCATACCGTGGAGCAGCAGGAAGAAGAGGAAGGAAAGCATGACGAGCAGCACCAGCGCCTGCACTCCCAGCAGCACCTGCGCACACACGCACACGCAAACGCACAGCAACGAATCGTCATGTGAAGGGCAGGAGAACGTTGGCACAGAGGGATGCAAGGACGGCAACACGACAGCATGTTGTATGTGCTGTGGTGTATAGTTTGATGCTGTACACATAATTCAGCCATTTTCAACCCTCACCCCTCACCTTCAGCCATTTTCGACTCAAAACTCACCTGCAGCCACACAACGGTGTGTTCAAGAGAGTCGATCGTCCCGTCAGCCAGCACCTCCCTCAGCCGCGCCTCAGCGTGCGCCCGTGCCGGGCGGCACGCCTTGAGCTCCTTGCGCAGGCGCGCCCTCTCCGCCGCCCACTCCTCGTGGTCCTTCGCTGCCCGCTCCGCCGTGGATTCTAGCTCCGCCAGGCGGGTGAGGTCGGTGACCTGCGTGCGGTGCCGGCAGGCTGTCGTGTTGGCCTCCAAACCTCTCTTAGCGTGGTCGCATAGTGCTCGCTCGACAACTACCTCCCTTTCACACACCGCGCGCTCCTTGTTTCTCAACTGAGGGAGGGGGTGGAGTGGATAAGGAAGGGGAGGGAGGGATGAAGGTGGCCTCTAGCTCCGCCAGGCGGGTGAGGTCGGTGACCTGCGTGCGATGCCGGCACGCTGTCGTGTTGGCCTCCAGGCCTCGCTTGGCATGGTCACATAAAGCTCGCTCCACCACCACTTCTCTTTCACACACCGCGCGCTCCTTGTTGCTCAACTGGAGTAGGTGTGGAGGGGCATAAGGGAGGGAAGGCAATAAGCAGCCGCGCCCTCTCCGCCGCCCACTCCTCGTGGTCCTTCGCCGCCCGCTCCGCCGTGTCTTCTAGCTCTGCCAGGCGGGTGAGGTCAGTGACCTGCGTGCGATGCCGGCAGGCCGTGGTGTTGGCTTCCAGGCCGCGCTTGGCGTGGTCACAGAGGGCTCGCTCGACAACTACCTCCCTCTCGCATACTGCGCGCTCCTTGTTGCTCAACTGAGGGAGGTGGGAAGGGATGGGAGGTGGGGAGGGGAGTTTGGCAGGGGTAGCAGTGCCTGGGTGCAGTGCCGCTCCGCTGTGTCCTCTAGCTCCGCCAGGCGGGTGAGGTCGGTGACCTGCGCGCGATGCCGGCACGCTGTCGTGTTGGCCTCGAGGCCCCTCTTAGCGTGGTCACAGAGGGCACGCTCGACGACAACCTCCCTCTCGCATACTGCCCGCTCCTTGTTGCTCAACTGAGGTAGGTGAGAAGGGACAGGAGGTGGGGAGGGGATGTGGAGAGGGGAGTTTGAGAGGGGAGGCAGTGCCTGGGTGCAGTGCCGCTCTGCTGTGTCCTCTAGCTCTGCCAGGCGGGTGAGGTCAGTGACCTGCGTGCGGTGCCGGCACGCCGTGGTGTTGGCTTCGAGACCCCTCTTGGCATGGTCACAGATGGCTCGCTCAACTACCACCTCCCTCTCACACACTGCCCGCTCCTTGTTGCTCAACTGAGAAAAGTGTGGTTTGGGAGTGGAGGTGGGGAGGTGGGGAGGTGGGGAGGTGGGGAGGGGAGGTGGAGAGTGGAGGTGTTAGAGGTGAGCGGGGTGTGGTGTCAGTCAACACACCGTGGCTTCTAGCTCTGCCAGGCGGGTGAGGTCGGTGACCTGCGTGCGGTGTCGGCACGCTGTGGTGTTGGACCCCAGGCCCCTCTTTGCGTGGTCGCGGAGGGCGTGTGCGCTCCAGACTCCCCCACCACTTCTCGTTCACACACTGCGTGTTCCTTGCTTGCTGCTCAGCTGGAGTTTGTGTGAGTTGGGGAGATGTTAGATGTGACCTGCATGCTGTGCCCACACGCCGTGGCGTTGGCTTCGAAGCCGTGGTGCCGGCGCGCGCCTCACTTGGTTGGCATGGTTACACAGGGCCCGCTCCGCTCGACCACACCTTGATCGATCAATTTCATCACATCCTGACCGCGTGCAGGCACCTTGGTCCTTGATCTGATCCCCATCGCATCTCAAACGCACACACCTTGATCTCACAGGCGTCCAGCTCGGCGCGCAGCAGGGTGAGCTCCATGTCGCACTCGGCGCGCATCACCAGCCTCTCGCGGTCAAACTCCGATGCCTGCAGCTTGCGCACCTTCTCACACTCCGCCTCTAGCTCCTGCCATGCGGTGGAATGTGGTGGAGTGGAAAACACACAAGAGATGATTGTCAACTCTGAGACGTCTCAGAGAACTCGCCTGCAGCTTGCGCACCTTCTTGCACTCCGCCTCCAGCTCCTGAGGATGGGCGTGAGTGAGCGGTGGGCGTGAGCGGTGGGCTTGAGGGGTGGACGTGAACGGTGGAACACACAGGGGAAGAGAGGGACTTGAGCACGGAAATCGATTTACGAAACGCCTTTCCTGCAGCTTGCACGCCTTCTCACACTCCGCCTCTAGCTCCTGGTGGTGGCCATGAGGGGTGGAGAGCACAGAACAAGCAAGGAACTTGAGCATGATTCCTTCATTGGTGCTTCCCCGATGCTACCCAAACAAACGACGCAGTGCCGAAGCCAGCATTCCTCCTTGTATTTTGAACCTCACCTTTTCCTTTAAAGCCCACCTTTTCTTTGATGAACTTCTCCTGGCGGCACTGCATCCACTCCTGGAACCGCTGGTCCCTTCCGTGGTGCTTTCATATTGCTATGTAAACAAAGAAGTGCAAGAACCCACCTTCTCCTTCACACCCCACCTTCTCTTTGATGAACTTCTCCTGGCGGCACTGCATCCACTCCTGGAACCGCTGGTCCCTTCCGTGGTGCTTTCATATTGCTATGTAAACAAAGAAGTGCAAGAACCCACCTTCTCCTTCACACCCCACCTTCTCTTTGATGAACTTCTCCTGGCGGCACTGCATCCACTCCTGGAACCGCTGGTCGCGCTCCAGCTTCAGCCGCTCGTGGTCCCTCGCCTTGCGCTCCGCGTCCTTCACCATCTCCTCGTACGCGTTGCCGCACCACCTAAGGGGGGTTTGGGGGGGTTGAGTGAGTGTGGGGGAAGGGGGGGACGGGTAGTAGTGGTGATGGTCAACTCGCCTTGCGCTCCGCATCCTTCACCATCTCCTCGTAGGCATTGCCGCACCAGCTGGGGGGGAGAAGGGGGAGGGTGGAGGGAGAGGGAAATGCAGGAAAGGGAGAAGGGAGGGGGGGAGGGGGGGGGGGGGGGTCGTGTGTTCCAGTCATCCCTCGCCTTGCGCCCCGCGTCTGTCCTTCACCATCTCCTCATACGCGTTGCCGCACCAGCTGCAGGAAGTAAGGGAGAGGAGGGGGGATTGAGGGGAGGAAGGGAAGGAGAGAAAGGGGAGAGGAGGGTGGGACGAGGAGGCGGGGGGAGAGGGGGGGAGAGTGTCCTTCGGGTGCCTTTCCAGGTGGGACGTTCACGACTACTCAACTTTTAACGTCACAGCCTTCACGGATGTGGCTTGTTTAGCCCACGACAAAGCCAAGGAACGTAAGGAGAAACGGAATTGAACAAATGCGGATGTGCAGCCACGGAAGGAGGGAGGGAGGGAGGAGAGAGAGAGAGAGAGAGAGAGAGAGAGAGAGAGAGAGAGAGAGAGAGAGAGAGAGAGAGAGAGAGAGAGAGAGAGAGAGAGAGAGAGAGAGAGAGAGAGCGAGAGAGAGAGAGAGAGAGAGAGAAAGCGACGTACGCTGAGAGAACCTTGTAGACTGACGCTTCCGTTCCCGGCTCGTTGACCACTGGCCATGTCCACTTGGCCGCGTCTGATTGGCGCAATGGGGGAGAGAGAGGGTGGGGGAGAGAGAGGGTGGGGGAAGAGGGGGTGGGGGAGCAGTGGGGAGGGACAGGAGTTGGACAAGGTAAGAAGATATGAGCACGCGTGTGACGCGGCGTGAGACTCGGCATGTAACGCGGCGTGTGACTCTGCGTGTGTCGCGGTGTTTGTCGTGGCGTGTAACCGGGCGTGTGGCTGTGGCTCGGCGTGTGTCGCGGCGTGACACGCACGAGGTTCGCTTTCTAGGGCTGCATAGGTGATAATGGTGCTCTGCTGATAATGAGTAACAACTAGGAAGCTTTGCCACGTGGTCTCTTGGCGCTCGGCTGACATCAGCAGGGATCGACATCGTATTTGCCTGACTAAAGAAAAACTGACAATGATATTATACAGTGAACCTAGAGATTGCCGATTGCGAGTGCTACCTATCAGCAGCAAGCACGTGCTCACAAGAAGCGGCCTTTACGTAGTCTACACTGACTGGACACGTAGCGCCACGTGCGCTGACATCGTTGACCGAAAATTCTAAATACAAAAATAATGTCCTGCACTGACCTGACAGGTAATTTCCCGTTTTCCCGGAAATGGTTTCCTCCTCATCATCGTCTGCAGCGACCGAGCATCTCGTCAGAGCGCCGAGACATAGCAATGCCGCTAACCCTAACGCCGGCCAGCCTCGCCGGCAGACCCATCCGGCCATCTCAGTCCACTAATAGGGCGTCAGAATAATACGTTCGAACGTATGGCTGAATAACCTGAGTGCGAGAATACGAATAGCTAGTGAAGTCGCAACATGGCTGGTAGTGCAAGGTTTCAATCAGCCAGAAGGCTGTTGTTGACTGCTCAACCACTCTGAACTATTTCGCATCTGCTAAACGCGGACAGTGTTCCCTCGTTGCTATCCTTGGAATTATGCTATCTTTTACTATCTCCTTTCCCTACTCCATATTTTTCACTATTGATTCCCTATATCAGGCCTTATTAGTATGTCTTAATGCTCAACATGCGCGTTTTATTTTTGTTGTCCATTATTGCACGAATTAATAAATTGTTACATAGGAAACTACGTTGCTTAAATATACAATACATGTAAGCAGCACCTACAGGGCCTCAGATTTCAGCGAAAAAAGGCTGATTTGGGTAAAAAAGGCTGAGATTTCAGACTTATTCTAGAATCAGGGCTGATTATTCAGAATTTTTCTTGAAAGGAGTAGGAAAAACTATGAAATTTCTAATGTAAAATGGCATAAATTGATAATTTGTCTGATTTTCAACCTAAATTTTTGTACCAACGCTGATTGATCAGACTAGCCTGAAACCAATCTGAGGCCCTGAGAACCCAAAATGTTTACCTTACTGAGGCCAAAAAAAAAAAATCCCAAGGTCCACTTTCGAATGGATTTTGAATACGGTACGTTAGTTCATGTATATATACACATGTATCTTCATAGGCACGCGCGCGCATGCGTGTGTGTGTGTATGTGTGTGTGTGTGTGTGTGTGTGTGTGTGTGTACGTGCGTGCGTGCATGCGTACGTGCGTGCGTGTGTGTGTGTGTATGGGTGCGTGCGTGCGTGCATGCGTGCGCGCGCGCGCGCGTATGTGTGTGTGTGTGTGTGTGTGTGTGTGTGTGTGTGTGTGTGTGTGTGTATGTGTGTGTGTGTGTACGTTTGTGTATGAATATAAGTTTGTTCCTTTTGTCAAATGTTGGTAGCCTGTAGTGAGGTTTGTCTTAGGGGGTACGTATGTTAGGGTTTGCTACTTGTACCCCAACCACCATCAATGAACCAACACTTCCGATTCTGACATGGTATCACCTAGGTTAGGATCCTGTAGGATCCCGTTCCTCCCGACCTCGTTCGTATCGCCCGAGCCTGTCTCCCTCTCTCGTATTACTTACGCACGTCTTGCCCGAGCCTAGCGCCGGCCCGCTCTCGTCCCGTTCCTTCGTTACCGCCCGTTCCGCCGATCCCCTACTCGAGTAGCGTAGCGACCTTCCTCCCCCCTGCTGGCCCGTCGCGTTTTCCCCCTCCGAGGCCCGTCGAGTCGCGTTTTTCCCCCCGCTGCCCGTCGAGTCGCGTTTTTCCCCCCGCTGCCCGTCGAGTCGCGTTTCCCCCCCTGCAGCCCGTCGTCCCGTCGCCCGTCCCCCCCTTACGCGCGCCGCCGCTGCGCCTTCCCCCGTCGCCCGCCGTCGCGCCCGCTCCTGCGCCCGTCGCCGCGGCGCCCGCCGTCGCTGCCCGCCGCGGCGCCCGCCGTCGCTGCCCGCCGCGGCGCCCGACGTCGCGCCCGCAGCCTGCGCCCGTCGCCGCGGCGCCCGCCTTCGCTGCTCGTCGCGTCGGCCCCCGCGCGGCTGCCCCTTAACGCCCGCCCCCGCGCCCGCACGGCTGCCCTTAGCCCCCGTGCGGCTGCCCCTTAACGCCCCCCCGTTTAGCTGCGCCTGTGCCTCGTTTAGGGTTTCCCGTTTCGCCCTTTCCCGCCCGAGTTTCGCCACGCCACCTCGTTTAGGGTTTCCTGCCACCGCTTTTCCGTTAGTTTTCACTATGGCGACTCCACGTGTACTTCGTTTCGACGCTGACGGTAGACCTCTTGACTTTTCACTCTGGCTTATGCGCGCTCGCCGTCAGTTAGAGAGTCAGGTCCAGTCAGGCGAGACCCTCTGGGCGCACGCTACTGGTGCCCTCCCTGCGCCATCCGAACCTACGCCTTTAGGTCCTGCCCCTGACGACGCCGCTAGAGCTCGCTTCGCTAGCCAGCGCGCTGACCTGACAGCTTGGACGTCGCGTGACGCTGCGGCCTGCATCGCGCTCAGCACCCTCCTCCCTGAGTCTGAGGAGGCTCACTTTGCTCAGGTTCGCACTGCTGCTGAGTACCTGACTGCGATTAAGGCCCGCTACTCCACTCCTGCTGCTGTCTCTCTTGGCCGCCTTTTCCTCCCGTTCCTGTTCCCTGACCTCGCCTCATTTGAGCGCTCTGCTGACTTGATTGCTCACCTCCGCTCGCTCGACTCTAGTTACCGCGCTGCTTGCACTGAGGCACAGCTCGCACTGCTTCCTCCTCCCATGGCGATTACTATCTATTTTATCGCCACTAGCCTCCCCGACCGCCTTGCCTCTGTTCGTGACGCGCTTCTCCTGAAGCACCCTAGTGAGCTCACTGTTGACGTCCTTGAGTCTGCACTCAAGGACGTCGAGAGCAACCTCCGCTCCGTCGCCGCTGCCTCTGGTGCTGTGCCCCCCCCGCTCTTCCACGGGTGCACAGTTCCGCAGTTGCCCACCTTTACTGCCTCTCTCGCCACTGCCGCTACTGACGCGACCGCAGCTGCTGTTACGACTTCGTCGCGGTCCCGCGGTAGGGGTGGCAAGAGGGGCGGTGCTGGCGGCGGCGTTGGTGGAGGCGGAGGTAGTGGGGGTGGCGTTGCGACTGGCGGTGGTGGGAGTGCAGGGCCTGGAGAGACGTCTCGTGCAGCGACCGGTGACTCCACTGCGACTGCTGGTGGTGGCGACGCCCGCGTTCGTCAGTCGCCCCTTGTACTGCCAGCCCCGGTGGGTGGAGCAGCGGCGTGGTACCGGGCCCAGCGTCAGCAGCAGCTTCAGCAGCAGCAGCAGCAGCAGCCCCTCTCCTCCCAGCAGCCTCCGCAGCAGCAGCGGCCGCAGCTGGCTTCGGGGTCGGGGCCGCGTCAGCCGCAGCGTGGTGTTGTTTACCCTCCCTGCGCCTATCAGGTTCTGACAGGTGCTCGCCGGGGCCACCCTTGTGGCCGCCTTCACCCCCCTGGTCAGTGTTTTGCTCAGCTCACTGACACGGTTCGTTTGGTTTACGGGGTTGGCGGTCCTGCCCCTGACTGGTTTCCCCTTGTTCAGCGTTACGGTTCCGCTCTGTGGGACATGTCTGCCGAGCAGTTAGCTGATCTGATTGGAACTCCTCATGCTATGTATGCTGTTGTTGACTCTAGTGTTTCTGACTCTGTTTACTCTGGTGTTGTTAGCTTAGGTGCTAGCCTTGCTCAGTTGCCTGTTGCTAGTGTAGGTTCTTGTGTAGACACTAGTCCAGCGGCTACCTCGGAGGACGCTTCACTGTCTTTCACGCTGGACTCTGGAGCCTCGCACTGCTTCTTTCGTGACAGCACGACACTTACGCCACTTCCTGCGCCTGTCTCTGTGGCACTGGCTGATCCCACCTCGGGACCAGTCACTGCGCGTCACACTACCACTTTGCCGTGTCCTGCTGCTCCCTCCGGGTCTCTCACTGGGTTTCATGTCCCCTCGTTCTCCCGGAACTTGGTGGGCGTGCGACCCCTCGTGAGTCAGCACGTGGGTGTGTGGTTTGAGCCTTCTGGGGAGACTGCGGTGTGTGTTGACGGGGACTCTTACCAGCCTCTGGCCACCTTTGCTGCTGAGCCGGGTTCCGGTCTCTACACTCTTCACACTGGCCCGCGTGCACGGCAGCGGACGCAGCAGCAGCAGCAGCAGCAGCAGCGGCAGCAGCAGCAGTCACCGCCGCCGCAGCAGCAGCAGCAGCAGCCGCAGCGGCCGCCGTCGCAGCAGCCCCTACTCCCAGTTCCTGTCCCTCCCCCTAGTCTCCTCCCTGCGTCTCACCAGGTGGTTCCGTCCCCTCAGGTTGTCGCGTCCAGTCCAGTCGCTGCGTCTTGCTCCTGCCGGTCGCTTGCCCACCCCACCGTTCTGTGGCACCACCGGATGGGACACCCTTCTCTTCCACGTCTGCGTGCTATGTCTAGTCAGCGTCTGGTCTTAGGTCTCCCGCGTGTCTTGCCGTCGCTGCCGCCGTCCCTTGCACCACCGTGCGGTCCTTGCGTCGAGGGTCGGCTGCGCGCCACCCCTCACTCCTCCTCCCTTCGTCCGGCCACCGAGCCGTTTGAGACGCTTCACCTGGACGTCTGGGGCCCCGCCTCTCGCCTTGGCCCTGAGCGTGAGCGTTTCTTTCTGGTGGTTGTTGACGACTACTCCCGCTACACCACAGTGTTCCCCCTAGCGAAGAAGTCTGAGGTGACTTCTACGCTGATCAGGTGGTTGCTCACCACCGAGGACACTCGTGGCCGTCGTGTCAGCTGTCTTCACTCCGACCGCGGGGGTGAGTTTCGCTCCGGCATTCTCGCTGGATTCTGTCGCGAGCAGGGCATTCGTCAGTCCTGGACGCTTCCAGAGTCCCCACAGCAGAATGGGGTTGCTGAGCGCCGCATAGGCTTGGTCATGGAGATTGCCCGCACCTCCCTGACTCACGCCCGTGCCCCCCATTTTCTGTGGCCTTACGCGGTTCGGTACGCCGCGCACCAGCTGAACCTCTGGCCACGCGTCTCTCGGCCAGAGGCTTCGCCGACCAGTCTTTGGACCGGGTCCCCTGGTGTTGCGTCGAGGTTTCGTGTCTGGGGTTGCTTGGCTCTTGTCCGCGACACCTCTGCGGACAAGCTCTCGCCTCGCGCCGTTCCTTGTGTCTTCCTTGGTTTTCCTTAGGCCTCCTCTGACTTCACCTTTTACCACCCTCCCTCTCACCGGTTCTTTGACTCCCGTGACGTCCGTTTTGAGGAGTCCACCCCGTACTAAGTCAGGTACCCCAGTCGAGGTCTCCCGGTTCCTCCTCCCCCCCTCTTCCTGACTGCCGCTCCCCCTCCTGCTCCCCCGGTACAGCCTCCCCCCCCTGGTCCAGCCCCGTCAGGTGTGTCCCAGGCTACCCCTCCTCCTTCGGTAGC